CGTGCGCGCGACGCAGCGCGACGCGGCCTCGCGCACCGCCGTGACGTCCTCGATCGATGTGGCTTCGGCGCACGCCTCACGCAGGGCCGCCGCCACCGCGGCGTTGCCGAGCGCTGCGTCGACCGCCGCGGCGGGGGCGGCGACGGCCGCTGCCGTCATACCCAGCAGGCTGTGAGCGCTCGCGACGCCGTCGGCTCGCTTCGCCTTCGCGAGCGCTCCCCCGGTGGACCGATCGACGAGGCTATCGACCGCGGCGCTGCTGGGCGGGAACCGTGCGCAGGCGACGGCGAGGCCGGCGCCGGCCTCGTGGCTGCCTGCCAAAGAAGTCTCGGCGGCCTGGAACGACCTGTCGAGCAGCGTGCCGGCGATATCCGTCGCGAAATCGGCGATGTCGTCGACGGAGCTCGCTGGCGCGGCCTTGGACGGGCGCTTCTTGGCCTTTGGGGCCTTCTCTTTCCGCCCCGCCTCCGTTTTGGGGTGGTCTTGCAGACCCAGGAGCTCGGCTAGGCGCGAGACGCAGCCGTCCGTGTCGGCCGTGATCGCGCCCTTGATCTTGGCGTCCGAGAGAGCAGCGAGGGAGGCATCCAGAGCTACAGCGAGGTCCTCTTTGCCCAGGTCCTGCACACATGAAACACGCGCTCGTTTGTCCTTGTCAAGCCATGATACATCGCAAACTCGCACAGCATGACCAGAATGATTCGTGGACATCGCGATGCCGCGATGGAGAGTCTCGGAGCACGAGCACGCTGGCAGCAGCGCGCCAGAGCCTCCCTGTCGGCGCTGCTTGCTTCTGGCAGCGTCCACGCACCTTGGCGACGGCGCCGTCATCTCCAGCGAGACGTGCCGCAAGCTTCGTCAAGAAGCTATCCAGAGACGCATCGCCGGGGTCCTCCGCGGCTTTCCTGCGCTTGCTGGCCGGCCCAGCCGCCTTGGATCCACTGCGACGCCCTCTCGACGCCGGCATGTCAACTTCGACCCCCGCACGCACGACCTCGCCACGCAACACTGGCCGCCTGCCCACGCTCGCGCCCTACATAGAAGCTCACACCCAACCGACGCTCATACCAGGCCAAGAGGGGTGTTAACGACCCTTCAACCCCCCCGCCCCCCACTCCCGCACCGTCCGCGCGCGCAAGACGACAGAAACGTTTGCGACGCTCCTCCACAGCGCTCCGCAACTCGCACCAGTTCATGAACGCGCGGCCCTCTCAACTTCGCGGGCACAGCGTCATGTCACGCTGCCCGCATCGCCCGGTTCTGGCCGTTGAACAGGTCGTCCCACGACGCTCCGCCCGTGTCGTACCCCCCTCCGACGCCCGGGGGCCCGGGCACCAGCGGCAGCACGCGCATCGAGAACGCTGATCGCCGCAGAAGGGGCGCCTCGCGCTCCCACGTGTCTTCCGGACACAGCGCGACGAGCGTGTACACCGTGTTGCCGCGCGCCGCGATGACCGCGAGGGACCGCCGCCGCCACTGCGCAGCACCGGGCACGGCGAGCCGCTCTGGGTCCCACCCAAGCAGTGCGGCGGCAACGCAGAGCGCCAAGTGCGCTCGGCCTCGCAGCGCTCGTCCGGCGCGTTGTGCGATACGTGCGCGATCGGAAACGACGCAGGTGGTTTCGGCGCGCACGCGCAGCAGCGGCGGAGTGACGCTGCGACGCGGCCCGGCGCGCACTCTCTCACCTCCGTGGTGACCACGCGGTACTCGAACCAGTAGTACAGGATCCCCGCGTCGTCGTTGTACTGCCCTGAGTCGAGCAGCTCGTGCTCCAACCCCTTTGCCATGTACGTATCCAACAGGAGCGTCGCCGCCTCCGCGGGCTGGCCCATCGCCGGCAGGGAGAAGCCCGCCTGGATGGGCGCCGCGATGACCGACACGTTCTCGCCGCCGTTGGCGACGGGCGGCTTGAAGCCCGTCTGCGGCGCCACGCGCCCCTGCCGCGACTTCACGTACTGCTCCTGGTCGCTCGTGAGCGGGTCGAGCGAGCGCTTGAGCTCGCTGCGCCGCGCGTTCACGCGGGCCAGCACCGTGTCGGCGATCCAGTCCCCCTGCGAGCGTCGCGGCGGTGAACGAAAACCCTCAAGCTCACCTATTTGCTCTCGTGTCGCGAGAGGAGCGCGATTCGTCGAGCTTCGCGTATATACCGGCCGCGACGCACCGGATACAGGTACTCGACTCCCGTAGAGGTGTCCAAGCACCGCTTGAAGCCGCGGATGGGGTAGACGACGTCCAGTTGCAGGGCTCGGGCCACGTCCGGTGCGGCCGAGAACAGCGCCCGCGTCACCCCGCCCAAGTCCCCTGCGAAGCGTCTCAGCGTGGGGAGCGAGCGCGGTGATCGCGCTCGGTGGTTCGAGGGCCTGGCGAGGCGCATGCCGGCTCGGCCGTTGGCTTGCGGCCAGGGAGGTTTCACGCACCGCCCAGGGCGATCGTGGCCCCAGCGAGGGATCCGAGGAGGACCCGGCGGCCGCTTGGAAGCTTCCCGCCCCACGCTACCGTTTCCACGGGGTCGGAGGGGTTGAACTGCGCGGCGCTGGCATCGCTCTTGGGTGCGCTGGCGCCCGGCCGATCCTCCTCCTCGGCGCGCACGCGGAACGTTCGCGGCCGTCGGCTGGCTAGATGGCATCTATGGCTCTTGACCGGCGGCCCGGCGCTCGGTGGTGCGCTCGCGGGCGCGGGGTGCGCGGCCGCCCGCCACATTGCGCCGCAACCAGGAACAACAGCGGTGCGGTCCCACGCCGTACTCAGCAACGGCACGGAGCTCGACAGTTCGCAGACAGTCTATCCTCGGAACGCACGAGGCGCAGCAGCTCGCCGCGGCGTTGGGCCCGCCAGAGCACGCCGGGGGGGGGCTGATTTACAGTGTCCCCTCTGAGCATGGCGACCTATTCCAAGGTGCGCATGCTGCGAATGACGCCCGCGCCATGCGTCACGCATCACACCGCCTTGCTTCTTGCTCCAATCAGTCGGCTTCGACCTGCTGCCATCGATGGACGGACATTGGCGCTCTTCTTCCCCATTGCATGTTGGCTCTCACATGGCTGGATCATCGGCAGGACGCCAGCTCGTCAGGGCAGCTCCTGAGGCGCTCACTCTGTGCCCGTCAGCCAGGCCGGCACTCCCCCCGGCCCCTCGGCCATAGCATCGGCCAGAACCACGTCCGTCATCGACAGGGGGTGTCCGCAAGGCCAGACCTGCAGCGTCGAGCACGACACACAGCCTGCCATGATCGCGTCGACATCCCCGCCCTCGACCGGATCCGACAGCATCCCGCCTGACGTCAGCTCAAACTCCCCCCCCGCCACGACACTCGCCCAGTCCACGCCCGACGCGCCTCCGCCGTCCGCGCCCCGCTCCGCGCGGCGGCTGACCTTGGCCGTCTGATCCTGTGGGACGAACCGCCCGGCCTCCAGCCTGCCGTCCGACGAGCCCTGCGACGGCAGCGACCGCCCCCAGAGGTCGCGCCCGCCCTGCCCCGCGGCCGCCTCGACCGCCGCCGACTTCACCTGCTCACGGTGCCACAGCGCGCCTGGTCTCGTCGCGCACACCCGCCCCCCGGCCCGCCACGAGGGGGGGACTGTGACCGACAGCATGATGTCAGCCTGCCTGTACGCCTCCGCAAGGACCTCGCGCGCCTCGGCGCCCGGCTCGACCGGCTCTGTGCGCAGACGGCGATGCGTGACGGGCGTCTCAGCGTCAGCGCGTAGCTAGCCAGACAGAAATGCAAACGCGATGCATGAGGATGTGATTGTGTGGCCGTGCGGTGGCGCGTGCCTGTTGCTCCGCCCTTGCGCTCGACCTCTTCGCCGAGGGACCAGCAGTCGGAGAGCGCAAACTCCGCGCCCTGCCGCGCGCCCGCCGGGGGCACGCCGGGGGCGGTCGGGATCTCGACACCGACGCTCGACCAGCGCCCGCGGCTGGGGAAGGGGAAGTGCGCGCGCGGGCAGTTCGCGGGCTCGTCCGGGAGCGCCAGCGTCCTCGCGACGTGCGGGAGGATCGCCTCCAGAGCTGCAGACAGACAGACAGCAGAGAGAAGCAATTTCGGGCGATCTCGACTGTCTGGCCACACTCGGGGCTGAAATCTGACCTGACACGCTGCCCTGCATTGATAACATTGAGATGCGATCGCGCATTCGGTGCGTCACCTGCGATCGCAGCGGTCAGGGGCGCCTGTGGACTGCTCGTAGCCAGAGACAGCGCCACGGACGGCACTCCAATGACAGCAGCCCGTCGTGCGACTGCCACCGTGCCGCTCGTGTCCACATCGGAGCTCAGAGCGGGACTTCTGCCGACAACGATGCACAGGGAGGCCCCCAGGTCCGCCTTGGCCAGCACACCGTAGACTGGGTCGGTCGCTATCTCCAGGCCGTCAGCAGAGCTCCCTGCGACGACGAAGACGTCGCGATGGGACGACGACGCCAGAGCGACCTTTCCTCTGCTCAAATTCGCCGCACCGGGCCCCGAAACGACCTGCTCGGGCGCCAGGCCCAGAACGGGCATGCTGGTGGCGGCAGACACAGCGGCCAGGCACGCCGCGACCTCATCTGCCGACGCCCCGTCGCCCGCCACGACCATCGCAGCGCCCCGTCCCGCCCCGCACGCCGCCCTCCGGGGCCGCGCGCGGCCGCTGCGGGAGCGCGCAGCGGCGGTGTGGCGCGATGGGAGGCGAAAGCAGGGCATGCCGACTCGCGTCGGACTCGCCCGGGGTGCGCGGCGGCGAGGGCGCGTCTCGGCGGCGGGCCCCGGGCGCGCGCACCCAATGAGGGCCCCGCTGCAACCGACGCACCGCCCTGTCAGACACAGAGTCTCAACGGCCTCCGACTGGGTCGCCCGTTCCTCCGGCGTGTCACGGCGAGCATGCCGTGCACGCGCCTGCCCAGCCGCGTCGCGGACTGCGATTCCCAGGCTCTCGGGCGCGAGGGGGGAGTTCCTAACGGAGCACACGTGCGACGCGGGTTGCGCAGCCGGGAAGCAGTCACCGTCGGTTCCGACGTGGCAGCTAAGCAGGCGGCCGGCCGCTCGAGAGCAGGCGCAGGGCCTGCTTGCGTCTACGCGGAGCGCCGCGATGCGCCGTGCGGCCGCGTCGCACCATGAGTGTGTACGCAGGGCACTGCTGCGCGCAGGCGGTTCGGATCCGCTTTGGGGGCGAAGGGGGGCCCTTGGGGCGATCGAGGGCTCCAACGGCCCATGCGCGTGCGGAACCCGGTGCGTCGTGGCCGCGCAGGGACCGCGACCGTGCTGTGAGGCATCGCGCTGAGCGGCACGTTCAACCTGTCGTATCTCGCGAGCCAGGAGGCATACCAAGGCCCCTATACCACAGCGAGTCGACCACTGATAGAAAAAGATACTTGGGGCGTTTTGAAAGCTAGACTGTTCGTAATCGAGCGCGCGTATGACAGCCCCAGAGCACCCGGGTCCCTCCAGTGCAGCCTCAGGTGGCCGGAGCCCTTGCTGCCCCGCTCCCCGCGTGGCCGCGGTCACTCCCAGCACAGCTCAGGCCCCGCACCGTCCTAGACACCATGGAGAGCGGGTAGTTCATCCGCACACCCGCGAACCCTGAGATGTGGCCCACCAGCGCCGTGGCGCTGCTGTGCGCTCTCCTGGCCGCTTGCGCCGCCCGAGGTGCGCCCCAGGCCGGCAACACAGCCGCGCGGTCGCCCTCGTGCCCAGGCCGCGGCGCGAGCTGCTCTGATCGGTCCACGCTCCTCTTTTCGCGCCGCTTTACGAACCCTGGGGCTGCAATGACGGAGGGCGGCCCGCAGCGAGCGGCACGCGGCAGCGCCACCGCGGCGCGCCGCGACGTCCCGCGAGACGCCGACCCTCGGCGCGCGGCGCGCCCGTTGCTCCCTGGCTCGCGTCTCGCAGCAGCGCGTCCGTAGCGCTTCCCCTTCCGCAGAGTGCAAATCAACCGGCAGCGCAGCCGCACGGTCCACCACCGCGATTTTCGTGGCCCTGCTCAGCACCACGCCCGTATATCTGCTGGGATCGCACCCCGCCGCCGCTGTTATAGCGCGCCAGCACCGCCCGTCGATCCAGGCCTGCCGATGCTGCTCATTTCGTGCGTGCCCCCGCACGGACCTCTGGTTTCGGCCGCCGCGCGCCCCGTCGACCGCTATTGTCGGTCTCCGCGCGCAGCGCACCCTCCCGCCTCCCCAGGGTCCGGCGCTGCGCCCGTCTGAGGCCTCGTGCCCTGCCTAGCACGCCTAGGGGCACGCATCCGCCGCCTGAACCCGTCTCACCCTCAAACTCGCCACGAGGGGCCTTATGCGACGACGGCGCTCCCTCGTCGTCAGGACGTTCCCAGCGCCGCAATAACGGGCCGCGCGCGCATCGCTCCGCCGCCCTGGCTGCTCAACTGCCTGCCGCTAGCACACCGTGCCTGCTGCCGCGGGGCCCGGCGCCGCGACTTGCGGCGCGCGTCCATCGCTCCCACTCCCCGTCCCGACGCACGCACGGCCCGCCTCGCATCGCCGTCTGCGCGCCCCGCTTCTCACCGCGCTCCCACAGTTGCTGCGCCTGCAGGAACGGCGCAGCCAGCACAGGTGGCGCAGCCAGCGTGGCTGTCGGGCCTCCTGGGCGGCGACCCGGCAGCATGCTCGGTGAGTACTAGTATGACGCATGCGCAAGCGAAGCGAGCGAGAACGCGCAAGCGAAGCGAGCGAGAACGCGCTCCCTTCCGCTGCTGCTGGCATGGTGGGCTGGACACGCTTTGTTCTGTGCGTGCGATGCAGGCGTTCGTTGCACTGCGAGGGATCTCCGCGCTGAGGAGCGAGGCATCGGCGGCGGACACGAGCTGGAGCGCCCGTGCGTTGATCAGGCAGTGGCAGCAAGACGAGGACATCCACGTGCGCTCCCAGATAGGAAATCGCATCTGCTTTGCTTTCGCGTTCGCCGATCGACCGCCGCGCGCCCTCCGCCCCGCTCCCACGCCCGCCCGCTCGCACAGCCCCGCAGCCCGCCCCGCGCCTGCAAGTGACGCCCATGCAACCGACAACGCCTGTCCACCGTCGCCGCAGAGCGCACAAATCTGGCTCCCGGGGTCGAACGCCGACCGGAACATCCCCGGCATCGGCCTGCTTGAGGTCCTCGCGGCGTCGCTCTCCCGCCTCGACGATGCCGTAGCTGCAGCGGCACCCCCGTGCGGCGCAGCCTGCCAGGACAGGTGCGTCCCGGGCGCACAGGGGCGCTCCGCGGTCGCGCCTTGACTTGCATTCCCGACGATACCTCGCAGCTGCATCGACGTGACGGAGCGAGCCGCCCCCCACGACTGCGGCTGCGACATCCAGCATGAGGGCGCGACGCTCACCGCCGCCCTCGCGTTTCTCTCCCACGCAGCCAGCGCGCGGCGCTGCAGGCGCTCTTCGCGGCCCTCGACGGCCCGAACTGGCGGGACGCGGACATGCGGCGCATCTGGCAGAGTGACATCCACCACTGCTGCTGGCCCGGCGTGCAGTGCTGCGGCGCCGACGGCACGCTGCCGGTCGCCATCCGCACCGACACCGAGATCGTCGGCCTCGCCGACTCCGGCCCGATCCGCTGCATGCGCCCCGGCGCCGTCGTCACGCTCAATCTCGACCGCGTGCGCGACTGCAGCAACAACCCCGCCGCCGCGCCCGTGCAGCTCCCGGGCGCCGCGCTCGCGCGGCTCGCGACGGGCCTCGAGACCCTCAACCTCGCCGGCCTGTGCATCGGCGGGCAGCTCCCCGTCGAGCTCGCCGACGCCGTGCTGTTGCGCCTCCTCGATCTCTCGAGCAACAGATTCGAGGGGCCGCTCCCGGAGTCGGGCGAGCACAAGTGGAGCGAGCACGCCTTCCTCACCGACATGGCCATCCACCTGAACGGCTTCACCGGGTCGCTGCCGGACAGCCTCGGCAAGGCGCGCCCCTCACCCACACCGCGCGCTGCTCGCACACGTCGCACGCCGCAGCCGCTCACCTGGTCCTCTCCGCCGCGCCGTCCGTCCTGCAGGGTGCGCACCGGCTGCAGCGGCTGGTGTTCCGGAACAACGACTTCGACGTTATCCCTGCGTCCCTCGCGCAACTGCCCTATATGTCGGTTCTTGACGGAACGAACAACAACGTCGAGTTCGGCGTGATCGACGCGCTCAACGTGCGCGAGGAGGACGCCCCGTTCCTGGAGCTCAACGACATCATCATCAACCGCGGCGTCACCGCCAAGGTCTACCACCTGCGCGGCAACCGCATCTCGGGCCGTCTCGACCCGGCCATCTTCGCGCTGCCCATCCGCGAGTACGACCTCGGAGACAACCGCATCTTCGGGACGCTGCCCAAGACCCTCGGCACGCTCGGGACGCTCCGGATCTTCGCTGCCGACGGCAACAACCTCACCGGCACCCTCCCGGACCCGCTCACGACCGCCTCGATCCACCGCATCCACCTCTCGCGCAACCCGCTGCTCACCGGGACGCTCCCCAAGTCGCTCCGCGACGCGCCTTTCCTGAGTCACTTCGACGTGTCCAAGACGCGGGTGTTCGGCGAGGTCCCCGACAACCTGGGGGACATGGAGGACTTGCAGACGTTCGACGCGCGCGACACGCTGATGACGCACAACCTGACGCGGCGGAACTCGCGCGGGGAGCTGCTGCCGGAGTCGCTGAAGTTCTGCGACACGTTTTTGGCGCAAAGCGGCGACGTCGACAACCTGCAGATGTTTTGTCCGGACGTCGTCCCCGCGCGGCAGCAGGGGGCGCTCGAGCTGTTCACCGTGCGGCTCTCGCCGCTCTACTTCCGGTACGAGGGCTGCGTGTGCGCGTCCGGCTTCGTCCTGCGCCGCCGGCCGCTCACGGACGAGCAGCGGCAGGGCTTTGCGGAGGTCAGCACGTCCGGGGAGTCGGGGTGGGCGCCCGACGGCGACGTGGCGGCGTGGGACCGCGACTTCATGCCGAAGGAGCGCTTCGGGTGCGTGCCGGAGCAGGACGAGGTCTTCACGACGCTGGAGCTGATCGTGGTGGTGGCCTGCAGCGCCATAGGTCTCTTCGTGGTGTGCTCGGTGGTGCTGGCGCTGCTGTTCTGGCGGCAGCTGCAGGCCGCGCTCCAGGACCGCAGGAAGCGCGCCGGGCCGCCGCCGGGCGGCCGCGACGTCACGCTCGTCCTGACGGACGTGGAGGACTCGACCAAGATGTGGGAGGGCAACCCCAAGGACATGGCAGTCGCCAACGCGCTGCACGACACGGTTCTGCGCAAGCACCTGCCCCGCTGGTACGGCTACGAGGTGTCGACGGAGGGGGACTCGTTCCTGCTGGCGTTCCACACCCCCAGCGACGCCCTGGGGTACTGCATGATGGTGCAACAGGCGCTGATGACGACGCCGTGGCCCGAGAGCGTCCTAGCGCGCGAGTCCCGCGTCCGCCGCACGTCCGTCGGGACGGGCGAGAAGGTGCGCGGGGTGTTGCGCTCCGCCGACGGCGCCCCACCACAGGGGGCAGCGCAGGGCGAGGGGCCTGGCGCGCTAGGACGCAAGCAGTTCGCGAGCGACCTGCTCAGCGACGGACGTCTGCACTCGTTCGAGGCCGCCGGCGCGACGCGCGCCGCACCCGCTCCCGTCCCGGGCCTGACGTTCAAACCCCCCCCGGAGGCGATTCGGCACGGCAGCCGCGTCGTGGACGACGAGGGGGTCGCCACGCGCGACGGGAACGAGTCGCCCGAGACGTCGCCCGGCTCGAACGAGCAGCCCGGCCCGCCTTCGCGCCCGCAGCCGCCGCGGAGGGAAGGCGACGTCTACTTCTGTGGCCTGCGGGTGCGCATGTCGGTGGCGACGGCGCACGCGACGCAGACCGTGCACCGCATGACGCGCCGGTTCGAGTACACCGGCCCCGTCTACGACCTCGTCAACGCCATTCAGGACGTCACCAGTGGCGGGCAGATCCTCATGTGCGAGAAGTCTTACGAGTCTGCGATTCCGCATCTTGCGGAGACGGAGGACCGCATCCGCGCCTCCGCGGTGCACCAGGCTCTCTTCTTGATGCGTCGCGCGGCGCACAGCGGCCCCGCGCCGCCGGCGAAGCTCGTCAGTGCTGCGCCCAACATTGGCCAGAGCGCTGCAGCGTTGCAGGTGGGCAAGTCTGGCCTGGACAGCGGCCGCGGCGGCCATGGCGCGATCCTCGAGGCCTCGAGCGGGCCCAGCGAGTCCGGGGCGCGCAGCCGCGCCACGACGGTCGCGGTAGAGGACATGTCGAGGCTCGTGCTCGGTCCGCTCGGGATGCCGCGGAGGGCGCGCGCCGCGCGGTACCGCTCCACGCGAGAGACGTCCGCGGACGAGGTCGACGAGCGCGACAGGAGCGCCGGCGCCATCCGCGGCACGGCGTGGTCGTTGTCGGTGTCGCTTGCGCAGTCCATCAGGCGCGTGGCCTCGTTCTGGCGCGGCGACTCGCTCGCACGGTCCGCCGGTGCGACGCACTTCTTCGAGAACGGCCGCGTGGCCGCGAACGCCGCCGCGCTCGAGTCGGCGCTGGCCGTGCTCGACATGGGCGTGCACGCAGCCCTCGGGGCAAACCATCGGCCTGTGCACCTGTTCCAGCCGCTCGTGCCGCAGCTCGAGGAGCGCGCGCGCTTGTTCAAGCCCCTCCCGGCCAGCTCGCTCGTCCTCCCGGGCTACTTCGACGCGCCCGGCACTCTGGAGACACCGCTGGTCTCGAGCAACCCCTGCGTGCACGGCGTGGCGTACAGCGCGTGCATGCGCTGCAAGTCGCAGCTCGAGGACTTCCCCCTCGTCACCGTCGCGTTCGTCGCGCCCTGCAAGCTCGACGAGCTCTTCCGCGAGAGTGAGAGCGCCGCCAAGGACGCACTCAGGCTGTACAAGTCCGCCGTTCGGCGGCTGCTGCCCCGGTTCAGCGGGTACGAGTGCCAGGAGCTGACGGGGTCCTTCATGCTCGTCTTCCACTGCACGAGCGACGCGCTCATGTTCGGCTGGTCGCTGCAGCTGACGCTGCGCGACCTGGCGTGGCCGGCCCGCGTGCTCCGGACGACAAACGCGGGCGTCCATGCGAACCCTGCCGGCGAGGTCGTCGACCGCGGCCTGCGCGTCCGCGTCGGCGTCTGCGAGGGCCGCCCGATCCGCGTCACCCCACACGCCTCTACGGGACGCGCAGACTACTTTGGCTCCGTCGTGAACCGCGCGGCGCGGATCTGCTTCGCGGCGGCGCGCGCAGGGGAGGTCCTCGGCCCCGCTGCGCAGATCGGGCGCGCCCTGGCGGTTCTGTCGCGCACCAGCGTCGGCGAGGGCCGCTTCGTCGACCACAACCTCCGCCGCCACGCAAGCCTCGACCTCGCCTTGGAGTCCCACGGGCTGAAGGCGTCCTCAGACGACGCCAAGCGGCGCTCCAACGCCTCGCGGGCAGACGCCGGCGCCGGCACTGGCACCAGCCAGGCCACCATTTGCAACGTGAACGCGCAGCTCCTGCTGGACGTGTGTCAGGTGGACCCAGCGACTGTCGAGGTGACGGAGGGCGCCGCGGGCGCCGACGCCGACGCGCCGGACTGCATCTTGGCCGGGGGGCCTGGCGAGCGCTCTGCGCCAAGGTCCACGTCGCGGGCAGGCAAGCACGTGGCCTTCCCGCCTGGCGGTGCAGACGGGCTTGGGAATGCGCGGGTGCCGGACCGCGCGGCGTGCGACGGCGCGGGCGCGCTTCCGGAACAGGCGTCGCTGCCCGCTGGTGTGGTTGCCAGCGGGCGCTGGGTCTCATTGACGGAGGCGATGGCCCTGGACCACATCGGCAGCTTCCGGCTCAAGGGCGTCGCTGGCGAGTTCGAGCTCGCCGCGCTGCGCAGTGCGTCGCGGCCGCCGCGCTCCGCCATGCAGGCTGACAGCGCCAAGGCCAAGTGTCTGGGGCCTGCGAAGGGCGCTGTCCTGGAAGGCTCGCTGCGCGCGCTGGTCCCCGTGGGCAAGGCCGGGGAGCAGCGCGGCGCGAGCCACGACCACGGCACGATCCGCGACAGCAACACCAACGGCAGCGTGACGGCCAGCAGCGTCGACGACGGGCGGCGCATCGCCTGAGGGCTGGTTGCCCACTCAACGCACGCAACAGCATCGCGACGGAACGCGATCCGACGGCGACGTGCGTGTATGCCGCCTCGTGAGTGAGCAATCTGCTGTCTTGTTCCCGAACTCAAAACTCTCCCCCAAGTCCCCCCCCTGTCTGCCACCCCAAACTCCCCCCCCCCCTCTTGTTCAGCACCAGTTCTTCCCAGGCGATGCAGCGCGTCGACAATTGTGCGATTCTACTCTATTCTGTACCGGGCCTCGGACCGCATCCGGGGGGCCCAGGGCACTCACATTTCGTCAGACTGGTTGCCCATGTCAGCATTCAACGTGGCGATTCGTGCGTTCCGCTTCTGGTACGCCCGCCGCGAGCGCGCGTTGAAACGCCCTCCTCCAATCAGGGTCGGCCGCCGCGCGTCATCGCCGCGAGCGCCCCCCCCCACGGCACCCAACGAGTGGCGACGGTCCTTCGAGCCCATCATGTTTGTCCGCACCAGCGCGCCTGCCTCAGTATCCCCCCCTCCCCCCTCTCCGCCCCCTATCTCAACTCTCCCGAACATCCGACTTGCCCGCGCGGCACCCAAGCGAGCCAGGGGCCATCCTGAGGCCAAGGGTTGCCTGGACTGCGCACCAGAGCGACACCCAGCCTCCGCCCCTCTCCGCCCCGCCTGGCACACAGTCCCCCGAAGACCCCACGCCTCTTGTCGGGCAGCGCCCCCCCAAGATGGGGCGCTCACTATTACAGAGCAACCAGCCAAGGCCTTGCACATCAAATTCCCTGCTGTGCCACACGCCCGTTCCTGACCGTGTGAACCACACGACGATGCTGCTGCCCGCTTCGCCCAGCGCCAGTGCGTCGAGAGTCACGGAGCGTCCCGGCCATGCGCGGGTCGGGTGCCCTCTTCTGTCGACAGCGCGAAGGAGCGCGAAAGGACCGCCGCACGGCGCCTTGCCGGGCGTCGCGGGCCCAGGCGGCGCACGCTCTCTCCGTGCCGACCGCTGCTGCCGCACGTCTGCGCGACGCGTGCATGCAGCGCAACGGCATTAGTGTTTGGGCCCCCATGTGATGTAAGGCTTCGTGCGGGCGGCCGACCTGCGGCGGAAACGCCGCGTGGTCCGGCAGAGGCCGCATGGTGGCAGGAAAGATCCGCGCGCACCGTGGCCGGCGCCTGTTTGGCGTCGCGTACCGCGGGGCAGCCGCGTCTAGGGAGCCCAGGTCTACAACACGGCCGGCCGGTGCACACGAACGCCTGGATTTCGCGATCGCGCGCTCGCCGCCGGAAGTTGGTACTGTAGGGGGGATTGTCGTCCGCCTGCGAGGGCCGGGGGGGGGTCCAGCTGGCGGACTTGGACCACAGGGGGGGCCCTAGGGTATGCCGCACTGTGCCTGGTGTGCGACATTGGGTCCACCCGCGAGCGGTCGGTCGCGTAAAAGAGCAGACTTTCTGACAGATTGATACAGCGCAAAGCAGGAACGATAGAAACAAGCTCACGGCCCGCTCGTACACGCGAAGGCGGCACCGGAGCTCGCAAGCCGCATCCCGGGCTCCGAAGAAGGTAACCAGCACGCCCGCCTGGACGGCCGGTGTCGGTCGCGGCGCCTTGGAGAGCGCGCGCGAGTCTTGCGTGCAGCCACGCGCCGCGAGCGACAGGCCGGCTCTGCCGAGCCACTCTTTGGCCGTTTGGCGTCGCCAGACGCCAGACGTGGCGGCACATCGACTCGTGCGGCCGCACTGGTCGTCGAGAGCCGGTGTGCGCGCAGCACGAGACGTACGAGCCGCTGTCGCGGCCGATCGCCGGCCCTCGACGCCACCATACCAGCTCGCCGCCGCCCGCCGGTCGCTGGGGATGGTTTTGACGGCGTCTGCCGCAAGCTGGCTCACATTGACCCCAACGCACCTTCCTGCCGACTCCCGTGCAGGCTACCTGCTCCACGGAGTGGTTCCAGTGCGGTGCTGAGCAGGCAGGCCTCGAGGACAGACCCTATACATCACCAATATAAGGCACGGGCCGCGGGGGGGGGTGCCTGGTGCATCCCGCGGCATGTGGCCACCAGGCACGCGCGCTCAGCCACACAACGGTGCCGCAGGCGCGGCGGCAGACGGATCCGCGACCCGACCGCTCAGGCTGCGGTACGTGCTGCTCAGCAGGTTCAGTGTCGGCGGGCGCCAACATGGAGGTACGAACCGACGCGTGCGCCACCGCTATGCGATCACTTTGTTGATTGACGCCCCCTGTATGCCGTACCTCCTCCCGAACCGCCCACGCTGTGATGCACTTCCTGGCCAGGACTTGGTTTTTTCGCGCCGACAGGCGGGAGCGTGCGCCTGCGGAATCCCCATGCGAGTGCGCACCAACCCGACTGCGCCAGTGATCCTTGTCACCGCAGGATGCGAATGCGGGCGCGAATGAGGGTCCACCAGACGGTGCAGCGCCGAACGGCGCGGCAAGCTTGCCCGCAGGCCAAGCAACTGGCCCGAAGCGACCTAGCAAGAGCGTGTTTCACACGGTGCCGGTGTCTACGCCTTCTCCAGGTGCGTCGCATTCGTGCGGGCGGTGGCAAGGCGCATTAACCCCACGCCCGCGCCGCCAAGGCCGACCCGACCTATTTCACCTCTCTGCAGGTCCCTTTGCGCTCGCTGACCTCAACTGGGTCACGGTTGCGTGGGCGAAATCCAAGACGGGGTTTGCGGCGATGGCACGCTTCTCGGAGTCGCGCTGGGACGACATGAAGGAAGGCGAGGCTCGCGTCGCAGGCCTCCCGCTGTACATCAGGAAGAGCAATGCCTCCAAAAAGGGCCTACCAGGAGGCGAACTGCACTGCTCGGGCGGGCCCGAAGATCATCGGGGAGGAGCCTCCCAGGCGCGGTTCCAAGGCAGGTCGCGGAAGGCCCTCGCGGAGCTGGAACGCCAAGGTGAGGGACCTACGCTGGCCACAGCATGATGGGCGCGCACCTTCCGTCTCGCGCACCAATCTTGCGCCTCCGCTGGCAGGCAGCTTGCCCAACATATCGTCCTGCTCTGAGTCTGTGTCGCAGACAACGTGACCGCGGCGGACGCCGATGCGCGAGGGTCGTACAAGAAGCGCAAGTTCACCAAGTCTCAACTCGGGACGAGCGTGCGGTGCGGGTGCCAGGTGTCCCTGAAATACACCACGCTCGACGAGGGTGAAGGGAACGTTCGGTCTGTGGCGGTCCGGTACGACATCCCCGCCGACTCGGAGGCAGGGCCGCCGCAGCACTCGGGGCACGACGTGGGAGAGTCTCTGCGAGAGGCGATTCAGCAGCACGACATGGACGGCATCCGCGGCTGCATCCCCCATCGCCTGAGTCTCAAGTCGCGCGAAGTACTGAGCGCGTATGCGACGATGGGCGTGGCCGTGTCTCGGGCGCTGTCGGGCCTGAGGGAGGACATCATGGCAGACTTCGCCGAGGAGACGAGCCTGTACGCTGAGTACGGGAACTTCTGGTCCGCCATGAGCCTGCTCGGCGCAGCCCTGAAGAAGCAAGAACTGCGCGACTTCCTCGCGACGAGTGACGACTACCACAACGCGAAGGCAAAATGCAGGGGGGATGATGGCGTGGGCTTCGCCGCCGACGACCAGCGGAGCTGCGAGAACATGGTGCGCGAGAATCGCCACATCTACCCTACGTACCGGCACCTCACGGCGACGACGCCGATGGTCTTGGTTCTGATGACCAAAAACATGGTCAGCCAAGGAGTTGCACACTGGAACAGGGAAGGCGCAGTGAAGAACATCTGCTTCGACGTCACCTTCGGCACGAACCGCTACAACTTCAAGACCTGCGCCGTGAACGTCGTCGGGTCGGCGGGTCGGTGGCGGCCGATCGCGATCTGCGTGTTGAGCGACGAGACGGCAGAGACTGTTGGGATGGCGTTGAACTGCGTTCGGGCGGAGCTGAACAAGGCGGGCGCGGAGAGCTGGGGCGAGACGCGGCCGGGCAAGCGCGCGGTGTTCATGACGGACTGCGCGGAGGCGCTGAAGCAGGCGGTCGCCACCACGTTTCCAAGTGCAACGCATGTGTGGTGCACGTTCCACATGCTGCAAGCGGTCCTCAAGAACCTGCACAGCAAGATCGGCCAGGGCGCGGGGGTGGGGGACCTGAAGAGGCGAATCTGGTGCGACATCGTGGACATGCTCCGGAAGGCGCGCCGTGATGTGCTGGGAGCATATATTGCATCTTCGGCGCGCGAGCAGCGGCAAGCGGACGACAGGGTGGCGGAGGACGCCGCTGCCGACATCGCTGCCTTCAATGCGCGGTATTCCAGCGACAGGCGCGCTGCGTCGTTTCTCAAGTACTTCAAGTCTCAGTGGGGTGCATCTGAGGTGACCGCGATGTGGATGCTGCGCTACCGATCGACGGACATCCCCACGACGGACAACGCCAGCGAGTGCCTTTTCAAGTGGATGAAGGACATGCTCAGCGCGCGGGGCGTGCGGTGCGTGCATCATCGGCGGCTTGATCAGTTCCTTCTGCACTGCATCTCCCAGGACGAGGAGCGGGCGGCGCTGGAGGCGGCGTGCGCTGTGGGTCTGCGCCAGCCCAGGGCGCTGCAAGAAGCGCTGCGAGTCGCCGAGAACGGCGGCGAGGCCTTGCGTCAATACGTGCAACAGTTGATGGTGATGTGGCCATTGGTCGACGGGGTGCGAGAACCCACGGACGCGCCCGAGCAAGGCAAGTGGGAGATCACGCGCGACGGTCGCTCTCGTGTGCTGGACTTCGTGGGGGGGAAGCTGACGTGCACGTGCGATCATCATGGGGTGTGCCATCACATGGCTGCGGTGCGTCAAAGGTACAACTTCACGTACAAGTGGTTCAAGGACGCTGTCGCGCACTTGGGGCCGTCCGTCGCGAGGCCACTCCCGGGGGACGACAGCTCCGAGGAGCAGGAGGGCGGCGCGGGCACCAACGCAGCTGCGAGAGCAACAGGCGCTAGCGCTGCTGTCGTCGGCGACCCCGCGGAGGGGGCGGGTGCTGAAGCACAGGAGGTCGCGTCGCCGCCGAGGCAGGCGGAGCTCGCGGCTGCGAAGCAAAGGATGATCGAAGGGATCAACGCGTGCGACAACAAGGAGCACCTGATGAAGCTCTATCGGGCGTTCCGAGATTGGGAGCAGAGCGGCCGCAACGGGTGAGCGCGGAGCACGCACCACGTGCGGTTGGCTGCTGGTTGTCGTGGCGCGATCTGCCCCGATGCACGCGAGCGCGCTCGACAACTTGTACACGCAAACCTTTTGCCCTGCAGGATAGAGTGGGAAGCCGGCGCGATCCGCAGCAAAAAGCGCAGGGAAGTGTACGCTCTGAAGCGGCGGTCGAAGAGAGAGCGTCGACGCGATCAGCGCTCGGGCGTGGCGGGAGACGCCTCCCGAGAGGGTGCAGCAACGTCATCATCGACCGACTCGGACCCCCAGACGTTGGCGCAGCGGTGCACGTGGAGGGTGCCGCGTGCGAACGAGGAGCGCGACGCGCTGAGGGCGAAGACGCGGCTGCCCGGGGACCCAACTGCTTCTGCCCCTCCAGCAGGCAACAATGCTGACCAGCGCACGGGCGGGGGTGGCGGTGGCCCGGCTGCGGGTGGGAGTCGGCCGGCAGACCCCGACGCGGCAGGGGAGCTCGTGCTGTCCGCGGCTCTGGCGCCGGACTGGTCCCAGCTGCTGAGCCAAGCACAAGCGACACAAGGCGGGCCGCCCGCGACACAAGGCGGCCAGCGTGCACTGGACCCGCGCGTCGACGAGAGGCACCAGGCGTTCGACTGTCTCGGGGAGCGTTTCATCGTACCCGCGGAGCGCAGGGCCATCGGGGGACCGACTGCTCACGAGCAGTTGTGGGAGGGCTGGCGATGGTGCCGCGAGTGCGGCAAATGGAGGACCAACGGGTTCGTACAGACCATGACGGCCGCTGTGCAGTACTTCAGGTGCTCGGAGTGGGACCCGGTCGGCAGATGTAGCGCGGATTGCAGCAAGTGCCACAGTGATGGCAGAGCCCGCAACAGCACGTGCCACCACTACGGTGCACCGCGGGGAGCACGCAGGTAGCTTCGGTGTGACGATACGTACCCGCCGCGCCGAAAAAACGGGCCGTCTCGCGACTGTGTCTCGCCTGAAACGCCCCCGACCCCACCACCTCATACTGGTGAAGTATAGGCCCTGCGCGGAAGCAGGTGCGGCGTCAGCGGGCATCGCGGAGCGCCCGCGGCGTTTCGCGGCGGTTTCCGCGACGGATCGGCACGGGCAGCGACATATCTTGCGACGACGGGGGAGAAACAGCGCGGTACGCGCCGCGGGAGGGCCCGCTCGGCGCTGCATGGGCGGCGGAGGACATGCCTGCTTTCCTAGCCCCGAGGACGGGTTGTACGCGCACGGTCCGGGCGATCCGAGGCCGTAGTAGGCCTTGTCGGCGTCCTCCTGGTACACCTTGATGGCGGCGTCGCGCGTGGCGGTCCCGAAGGCCATGCGAGCGGCCGTGGTCTTGGTGGACAGAGGCTGGTCGCCGTACCCGCGGACGGCCTTGTACGCGCCGGGGCCGGGCACCTGCGTGGCGTTGGGGTGGGCTTGCGGGCCGGTGGGGCGGGCGGTTGGGCGGGTTGAGGGCTCCGGGCGGGCGCACGCGCCGGAGCATCTGGGGAGGGGGACGAGTGCAGAGAGCCGGCGAAGGCGCCGCGAGGCGGCGGAGGAACGGCGGTTTCGATCGCTGCGCGGGTAGAGCTGGATTTGTTCCGGCGGGCGGCGGGGGCAGAGGGCGTCGGAGACGCGTGTGCGCGCTCGGAGGGGCGGTAGTCGGGAAGCCGCATGTCGAAGCTAACGCTGATGTCCGCGCACGGCGTGAAGCCCGCGCACGGCGCACGCAAGCGGCTCAACCGTAACAAGAGAGGCGAGCCGTCGGGCTTTGTCGGCGCCGCCGTGCCCGGCCGCGCCCTGCGCGGGCCCATTCTCCGCACCTGCTTCTTCCCGGGCTTCGGGAGCCGGGGGGCCGTTCCGAAGGAGTACAGCCCCGACGACTGGTACCTCGACTCCGCCTGCGGGCCCATCGCGCTCGTCGTCTTGTAAATTGGGCCCTGCGAGTTGTTTCCAGGCATCACCTTGGCATGGTCGCCGCTGATGTACTGCTTGAGCGACGACTCGCGCACGCTCGACCCGAAGCCGAAGCTGGGGTTCGAGGACTTTGTCGACAGGGGCTGCGAGCCGAAGCCCGAGCGCAGCCCCTGCCGCCCAAACTCCTTCAGAGTCATCACCCGCTGCCTCTACCAGCGACCCGCCTCGCTCCGAGTGTGTGTGTGCGCTTCGCGCGGCAGTCAGGTCACTACGCAGGTATCTCTCTGCGCCGCGGAGTGCCCGGCCGGCCCCGCCCGGGGCGCCGAAAGCGCCCCCACGCGCCCCGACCGGAGAGGACCCTCCAGGGCGCACGTGAGGCGTGGCTGGCGGGACGACACGCCGCGCAGAGGCGAAGCGCGCGCATTTTCACGTCGACTCGCTCGTTGCGAATGTGCAGGAAGAGAAGTGAAGAGTGATCGTCGCGGGGAACGGCGGCGAGCGCTGCATGAGGGGGGCAGTGGGGTGGTGCACGTGGGCGAGCGGCACGGGGCTGTGCGGCGGCGAGCAGCCGTGCGCGCTGGCTTTTGGCAGCGCGGGGTCCGCGGCCGTGGATTTGCGGCGCGACGAAAGCGAGCGTGCTCCGTGTCGGTGCGTGGTGATGATGGCGCTTGGCGGACGCACCACGACCCCGTGACCGTGAGACGCGGCCCGCGCCGCCGTGGCAGTCGCGAGAGAACCTCGCGTTGCGCGGTGATGACTCGTAGGGGCCCGACCGGGGCGACTCGTGGCCCGGGGGGGACTGAAGAGGCAGTCAGACATCTCATCGGTCCTGCGAAGCCCGGACCGTGGTGTTGTTGCGCTGGCGCGGCGCGGGATAGTGGCAGTGCGCGCGCCACGTATTGCGAGGAGCCACAGCACGCACGGTCGCCACCGGGCGCCGACAGCAAGTTGTTCAAGGCAGCGGCGCGTGCTGCCGGGCGCAGGTGAGAGCAATGCAATACACGCGCCGCCTGACGCACGTGGTCCGAAACGTCGTGGCGAGCGCTCGGGCCTCCCGGCCGGCGATGTGCGCGCTCGCGGCGCCGGAGACCGGCCTCCTAAATGCTTCAGTTGCCCGCGCGGCCAGCGCCGCGCGTGACGCGATCCCTGAGCACTGTGCAGATGTCGATATTTCTGTCGTGCACAGCCGCGTGACGCACCATCACGATTGGGGGCGGCCAGCGCACCACGTCGAGATCGATGCACGACAACCTCCGAGCCTACCGTCCGTCGGGCCATGCCGTTCTCCGGCGCTCCTCCGCCTGTCCCACGGACAATTTGTCACGCCAGTGTACGATCGGACAAATGACCTCGATCGTCAGAGGCGCCCGTGCGTGATCGTATATATTCCAACAGCCAACTTGATCCCGAGCTCTTCGTGGTAGTTTCGGGCTCTGCATCCCTCCAGATTTCCCGAATCAGAAACGAGTGATGCGTTCCCTCGCGCCGCAGGACGCGCAATGACGGCGTCAACCGGCCTGGGCAGCCCTCCAAGGCAGCGCAACGACGCAGGCCAGCAACCGCCGCCCCCGAGCAGGACGCCCCCCGCGGCGAGCCCTACACGCGACGTCAGCTCCAAGGGCACCAAGCGCAAGCGCGATGACGGCGGCCAGCGCCAACCGGGACGCGGGCGGAGCCCTGTTCGCCATCAACAAGCTCACGGCTTTCAAACGGACATCACCGGGCGCGCCGAACGACACACGCGGCAGACCGGCGCGCAGTGCGAGGAGCTGCAGCTCGCCGGCGCTCGCGAGCAGCTCGAGGCGCGGAGTGTGGCCGCTCAGGAGCTCTTTGCAACGGAACTGCGCCGCGCCTCAGAGCGCGTGGCGCGGCTGGAGGAGGACATCGCGCGTGCGCGCGCCGCGCAGGAGCCCTGCGCGCAACTGAGCACGCGCGTGGTGGAGCTGGAGGCCGACAACGCGGCTGTCCGTCAGACTTATGAGTCAGCTCAGCATAAGGCTCGATACGAATCCACCGAGCTCCCAAGCCTGCACGACGGCTTCGCGAGGGTCATCGAGAGCACGGAGGAGCCGGCCCCGGCCACGACGGTGGTCGAAGATACCGTGTCTGACGGCGGCAACGGTGCGCAAAGTCTCCATCAACATTGGCCTGTGCGGGGCGGGCCCGCCGAGCAGGACGGCGGTCGGCCCGCGCGGACGCTTAGGACAGATGGCGCCGACGAGGACATGTGGATGCTGGCGTGCCCGGAGGAGGGAATCGATGAGGAACGGTGTGCACGCGCTGCGAACGACGCAGAGGATCACGGCGTGCAGCGGCGGGGCGAGACGGCGACGCTGGCGCCAAGTGATGACGACGAGCAGTGGATGCCGCCTTGCGGCGGGCAGCTCGCCGAGCCCGCGGTGGTCGACCGGGGGGTCATTCAACAGGAGGGGGAGTTGTGTTTCCCCCCCCGTGCTGACAAGGCGATTGAGCGTAGGGTTGTGGTGCGGGGGCGCATCTATGACGACGTAACCGTGCTGTCGGAAGGGACGCAGGCCGCGTCTGAGGACCTCGTCATGTTGCACGGCGCCGGGCGGCAGACGCCGGCCGCACCCATGCCGCGGCCTGCTGCGTACAGGCCTCCTCGCTCGCACGGGGCCGGTCCCCTGACGGCGCACGTCACGCGGCGCCTCGCAGACCAGGTGGACGTCATCGCGCGGGAGTGGCAGGGGCTCATGGCGGGCCCGCGGCACAGCGCGGGGAGCAAACGCACTCAGCACGTCGTGAGCCTCACCAGCCGCAGGGCGTGCATCGGCGCCGTCCTGGGCGGGCTCGTGCTCAGCGCGCTGCGTCCCCCGGGGCAGCCGTGGCGCACCTCACAAGGCGTGGTGCGTGTGTATCCGCTGCAGAGCCGACACATGCTCGGCAACACGCTGCCCAGGCACGTGGCGGAGGAATACGAAGACGTGCCGCGGACTACGAGCGCGACGTGCAAGCCCTGCCTGGCGTGCATGTTGGCGGGGACCAGCGCAATGTGTCTGCACCCGCCGGGAGCGGGCGAGATGTGGCGGCGGGGGGACCTGCTGGAGGAGAGGCACGTGGCGGCCGCCGGAGACCGGGACTTCGAGCCAAACCCGCCCGACAGCGGCAAGAGCGACTGGAACGTGATCGGCGAGGCGCTGGAGCGCAAGGTCGTCACGCGGGCGAATGCGCGGCTGGTGCTGGACCACACCCTGGGGGTGTTACGGGGGGTGTTCGGGGACGAGGCGTGCGAGGAGTACGCGGGTTACGTGAAGTCAGGGGCGGCGTGCTCGCCGTTGGGCATGACGCCGAGGAGCAGTTTCTGTCGAGACACGGGCGCGTGTGCGCTGTTGGAGGACGCGGTTGGCGCTTGGGCAAGGAGCGACGCGCACGGGCCCGGTGACAAGGCGCAGGTGGCGCAGCAACCTACCGTCCTTAAGACATCGACTCCCCCACGGGGTGCGTTGAGCGGGCGGCCACGTCGTGCGCACGGCGCACAGCAACTTGCTGCGCGAAGCCCGTCGCCGCACACGGCTCGCTATCTGCACGTGCATATCGTGCATCGGCTCGCGGACCAGGTGGACGCCATCGCGCCACAGTGGCAGGCGCTCATGGCGCGCCCGCGGCAAAAGCCACTTGCTGTCGAGCGGGCGCACATCCGCCGGGCGTGCATCGACGGCGTCCTCAGCGGGCTCGTGCTCAGCGCGCTGCGTCCCCCGGGGCAGCCGTGGCGCTCCAGGTCCGGCGAGCTCGGTGTGCACCCGCTACGGAATCAGCGCAAGTTCAGCGAGGTGCTGCCCAGGCACGTGGCGGAGGCGTACAGAGGCGAGCCGCGGGCCGCGAGCGCGACGTGCAAGCCCTGCCTGGCGTGCATGTTGGCGGAGAGCGCCATGTGCCTGCACCCGCCGGGAGCGGGCGAGATGTGGCGGCGGGGGGACCTGTTGGCGGAGAGGCACGTGGCGGCCGCCGGGGACCGGGACTTCGAGCCGTATCCGTCTCAGAGCGGGAAGTCCGACTGGTTGTTGCTGGCAAACGCGCTGGAGCGCAAGATCGTCACGCGGGCGAATGCGCGGCTGGTGCTGGACCACACCCTGGGGGTGTTGCGGGGGGTGTTCGGGGACGAGGCGTGCGCCAAGTACGCGCAGGACGTCAAGGCAGGGATACACTCGTCGCACGTCAGCGCGACCTGTCAGCGCATGCGCGTGTGGGAGCTGCTGGAGCGAGCGGTGGACGCGTGGGTGGCTCGTTGAGTGTCGTTGATCAGTCGCGCCTGACGGATGTGGGGCCTGACGACGGCGACGTAGCACGAGACAGGCGGGTCCGGCGTGGTGTGGCGGTGGTCGACGAGCGCGTGTGAGCCCTTGGCAGGGCGTCGCAGCGGTGCGGGGCAACGCACGTGCTGGTGCCTCCGTTGGACCATCGAACGCGGCGGGGGGCGGCCAGCTGTCGCAGGCCGACGGGCGCGCCGAGGTCGCGGTGTCGCCGGCGGCTGCGTTTGACGTGACGCTGAGTGTCATCAGTCAGGAGGGCTTGAAGCCTTGGCAAGTTGCTAGCGACTTGCCGCCGTGGCGGCCGCACGACGCTTCCGTTCGCAGCCCGCGACAGCCACGACGGGATGGCGGTCGTGCTGTTGTCCGAGAACCATCACTGCGCCTGACACGTGCGTGCGCATCTTCGCGTGTACGGTGGTGGTTGAGCTCTCTTCCGCGGGCGACTCTGGCATAGATTCTGTCCGGACCGCAGCGCGAGGAGGCCTTGATGCATGTGACCGTGCGGATGATACCGACCGATTCAGAGGGGGGCTGAGCAGCGCAAATTCCGGTCGGGCCCCAGGAACAGACACTCCGTGGGGGGCTGTTGGCCCTCTCCTGCTCGACGACGGTGGCGTCGTCGGGCTGGCGCGCCGCGGGACGACTGCAGTGCACGCGTCGCGTCGTACACCGTGCGAGGAGCCCCGACAGGCGTCGTCGCAGCGAAGAAGGCCTCTGGGGAGCATCGTGCGTGCTCGTGGGAGCAGGTGAGAGCCACTCCTCGCAATGTGGCGGACGCGCGTGTTACTGGACGCTAGTAGCAATGACCAGAGCACTTCGGTGAGGGACGTACGCTCCGCTCGCGGCCCCGGAGCCCGCTGGACCACATTGCGGGGACTTCTCGGCCATGGTCGCTCGTGCCGGCGTGTCTGATCCGTTCTTGCTGCGCAATTGAATCTCCGTCGCCGGCACGAGCATTTCCGTGCGCGGCATCCATCGTTGCGCACCGTCGCGGGCGGCCCGCGCCGCACTGGTTTGGTTTTCGCCCCTCTGGGCCCGCCGACGCCCACGGCGCGGCGCGTATCGCTCCTGCGCGCCTTGTATCACGATAACGATGCGAGGAAGCCCTTAGTCTGATCAAACGCGCTCAGTCGGCGAGCCCTGAACGATCCACTGGGACTGGTACCTCCAGCTTCAAACCCACCGCGCGAATGCTCGCGCCCTGCGGTGAGTCCAGGCGCTCCATCGGCCGCAGTGCACGCACACATGTTCGAGCGATGCGTGCACGTGCGCTGCAGGACGCGCGATGACGGCGCCGACCGGGCTCGTCAGCCCGCCACCGCAACGCAGCATGGAGCAGGCAACGCCGCCCACGCGCGCGGTGCCGTCCGCGTCGGACCCCGCGCGGCACGGCGGCACACAGGGCGTCAAGCGCAAGCGCGAGGACGGCGACGAGCGCCAGCCGTGCCGCGGGCAGCACGGCGCCTCCCCTGTGCGCGGGGTGACTGAAATTCCCGGACTCGAGTCTCTCATGAACATCGCCGGGCGCGTGGAGCGGTTCGCGCAGCAGCTCGAGGAGCAGCACGACGAGCGGCGGCTCGCCGACGTCCAGCGGCAGCTCGCGGCGCAGACCGCGGCCGCCGCGCAGCACGCCGCTGAGGCGCGCCTCGCGTCGGAGCGCATGTCGCGGCTGCGGGAGGAGCTCGCGGCCGCGCGCGCCGCGCAGGAGGAGTGCGCGCAGCTGCGCAAGCGCGTTGCGGAGATGGAGGCCGATAACGCGACCCTGCGCAAGCTGAACGAGGAAGCTCAGGCGGTGGTGCGGTACGGGTGCACCGAGCTCGCGCGGCTGTACGAGGGGTACCCGGGCGTCATCGAGAGCGTGGTGGAGCCGGCCGCGGCAGCGGCGGCGGTCAACGGGGGCGCGGGGGGGTCCGGCAGCGGCCACGCACGCGGTGCAGAGGGCACGCGGCCCGCGCGGGGGCTGGCCGCCGCGCAGGGCGACGGGGGTGCGTCGGGCACGCCGACGTGCTCGGAGCGCCTCCGGGATGGGCGCGCGCGCGACGCCGTCGAGGACCACGGCGGCGAAGCAGCGGCGGGGGCTCGCGACGGCGGCGCGGGCGCCGGGCAGCGCGGGCCAGCTGCGGGCGCCGGTCCGCGGCGGGCCGCGGCGGGCTCATACAGCGCCGGTCGAGGGGGTGGTCACGCGCAGAAAGGCGCTGGGGCGGAAGTTCACGCTCCGGAGTGCCGGGTTGCCCGGGAGCGAGTCGCGGGGCGCGAACGTGCCGCGGAAGCAGATGCGGGGCGCGTCCGGCACGGTCGGGCGGCACGTGCCTGCGCCGCAGCTCGCTGCGGTGCCGGTTGTGTCGCACACGGCCACGTACGTGCCGGCGAAGGTCGATCAGCGTCTCAGGCCGCAGACGGGCGCGATCGCGCGGGAGTGGAAGGAGCTTGCGCGCGCGCGGCAGGACAGCCTGGAGCAGCGCGTCAGGGCGCAGGCGCAGCGGGCGTGCGTCGACGGCGTCCTAGGCGGGCTCGTGCTGAGCACGCTGCGTCCCGCGGGGCAGCTGTGGCGCACCGCACGAGGCGTGGTGCGCGTGCACCCGCTGCGGGCCCGGCTCGAGTACGGCGACATTCTGCCGAAGCACGTGGTGGAGGCCTACGTCGGTGTGCGGACGGCGGGCGCGACGTGCAAGCCCTGCCTGGCGTGCATGGCGGCGGAGAGCGCCATGTGCCTGCACCCGCCGGGAGCGGGCGAGATGTGGCGGCGGGGGGACCTGCTCGAGGAGAAGCACGTGGCGGCCGCCGGGGACCGGGACTTCGAGCCGAGCCCGCCCGACAGCGGGAAGAGCGACTGGGAGGTGCTCGGCGACGCGCTGGAGCGCAAGATCGTCACGCGGGAGAACGCGCGGCTGGTGCTGGACCACACCATGGCGGTCCTGCGGGGGGTGTTCGGGGACGAGGCGTGCGAGGACTACGCGCGGCACGCGCCCCCGATGTACGTGGGCGTGTGCAAGCTGCTGGAGCGGCCGGCGGACGAGTGGACGAAGAGCAAGCCTTGACAGCAGGGGTCTGACAGGGGCCGGGGCGGCGTGGAGGAGCGCGTGTGAGCCTGCGCGGTGTGTGCCCGCGGCCGGCGCGCCTGCACGTTCGCGCTGGCCTGCACAGCGGACGCTGGTGCGGTGTGGAAGCAACATGCGCTCCTGCGTGTGGGGCGTGCTCCGGCGGCCTGTGCAGCGCTGGCAGAAAAGCGCCTGGGAGGGTATAACAACTCCTGGACGCAGCGGGCGACGTCGGCAGACAGGACGTCGGGGGCGGCCCGGGCCAAGTCCAGCGGGCAGTGCGCACGCTCAGCAGTACGTGCACCTGTGTTTTCAGATCCCTTCCGCTCGCGAGGCAATCCGGAGATGAGTGCGTGAGACGCACGGGCCACCTCGTGTCATCACAGGCAAGCTTCCCTCCCTGCTGCGTGATACGCGTTGCAACGCAGCGCCAGCTCGCGCGGCGGCGAACATGCATGCGACAGATGCTATTGCATGGACTATCTTGCCGCGGCGCGCGCTATCCGGGCGGCTCGAGCACCTGCGGTTCCTGCCAACCGAAAGGCACTGCGTGTATCGCGATAGCGAGGGTTTGGGACCCTCACTTGCAGCGGACGGGCGGCACTAGATCCAGAGTTTCCCTCGAGCCCCAACATACATCCCGAGCCGCGGTACTGGGGCGCCGCGGGCGGTAAACGTCAGAGCCATCCGTGTCGCCCGTAGACACATGACGTGGCACTTTCTGGGCCTACCGGGGATACTTCTAGATCTCACATACAGCTAGTGCCCTGAATCCTCGCAAAAGTAGCAATCGAGACACCTGAACACGACATTCTGCGGTGTGCCTTGTGTCCACACCCACCGCCTCGCCCGCCAACTCCGTCCATCTCGTGACGCTCAAGACCAGACGAACGCGCTCACACCAACATGCAGGATCGATATCGGTCTGAAACAACGAGAGAAGACATGTTCAGTAACGCCCGACGGCCCCCCTGCCACGATGCGGCGGACCTGTGCTGGGAAGGCGTCGATGCGGCGTTTTCGCCCACGCCGAACCCAGCTCCAGCTGGCGACGATCTCCTCTGGACGCAGCGTGTCCCGCAAGCCGGCCCCGGGGGCGGTGTCGGCCACGGGAGCGAGCCCAAGAGCGGTCCTGCTCCCAAGGACCTCGCGCTGGGCTTGAAGCAGCTGCGCAACCTGATCGACATGTACATCGCACTCTGCGAGGGCGAACTCGACAAGGACCGGCAGATCGATGAGCTCCGGCGCGAAAACAAGCGCCTCCAGGCGGAGCTGGAGCAAGCGGGGCAGCCACGGCGCAAGCGGCAGAGGACCGCGGAGGAGGGTGCGGTCCAGGCGCGGGCGCGCTCCACGCAGACCCCGATCGATCCGCGCGCCGCGGGCAGCCGCGGCCCTGCGTCGCTCGTCGCGAGCGAGGACCGACAGGGCGGGAACAGGCACGACGTGGGGGCCGGACGGGGCGGCGACGGAGACGGAGGAGGCGAGGGCGCGCCCGCTGACGCCGACGCGTGGGCGGGAGACGGCGAGCCCGAAGCGGGGGGGTCCGGAGCGGCGCCGGAGGGGCCCCTGCGCCTGACGCGCATCTTGCCCGCGCTGGTGGAGGGGGCGTCTGCTCCGGGCGGCAGCGACGCTGCGGAAGAGACGGAGGAAGACGCGGCTGAGATGGAGGGGGAGGGAGGCTACGGCGACGCGGCGGCCTCCGATTTCGGTGACTCTGGGGATGCCGCTGGCAGCGGCGCTGGGGTGTTCACGCCCTCTCAGGCGCTCGCTGGCAGCGACGGGGTGCAGGGGAGCGACCTGGCTGCGGACGACGGCGGCGTGGTGCCGGGGAGCCCGACGTCGATGTTCATGCCTACCGCTGCAGTGGGCGCAGCGCTGGTCCAGGGCACGCCCGGTGCCGGCAGCGAGGGCTCGGAGGCGGTCGCGGACGGCGGCGGCGGATCCTCGGGGGCGCCCGGTGCAGGCAGCGAGAGCCCGTGGGGATCGGCAACGGCGATCGACGACGAGGACCTTGTCCCTGACGGCGACAGTGAGGGTGCCGCTGTCGCGCCGGAGCCGCTTGCTGGCGCCGCGGCGCAGCATGGCACGCTGCACAACTTCAACATGGATCTGGAGAGGCAGCGGGAGGCGCTATCGGCCGCGTTCCTGGGGATCGACGCGTGCAGCGAAAACCACGCTGCTTGCATCATCGACCGGGTTGTTCTCGGGCTCGTCGTGAGCGCCTTCCGCCGCTCTCCGGGCCGTCAGGAGCACCCCGGGATCGTGGCGGCGGCGCTCAGGCCCGTCAACGCCGGCGCGCTACTGTTCTGGGACCCTGACACCGCAGACTACGTTCACAAGGGCCGCGGGCGCACCGCGCGGCCGTGCGCGCAGCCGTGCCTGCGCTGCATCGCCGCCAGCGACTGCTGCGTGCGCAAGATCGAGTGTCACCACCCGCCGGACCGCGAGACGGAGCTGTGGCGGCTGGGGCACTTGCTGACCGACGCCGACGTGGTCTGGGAGCTGGACGACGTCGAGATCGCGCCGAGCGAGGCGGGAACGAAGGACCTGGCCTGGGACATCATCGTCAAGGCGGTGCGCGACAGCAGCAAGCCGCACGTCACGGGGAAGGACGTGGCGGAGGTCGCGGAGTGTGCGTTGGGGTTCGTCAAGGAGGTGTTCGGGACGGAAGCGTACGAGGCGTGGTATCAGAAGCGGCACGGCGAGTACGCCGACGCGGCGCTCGCTGTGCAGCTAGCTCGGTCGCGAGGATGAGAGCGATCGCTGCGTGCGGCACGCGGGGACGTGCGTGGCGCGTGCGGAGGGCGGCGGGGCCGGCAGCAGGGGTGCGCTGCCGGGCGAGGGCGTGCGTGTGAGCTCCGCGGGTTGCCTGTGTGCGACGCGCGAGGGGAACGCGTGCTTGATTTGCTACGTGGTCACCAGCGGCGGCGACGGTCGGTGGTCGCCGCGGGGGCGCGGCGCTGGGGCGAGCGCCTGGGGTGCGCGAGCGTAAGGGCTGCCGGGGTGTTTGAGCGGCGGAGGTGGCTGGAGGCCTGACGTGGGTGCAGGGGGGGTCCTGCACAGCACTGTGCAGGCTCGCGGCTCTTCGTTGCATCGCAATAGTGGCCGCGACGCTCATCCGTCCGTCTCATCAGTCCCTTCTGTGTACGTTAGAGCGTCTCTCTCTTCTCAGCGCGCGCTGCACGGGCTTCCCGCCCTCTCTTGTCTAGACGCACCCCCGTCCGGGCTCCTCGGCGCCCCGAGGCCGACGTACGGCCTGCGCGAGCGCACCAGCCGGGATATTGGTGCACGGGCGGTCGATCTCGTACCGGTCGCTGCGGTCTGGGGGCCACAGTCGGCCGTGTGCGCATCAGCTTGCGCTGCTTTTCGCACACGCAGCACGCGCGGTCGCTCCGTGTGGCGCCGAACCACTTCTTTTGGGACGCCGCACGTCCGTACGTGCGAGTTTCGGGCCGTAGGATGTCCTGGTAGCCGTTTGCTCGTGGAACGACGTGGCCGCGGAGCACCATGGGCGCTGGGCAGCTGGGAGCATGGCTCTCCGCCTTCCGCAAGCGGCACGGCCGCGACCCGGCCGCCCAGGACCTGACGCCCGAGGTTCGGAAGATGATCGCCGCGGCGAGGCAGAGCGCTGCTGGTGCCCAGGACGGCACCCCGCCCCGCGCCCACTCGCCCGGCGCGGAGAACCGCCCCCCCTGCGATGACGTGATTCCCGCGTCCCCGGCGGGAGCGAACCCCGTTCCCGAGACTCCTCCCGAAGCAGTCGCGCGGCCTCGCGCCGAACGCTCGCCCCAGCGGGACGCGAGCGCGGACGAGGCGCCGAAAGCCGCGCGTGGGCTGTTCTCGAGGCGTGGCGGGGCGCTGGGGGCGCAGACCGGCGCGGGGCCGATGCGCAGGCTGCCCACTGGTCCGAGGAAGCCAAACAAGTACGACGAGCAGGTCGGGACCCCGCTCACGCACGCCGCGGCCATTGCAACCACGCATTCATGATTTCCAACGTCTCTGAGACGCGCTCCCGCGACGTTCCTGCCGCCGCCCCGCCGCGCACCGCAGCACGCCAACGTCCAGCGCGCCCTCGAGGAGCGCCGCGTCCAGCGCCAGGCCGAGGACCTCGCGACGCGGGACGCCGCGATGTTTGAGTCTGACGGCGATGGCGAGGGCGCCGCCCGGCCGGAACCGGAAACGGGCGCGGCCGCCGCGCCGCACGAGCGCGGCGCAGCTCCTGCGGCGGGAGGGTCTGCCGGGCGCGCGGCCGGCGTCGCGCCGCCGTGTGGTGCTGCGGCGGTGGGTATTGAGTTCCGCGGGTCGCACACCGGCGCCCGACGGGGCCCGGGGGTCGGCCCGCGCGACGATGCCGGTGCTGCCCGCGCTGTGGGCGAAAGATCCGGCGCCGCCGCAGCAGCAGCCGTGCAGGACACGGCTGTCGGCGCACCACCTGCGGCGCGGTCACGTGGGCTGCAGGCCGCGCCTGGGGCCGCGCGAGGACCTTCGCCTGGAGGCACTGGGGCCGCGCAGTCGCGCAGCGCGCGCCCGAGCCCGGCGGTCGGCTCGGACGAGGGCGGCAGCTCAGCGGACGACAGCAGCGGCAGCGAGGGTGCCTCCTCGGACGACGGCGGCGGCGCGTCGGACGGGCCGATCCGGTGCGCGCGCCGCGGGCCCGCAGCGCGTCCGGCGCCGTCGCGCGCGGACGTCGAGGCGCTGACGCGGCAGGACGTGGAGGGGATGGTCGTGTCTGACATCAAGGAGTATCTGCGCGGTGTGGGCCTGCCTGTGTCAGGGCGCAAGGCGGAGCTGCTCGAGCGGCTGGTGTGCGCCGCGGAGGAGGGTCTGGAGGTGGCGCTGGCGGAGCACGCCCCGCAGAAGGCCCGGAAGAAGAAGGATGCGGTGGTGGGGATTCCGGGGGGCAACTTCGTGCGGTTGAACACGAAGCGGAAGTGGAAGTCCAGCCGGAAGGGCCGCGCGCCGAAGCCCGGGAAGTGGAGCAAGCCGACGGCCGCCCTGGTGCGCACGCGACCCCCAGCACCCCCCGTACTCGATCGCAACACGGCCCTCGAATAAACCAACCACGCACGCGCTCATCCCTCTCCCGTGCGCCGCGAGCCTCCGCAGGCCCAGGCCGGCGTCGGCGTCAACGCCAAGGGGCTGCACGGCGTCACGGCGCTCGAGGGCGTCGAGGCAACCATCGCGCGGAGCGGGCTGGATCCGCAGCAGGTCCTGCGGAGGGGGACCTGCTTCCGTTGCGGCGGTGCGGGGCACTGGGCGGACGACTGCCCGCTCGGGAAGGAGGGCGGGCCGCCGCCGAGGGTTCCGGTGGGTCCCAATGGGGCCCCGCGCCCGCCGTCGGCGCAACACCCGCTGCTGCGGCGCGGGCCGGCGCCGGAGCCCGGCATCAACGAGGCTGCGGCCGTGGGCGTGCCGGGCGACGACGCTGGCGCGAAGTGGATCGCCCGCACCGGCGAGTGCGGTCAGGGGGGGGTGTTTCGCGCGCCAGCGCTGCAGCCTGCTTCCGAGGAGCTGCTGGGCTGCCTGCGGGACGTGTTCGGGCACGAGGGCTTCCGTCCTGGCCAGGAGGAGGTCGTCCGGCGCGTGCTGTCGCTGCAGCCGACGATGGCGGTCATGCCCACGGGCTCAGGCAAGTCGCTGTTGTACCAACTGCCCGCGGCGCTCCTCGCGGCGCCGGTGGTGGTGCTGTCGCCGCTGACGGCGCTGATGCGCGACCAGCTGCGCGCCCTGCCCGCGGCGCTGCCCGGCGCGATGATCACGGGGCAGCAGCCGCGCTCGGAGGTAGAACAAATCATCCAGCGGTTTGCCAGGGGGCACATCAAGCTGCTGTACCTGTCGCCGGAGCGGCTCCAGTCCACGTGAGTCCCCCCCCGCCAAGGCAACGCTCTGCCCGCCCACGAGAGAGCCGCACGGAGTGCGAAACCGATCCACCTGCCCTGGTTCCGACCGTGTTTTTCCACTCGAAGTTCCTCATGTTCCCGTCCCTCGCATGCAGGGTCTTCCGGCGCGCCCTCGCGGGCTCGTCCGTGCGCCCCGCGGTGGTCGTCGTCGACGAGGCGCACTGCGTCACCGAGTGGGGCGTCAACTTCCGCCCCGCGTACCTCCGCCTAGGGTCCCTGATCCGCGACGTGCTGCAGCCGCAGTGCACGCTGGCGCTGACAGCCACGGCCACCCGCGCGGCCGAACAGGCGGCGCTGAAGCTGCTCGGCCTGCCGCGCGACTGCGCGACGCGCTGCGCGCCCGTGCCGCCGAACCTGCGGCTCATGGTGCGGCGTGTCGACGGCGACGCTCTCGGCGCGCAAATGCGGCAGGCGATCCTGTGGGCCATGAAGCACGGCGAGCTCAAGGACCACTCGTGCATCATCGTGTACACGCTGTACCAGGTGCGCCGTCGCCGAGCCGCGCCGGCGCGCTCGCGGCCGCGCAAGCGCCCCTGACTGACTGACTCAGCTGAGGGGTGTTTGTTTCGTGACCGTCATGCAGCACCACGCGGACCAGATCGCGGCGCTGCTGTCCGCGGGCGGCGTCACGGCGCTGCCGTACCACGCCGGGCGGCGCACCGACGACCGGCTGCTCGTGGAGCGTCGTTTCCGGGAGGGGCATCTGCGCGTGGTGGTGGCGACGGTGGCGTTCGGCATGGGGGTGGACTTGTCGCGCGTGACGGGCGTGGTGCACGCAGGCATGCCGCGGTCGATGGAGGAGTACGTGCAGCAGGTCGGGCGGGCGGGTCGGTCGGGCCGCGAGGGGGTGTGTGTGCTTCTGCTGTCCGACGCCGAGTTCGTGCGGTCGCGGAGCCTGGCGTTCTCGGACGGCGTCGAGCGCGCGTGCGTCGAGGAGATGCTGCGGCAGATCCTCGCGGACGACGGCGCCGGAGCGGGGCGCAAGCGGGCCCGCGACGGCGGCTGCCGCTGGCGGGTGCTGGCGCTGGACGGCATGTGCGAGGCGCTGGACGCCAAGCGCGAGGTGATCGAGACGGTCACGGCGTTCCTCGAGGTCAGGGAGCCGCCGCTGCTGACGGTCCACCCGCCGTGCTCGGAGTTCGTGGAGGTTATGTTTTTCGGGTACGTCGGCAAATACCCTCGCAAGACTGCCACCATCACAGACACGTCGCGTCATGCGCATGCGGACCGAGCGAATCTCGGCCCGCTTCTCGATCGCGCAGGGATCCGGAGGCGCTCGCGGCGAGACACCCCGTCCTGACAGCGGTGCTCAACATCTGCCCGCGGTCCCGCAACGGACGATACAAGGTGGCGATGGCCGCTCTGGTCGCTGAGACGAGCGCCGCGCCCCACGACGTCCTCAAGGAGCTCGCGGACGCCGCGGGCGTCGGACGGGACGCCAACGGGCCTGCCGGCGGCGACGGCGCTGGCGGGGCTGAGAGCAGCGCTGCGGGCGCGGACGGCGTGCGCTTCGAGCTCACCGGGGGGCCGGCGCTCGTGTACCGGCTCGCGCGGACCGCCGGCGACGACGTGGACCCGCAGGAGGTGTCGGGGGAGGTGTTTGGGCGCATGCGTCGGGTGGAGTCAGGGCAGGTCGCGCGCCTCGACGCGCTGTACCGCGTCGCGGCCGCGGCCGCGCGCGAGGCCGACGCGAGCGCACAGGAGGCGCTGGTCCGGGAGCAGGTCGGGCGCTACTTCGACGAGGCAGCTCCGTCTGTCGCCCCTGACTCAGTCGCCGACGTCAGCGCCGCGACGGGGCCCGCGGCGGAGGCGCGCCTGGCGGGGCTGCCCCTCCAGCGTCCGGGTCCGATCCTGCACGCGGACATCCGGGCGTTCCTGGACACGCGACCCGAACTGGTGCGCGGGAGCGAGCGCGGGAAGCGGGCGAGGAAGGTGCGCGCCACGGACGCAGCGGCGACGCCGCGGGCGGTCGCGCGGATCTTCCACGGGCTGGGGTCGCCGGCGTACCCCGCGAAGGCGTGGTGGGACGCGTCGGAGTGGAAGCGCTGGGCGGCGGTGGACTTCGTGTGCGTTGTGGAGGCCGCGCGGCAGGAGCTGGCGCTGGCGCGGCGCAGGATGCGCGAGCGGGGCGAGATCGACGAGGACGAGAGCTCAGAGTGATTCGATCTCGCGTCAACGACCAGACGAGGATCACAGACTGGTGTTGCTTCCATTCAAAGCTGTGTGACACTGCAGAGCTTCAGTGCCACGGACGGTCCGCAGCGCCCTCGTCGTCGTGCACCCCGGCGTCCCCTGTGTCCGGCTCCGCCGCCGCAACGTCGCCAGCGGCGGGCTGCGGCGCTGGAGCCGTGATGCCTGTTAGCGGCACCCACGGCGACGGTTCGATGCCGAGCTTGGCTTCCAGGGCCGCCCAGGGGTTCTCGAGCATGCTCGGCTTCAGCCACCCGCGCCTCCCGCCGCCGCCCCCGCCGCCGCGGCGCCCACCGCGGTTGCTCTCGCCGCCGCCACGGTGGAACTTCGCCGGCCTGCCTCCGCCGCCCCTCCCCCCGCGACCGCCGCGCCCGCCGCGTCCTCGGTCGTAGCGACCTGGACCATGCGCGGGCGGGTACGGGTGAGGAGGCGGAGCGCCGTACGGCGGCGGTGGAGCGCCGGGAGGCGGGTGTGGAGGAGGTGGGCCCGGCGGGTGGCCCAGGAGGGCCGGTGACGGCATGGGCGGTCCAGGTCCAGGTGGTGGACGATCTGGAGGGGGCGGCATTCCGCGAGGATGCGGGTGCCGAGGTGCGTGCGGGCGTGGTTGGCCGACGGGGACGGCGGGCGGCGCTGAAGGTCGCTGATGCTGGGCTAGCGGGTCGCTGTAGAAGCTGAACGTCGACGCCGCATGCCCGCTGGTCTCTCTTGCAGCGGTTCCGTCGTCCGCGAGGGGGTTGGCCAGAGACTTCCCGCCTGAAGCCCCAGGCTCGCCTGCAACCAACAAGACTTCCAGCTTTGGCTATTGCCGTCCCAAATTGCCTATATATATCAGGGCGAGACACATCGCTGCTCGTGCACGAACATGTGGGGCGACGAGACCGGGCATCACGAGATCCCCACACGCAGCGCATCGCGATGTCAGGGCGAGCGCACCGCCGGACGCCTGCTCGGCCGCCCTCTGACGCAGCGCGGCGAGGCGCGCCTTGCGTTCCCGTGCCTCCTCCATCCTGCACGTGTCCCGACCGCTCTGCACGCGCGCCTCAACAGCCATGGCAAGCTCCGACCCTTGCTGATGTCACTTGACTCAGGCCAGACGAACGATTCGAGGGGCAACGCCCCCTGGAGTGACGACCGGGACGGCGCGAATTCTCCAGAGGCGCAAGCACTCGTCGCGCCGCTCGACCGCCTCGCCGCCCGTCGGACATACGAACTCACCGCGCTGTGTGTGTGCAACATCGCGGGGGCAATGTTAGTACTTCGCTGACCTACAAGCACCCTCGCCGCGAGGACGCTTGAGCGACCGATGCCTGCGCCTGTGCCCGCCGCACACCCTCACGGCGCGCGCGGCCGTCACCGTCACCGTCACGCAGCGCGATGAGCTGCGGCCCTCGTGTGCTCTTACATCAGAAGGCCCCGCTCCGCCTCCAGCCTCTCGAGGCCCTGCCACACTCACGTCGCCGCTCGACACCCGCCTGTCGTTCCCCCTTCCCCGGGGCCTTGGTTGGTACCGTGGTTGGACGATGTCCCCGCATTACGGCATCTAGCGGCCGCCCCCTCACAATCCGTGCGGCAAGTAAGCATCTCTTCCACGTCGGCACCCCAGCGCCGCCAGCGCCTCCCGCGTGCCCTCGTTGGCGACGTTGTCCCAGAACATGGCATCAAACACCCGCACCGCCGCCCCGCGCCGCACCGCGCGCACGAACGCCTGCGCCGTGCTGTCGTCCATCGGGTCTGCATGAGCCGCGTGGGATCCATCGGTGTCATTGTCGCCGAGACGGAGCTCATGCAGCACCGACCCAGCACCCAGTGCAGCAGCCAGCGCTGCGCCTCCCGCACGACCGATGCCGTTGTACATCAGGTCGAGCGTGCGCAGCGTGGTGTTGGTCCGCAGCGCCTGCGCTAACTCTCTCGGCTCCTCGATGCTGACCGAGCACCCCCTCAGATGCAGCTCCTCCAGTGCGCATCCCTGCTGCCGGGCCGACGCGAGCGCCGCCGCCCCCCAGTCCGTAATGTCCGCATTGTAGCTGACATTCAGCTGATGCAGCGTCCTCCCGAGCGCCCCGTGCTTGATCGCCTTGGCGAGCTCGAACACCTCGTAGTCGTCGAGGCTACAATTTTCCAGCGTCAGCGACTCGATGCACGATTTGTCCATCACCGACCGTGCAAACATCACCAGGCCCTGACCCACCGAGCTGCGCTGCATGCAAGGCCCCACGCTGCGCAAAGTGACGTGCGACAGCACGCTGCCCGCCGCCACCGCCCTCCCGAGACCCGCCAGCGCTTCGCCGCTCAGCCACGTTGACTCGAAGACGAGCTCCCGCAGCGACCTGTTTTTTCCGACGCCCTCCATCAGCGCCACGCCGTGCTTCCCCTCGACCATGACGTTGCCCGACAGCACTAGACGCGTCAGCGTGTGGTTGGCCCCCAGCGCCGCCCCGATGGCCCCACACACCTTCGTGCCAACACCTGACGCACTGACACACAACTTAGCGTCGAGCTCGAGCTTCCGCAGCGTCGTGTTGCTCCTCAGCATCTGCTCGATCCCCGGGACGTCGTCGAAGAGGAAGTTGTGGAAGCCCGTGAGGCGAAGCTCCTCGATGCATCCTTTGCTCGCCAGCGACAACATTGCCTCAGTCACCGGCATTGTTTCGTTTGGGGGGGGGAGGAGCTCGTCCCCGTGAGGGGGACACCACAGGTGGAGCCTGCGGAGCCTCCGCAGACCCCGCAGGCCGTCGCAGATGTCCTTGCAGATCCGCCAACCTTCGCCAGGCGGGTCCACTTTGAGACACTCCAGGTTCGGGATGCTGGAGAGCAGCTGCGCCAGGTGCGGAGTCGCGGGACGACGTCGACGAAACTCCAGTCCGCTCACCCGAAGCACCTTGAGGTGTTCTTGCGTCGCCGGCCGCCCCAGCAGCAGCATCAGCGCCTCCCTCCTCCGCCTTGAGTTCCAGGTACCACACTCGGGGCCCAGTCGGATGGATATGGCGCGCACCCGCACAGGGGCCCCCGACTGCACCGCCAGCTGCTCCAGAATGTTCCTTGCGCCGCCGTCAAGCGAGGACCGTGCTCGCAGCGCGTCAGCCAGGTCGACGACCGTCGCGGCGTCGTCCGCGGCAACCTCCACGTGTGTGTGTGCGCAGAGCGAGTCGTTGCACCTGTCGCGCGCGAAGACCCACAGTCGCAAGCTGCTCGGCGCTGGCACGTTCCGCCGCTCCATGCGCCGCGCCAGCCCGCGCACCACTGCCAGCGCGCCCTCGTCGAGCGTCCCCAGCGACACGAGGAGCACGGCAGAGGTGTGCTTGAGGGTGGCCAGCAGCGCCGCCCACGACGTCGCCGCCACCGCGCGCCGCGACTCCTCCGGCAGCGACTCCAGCACCGCCGGCGCGCTGGCGATCAACTCCTCGAACGCCGACGGCCGATGCGCGGGGCACTCGTTGGCAGCCTGCGAGGAATCGCGCGAGAAGGGGAGCATTACGTATACCCTGCAGGACGTGATCAATCAGCGACGAGTGTCATGCAGCGACGCTTGCCTCGCGCACTCACCATCTCCGGAGATGCTCGCGCAGCGCCTGCACGTCCCGCGGTGCCCTCCTGCCTTGCGCGCCGTGTATTGCGCGGATCCCCTGATGCCCGACGTCCCTCGCCGAGGTACTTGACCGACGTACACCGCACTCAGCACGAGAACCTTCTCGCTCGCGGCGGCCCGCTCCGCAGGCGCCTCCCTCCCTCGGTGCCCAGCCACCAGGCCGCTCCCGGGGTCGAGGGCCGCAAAGTTCAGCCAAACCACGCGTGTCAGGGAGCACCGACCGCTCTCGGACAATTGCGCGCCAGCCGTCTGTTGGAGATCCTGAACCCGCGGCGTCCCAGGTTGATTGGTTGCACAACCTACGTTGCGGGCCCCACGTGTCAGGACAGCGGGGGCGTGCGACAAGCAATGAACGGCCTGCTTTATGCTCGCTTTGTCGTCCGTGCGAGCCCATAGACACCGGCCCAGGCCCGTCGAGCCGCTCGGAGCGGCGGTGCTGGCCGCTCGTCACGCCTTGCGTCAGGTCAGACACCTCGGTCCTCGGAGAAACCGGGGTCCCTGTGCTCGCATCCTCTAGCTACGCCGCATGCCTCGCTCCGCGGGCGCCCCTGCTCGCCGCACTCGTCGGTGTGCCACGCTTGCTTGTGCGCGACACGCAATGTCTCAGCCGTCCTGCTACCCGCGGGCCGGATGAACAGCAGGAAGCGCAGCAGCTTGCGGTGATACACATAGCGCTTCCGCCGTCGTGAGCACAGGCGGGGCGAACCGATGATCGCGTATATCGTGCATGTGTGTCGCCGCGGCAATTATGTCATCGCTACGGTAGATTAGACTGAAGACCTTCTGGTTGCGTTTCATTTGCGCAAAGTTCTACGGTCGACGCAACGGGCCACCGGCATGCGTCCGGGCGTACGCAGTGTCAGGGCCATCCACAAACGGTTCATTTTATTCCATTGCAATGACAATTGTCACAACCGTGTCCCAGCCTCCCGCGGAGTCTGCAACTGAGTTGCTCGGTCGGCGTCACATCTGTCGATCTAGTATCACCTGGAGACAACAGTGCAACCGAGCGTCTGGAGCGCCGTCAGTGTGCTCTTTCGGGCGTGTAGCTTCCGTTCGTCCTCGATCACGCGCAGCCGCGCTCCGCGCTTCTTCGCACGTACAAACGCCCGCGCCACGCCATCATTCATGCAATCCGACGGTCGGTCGCGGGAAGGCATATACGTCAAGCGCAGTTCCTCGAGCGCCGAGCCCGCGCCCAGCGCCTCAGCCAACGCCCCGCCCCCGACACGCGTGATATCGTTGCGATCGAGGCTCAGTGTGCGCAGCGTCGTGTTCGTCCGCAGGGCCTCCGCCAGCGCCTCTGCTCCGCTATCGCGTACACCGCAGTTCCGCATGTGCAGCCTCTCGACCTTGCAGCCGTGCGCGAGCGCCGACGCAATCGCCGCCGCGCCCGCGTCCTTGATCGAGCAGTGATCCAGGCACAGCGTGCGCAGCGTCTCGTTGCTCCGTAGTGCCTCCCCTAGCTCCACGGCCTCCTCGGCCGCAACATCATCATTGCTGCTAAGATCCAGCTCTCGCAGTGTCTTGCCCAGCGCCCCGTCCTTCCCGATCGCCTCCGCGAGCCCGCTCACCCCGTCCTCGCACACGCAACAGCCGATGAGCGTGAGCGACGTGACGGACGACCTCTCCTTGAGCGCCTGTGCGAACGCGTTCACGCCCCGTCCTGCTCCCGGCTCTCCGCGCAGGTGGATGAGTGATAGCGCGTCGCTCTGCGCCACCGCCGGCCCCAGCGAAGCCAGCCCTTCGGCGTCAAGCATCGTGTCAGACAGGCGCAGCTCCTGCAGCGTCCTGTTCTTCGCCAGGCCTTGAGCGAACGCCACGCCGCCGTCGCTCACGAAGAAGTCGCCGCCGCTGAGACTGAGATACGCCAGCGTCTCATTCGACCTCAGTCCCGCTCCGATGGCCTCGCCGACTTCGCAGGCCTTCGGAGACCACGGAGGCCGGGATGAGCTGTTCCAACAAAGCCCCAGCCTCCGCAGCGTCGTGTTGGTCCGCAGCATCTCCTCGATCGCCACAGCCTCATCCTTGGACAAGCCACCAAAGCCGCCCAGGTGGAAGTCCTCGATGCTTGCGTTGACGCGCAGCAGCTTCATTGCTGCAACAAATTCCGACTTAGGTCCGAACACGGGGCACCAGGCAGTGTTGACGCTCAGCTCGACCTTGCGGAGCCTCCGTAGACCCTGCAGGGCCGGACAGATTTCGCCGACGCCCTTCATGTGGAAAGACCTCGTGATTTCCAACCGCTCCAAGTTGCTGACCTTGGCAAGGTGCTGCGCCAGGTCCCCGGCCGTTTGGTTGAGACCGAAATGGTACAGGCGCAGCGCGCGCAGATCCTGTTGCGTTCGCGGGTGCGCGAGCAGCCGAAGCATCGTCTCGGTCGCTGGCCTGTACAACGACTGTCCCAACGGGGGCCTGCTTTTGGCCTCGTTGTCGAGCGTGCCAGAAAACGTCCGCATCCGCAGCGGAACTCCAGCCGCCTCCGCCTTCTCTCCGAACTTCTCGAGATCGATGACGAAGTACGCCGTCGACCACGTTGCGAGTCGCTCTCCTACCGTGACGAGCGCGGCAGCGTCATCAGCGGCGAATGTCGCGTGCGGGCGCTCGAAGCCGTACGGATGTCCCAGTCGCACGCTGCCCGGTACCGCCGCGCTGCGTCGCTTCATCCGCTTAGCCAGCCCAAGCAGCACCGCGGGCTCGCCTTTCTCGCGGATGTCATCGAACACGTTGAGCACGAACGGTGTGTGTTCGAGGGTCGACAGCAGCGCCGCCCACGACGTCGCCGCCACCGCACGCCGGGACTCGTCCGGCAGCGCCTCCAGCACCGCGGGCACGCTGGCGATCAGCTCCTCGAACGCCGACAGCCGATGTGCTTGTGATGGCTGGCTGGCTGCAGCCTGCACGGGATGATGCCGGGAGCGGAGCGGTGCGTTGGCATTGCTGGTCTAGTGATGTTCGGCGCTAGGGTCGAGATGTGCAGACAGACATGCTGCGCGCACCATCCTAGGCTCCCCCTACAGGAGCGGCTTCACTGGCCCTCCCGCGCGGCGTTGCGTTGCGAGCGAAGGTCTCCCGGCCTCGAGCAGCCTCTGTGCGGCCTATTGTATCCTTGCTCTGCGCGGCGCCGCTCCAACCCCGCGCGACCGACCGCGAGGCGCCCCCAAGAGGACTGCGCTGTGCAACGGAGGCCGTCGCCGCGGCCAGCGTGATGGAATCGGCCTCAGCGACGAGCCGCGAGCTCGTCCCCTCTGCTACGGCGAGGAGCTGGCCCACCGCGATCGAGGTGCCGCGAGACTGGCACCCAAGCCCACTGCACGCGCGTCTCTGTGCGGTGCCCCCGCGTCACCTAGATGGCGACGCCGCGCGAGATGCGTTGCGCGCTTGTCTGTGCTTCTCTGACCGCTCGCCCCTGCGCTCCCATGTAGGAGACGGGCTTGGAAGCCCCCCCCCGGGGGCCCAAGGTACGGTATGATATATTTCTTCTGATTCATCGACCACGACAGCAGCGCCTCCTACATGAGTGATCGGCGGGACGGCCCGAATGTGGTGTGGTCGCTGCTTTCCCAGCGCTCGACCGCCTCGTCCCGCGTCAGCACACTGCCACATCATGATTCATGATCACATCAATGATGTGAGTGCTCTCAGCCACGGTCGGCGGGGCGCGAGCGTGTATCCGCCCACGCCCTTTCCATCCCTCCCCCTCGTCCTCCCGCAGATACCTGCGCGCCCACGTCCACGGCGCGCACCGGCAACGGCAATGCGACACGATACCCGCGCTTCGCAAGGCATCATGCTGCGGGGATGGCACGTGCTTTCAGCGACGCGGGTCACATATCTTCTCACTGCAGCAGACCCCGCTCCACCTCTGCGGCGCGGAGCTCTCACACCCCCGTTCCTAAGACCGCTCCCGAACCAACCGTATCGCAGCCCACTTCACACGCATAGCGCACCAGACACGCAGCAACGACCCACCCACAGGAGTACGAGCACGCCACGCATCGGCCTATTCAAAATACCAGCACCCCAGCGCCGCCAGCGCCTCCCGCGTGCGCTCACTGGCGACCTCGTCCCAAAACCTGAAGTCAAACTCCCGCACCGCCGCACCGCGCTGCACCGCACGCACGAACGCCTGCGCCGTGCTGTCGTCCATGGCTGTGTCCTTTGGTCGCGAACCACAGATGGCAAGCGCGCGCAACGCCGACCCCGGCCCTAATGCATCAGCCAGTGCTGCGCCTCCGGCCCGCGTGATGTTGTTCTCAGCTACGTTGAGCACGTCCAGCGTGGTGTTGGTCCGCAGCACCCCCGCCAGCGCTCTCGCGCCCTCGTCGCCGATCTTGCAGCAACGCAGATCCAGCCCCTTCAGCACACTGCCCTGCTGCAGGGCCGACGCGAGATCCGCCGCGCCCCGGTCTCCGACACGGCTGCCATCCAGGCGCAGCCCGTACAGCGTGGTGTTGCCGTGCAGCGCCTCCGCCAGCGCCGCGGCCCCCTCGCCCGTGATCGCGATGTTGCAGCCAAGGTCCAGCTCGCGCAGCGTCCGCCCGAGCGCGCCGTCCTTGATCGCCTTCGCGAGCTCGCGCGTCCCGTCGTCGCCAACACCGCACGCGCGTAGCTTCAGCCACCTGATGCGCTTGTCCGTCACCGCCTGCGCAAACGCGCTCACGCCGGAGCCCACGTTGTCCCCCACGAGCATCACGTGCCTCAGCACGCTGCCCCCCGCCATCGCCCTCGCTAGCTCCGCCAGCGCTGTGCCGTTCAGCTTCGCCCCCCCCAGAACATCCGACTCCTTCAGCGTCTTGTTCGTGTGGAGGCCCCTTATCAGCGCCACGTGATCATGGCCTTTGATGAGCCTGTTGCGGCCGGCTAGAACTACAGTCTCCAGCGTGAAATTCGTCTCCAGCGCAGCAGCGATGGCCGCACCCACTGTCTTGCACCCCCTGCCGCATGACGCTGATAGGAGCTCGAGCTTGCGCAGCGTGGTGTTGCTCCTCAGCATCTGCTCGATCGCCGAGACGTCTCCCTCAAGGAGATCCGGGAAGCCATCTAGACGGAGCTCCTCGATGCACTTGTTGCTCGCCAGCAGCTGCATCACCTCGGCTACTGGTCTCGCGTCGTTGCCGTCCCCCCTGTGGTGTCGAGCGGCACAACGCAGGTCGAGCTTGCGGAGCCTCCGCAGACCCCGCACGCCGTCGCATATGTCCCGGCAGGCGCATGCGCCACGTTGCTCGACTTGCAGACAATCCAGGTTCGTCGCTCTTGACAACACATGCCCCAGGTCGCCAGATCCGTGCTGAAACTCCAGTCCGCCCACCCGCAGGGCGCGGAGGTGCTGCTGCATCGACGGCCGCCCCAGCAGCAGCAGCAGCGCCTCTCTTCTTCGCTCGGCATCCCGGGCGCCCCGCTGCTCGGCGCGGATAGATACCCCGCGCACGCGTAGCGCAGCGCCGGGCTTCTCCGACTCCTCCACCAGCTGCCTGAGACGGTCGACGGCGCCGTCCCTCCAGCGCTGGGCTCGCGGGCCCTCAGCCATGTTGACGATCGCTGCGGCGTCGTCCGTTGGCACCTCCACATGAATGCCCCAACGGAGCGGAGAGCCCGCTTCCTTCTGGACGAGCCTGAAGGACTCCAGCCGCACGCTGCCCGGCATCGGCACGTCCCGCCGCCCCAGCCGCTCCGCCAGCCCCCGCACCACCGCGGACTCCCCCCCTCGTTGCGCGCCTGCCCGCACGTTGAGCACGAACGGTGTGTGTTCGAGCGCCGACAGCAGCGCCGCCCACGACGTCGCCGCCACCGCGCGCCGGGACTCGTCCGGCAGCGACTCCAGCACCGCGGGCACGCTGGCGATCAGATCCTCGAACGCGGGCGGCCGACGAGTTGGCTGCATGGACCGGAGCGGCGCGTGGGTCGGCTGGGTCTGGCCGGCGGCCGGGTGGCTCTCTTGCTACAGGTACTCGACAAAGCGTGGCGCGCGCTCACCATCGTTGGTCCACAGAGCCGCTGTGCTGGCTCTTGTGTGCGGCGCCTCATGGCGAGTCCGAACGGTCTTCCTGGCCTCGTTCAGCCTCCGCGCGGACTGCCGAGTCGTCCTTCGCAACTCCGCTCCGCCACTCCCTGCGTGACCCGCGACCACCCCCGCCGGAAGTCGCGCAAAGCTGGCGGGTAAGGGCCCCGTGCTGTGCGACAGAGGCCGTTGCCGCCGCGAGCGCGATCGAATCGGCCTCGGCGACGGCCTACCGAGCAGTCGGCTTCGCCAAGACCGCAAGCCAGCCGAAGATGGACGAGGTTCTGCGACGAGCGCGGAACTGGCCGTGCTTGGCGGACCTGGTCCAATGCGGGCCAGCAACGGTGCTTGTGTGCGCGTGCGCCAACAGATACGCGACGTGCGCGGTGTGCGATCAAGCACGTGCGCGTGGTTCTCACCTCAGTCGCATCCCCTGCGCCCACATAGCCCGCAGAAGGCCTCGAGAGGGGGGGTTGAAGCTGGGAGACCGACCTGACAGGTTGGTGTTCCGCTCCTAGCGGTGTCCTTGATCGCCTTGCTCCCGGGCAAACCTGGCGACGAGGCGCGTGAGTCCTACCAATCACGCGAACGTGCCGTGGCCGCTCTCTCCGCCGCTTGACCGCCTGGGAGGAATGCACACACGCGCAATGCGAGCTTGTGTCCGCGCCAGGGCCCGCCGCATACGGTTAAATGCTCGCATGCACGACGTGCGGCCCCAACTGTCGCGCGGCAAGATGAGCCACCGCCCGCGCTGTGTCGACAGTGCGGCAACTTGCATCGAACGACCCGCGCTTCCAACGACGCGGCACATGTCATCTCACTGCATCAGCCCCCGCTCTCCCTCCACGCTGCGCAGCTTCGACGCCCTCGCACGCGTCGCTTCTGGAGCCAACCACGTTCGTTGGAGCGCACGTCACACGCAACAGCACTTCACGCGCCGCAACGACCCGCCCAGCAGCACAGCCGACCTACGGCACGTCCAATATTTCGAAAGGATTCGGGGCACGTCGGCACCCCAGCGCCGCCAGCGCCCCGCGCGTGCGCTCGCTGGCGACCTTGTCCCAAAACCTGCAGTCAAACACCCGCACCGCCGCCCCGCGCCGCACCGCGCGCACGAACGCCTGCGCCGTGCTGTCGTCCATGGGGGACGTCGTGATCGGTCCGTTGCCACCTATGTGGAGCTCGTGGAGCGCCGACCCCGGCCCTAATGCATCAGCCAGCGCTGCACCGTCGGCCCTACCGATGCCGTTGTAGCACGCGTCGAGCGCACGCAGCGTGGCGTTTGTCCGCAGCGCCCCCGCCAGCGCTGTCGCGCCCTCGTCGCTGATCCCGCAGCACCTCAAATCCAGCCGCTTCATTGCACAGCCGCACTGCAGGGCCGACGCGAGCGCCGCCGCGCCCCGGTCTCCCGCCGAGCTGCCAGTGAGGCGCAGCTCGCGCAGCGTGGCGTTGCCGTGCAGCGCCTCCGCCAGCGCCGCGACCCCCTCGCCCGTGACGTCCGTATTGTAGCCAAGGTCCAGCTCGCGCAGCGTCCGCCCGAGCGCGCCGTGCTTGATCGCCTTCGCGAGCTCGCGCGTCCCGTCGTCGTCGACACCGCACATGTGTAGCGTCAGCGACTCGATGCACGACTTGACCGTCACCGCCTGCGCAAACGCGCTCACGCCGGCACCCATGTTATTGTTGTATACGAAGTCTACGCGCGACAGCACGCTGCCCGCCGCCACCGCCCTCCCGAGCTGAACCAGCGCTTCGCCTTGAAGCCCCGCATCGTTCAACACGAGCTCCCGCAGCGTGCTCTGTTCCCCGATGCCCGTCATCAGCGCCACAGCCCCCTCGCCCTTGAGCAGGTTGCGCCCCCTCAGACTGAGATGCGTCAGCGTGCGGTTGCTCTCCAGCGCAGCGCCGATGGCCGCGCCCACGCCCATGCACGCTCTCTCGTCCGAAAACGAGAGCAGCTCCAGCTTGCGCAGCGTGGTGTTGCTCCTCAGCATCTCCTCGATCGCCGGGGCGTCCCCGTCGAGGATACGCTCGAAGCCCCTGAGGCGGAGCTCCTCGATGCACTTGTTGCTCGCCAGCAGCTGCATCACCTCGGCTACTGGTCTCGCGTCGGCCTCGTCTGTCTGGTCAGCACACGTGAGGGAGAGCGTCCGGAGGCTGCGCAGACCCCGCACGGCGCCGCAGATGTCGCTGCACGTGCACCTGGAGTCACCGAGTTCCTCCAACAGTAGACACTCCAGGTTCGTCATTCCGGACAGCACCTGTGTCAGGTCCCCAGATGTACCCGCAAAGTCGATTCCGATCACCCGCAGCGTGCGGAGGTGCCGCTGCGTCGCTGCCCGCCCCAGCAGCCACGCCAGCGCGTCGCGTCGCTCAGCGTTCCGGGCCCTGCCGGACCTGACGATGACGCTGATCGCGCGCATCCGCACCGCCGCCCCCGACGTCTCCGACCGCACCACCTGCTGCTTCAGACCGTCGAGGACGTCGTCTAGCGAGGGCGCATCTCGCAGCCCCTCATCGCACTCGCATATCGTCGCGGCATCGTCCGCGGGCACCTCGACGTGCACGCAAGTGACCATTTTGTTGTAATGGTTGCGCGTGATTGACTCCAGCCGCACGCTACCGGGCACCGGCACGTCCCGCCGCTCCAGCCGCTCCGCCAGCCCCCGCACCACCGCAGCCTTCCCCTCCCCGAGCGCCTCTGCCGACACGTTGAGCGCGAACGGCGTGTGTTCGAGCGTCGACAGCAGCGCCGCCCACGACGTCGCCGCCACCGCGCGCCGGGACTCCTCCGGCAGCGCATCCAGCACCGCGGGCACGCTGGCGATGAGCTCCTCGAACCCCGAAAGCGCAGGGGCGGGTTCCACGACCTCCGCAGCCTGCAAGGGATGGTGAGAGAGGGGCGCTGAGTGTGCGTGAGGAGGAAGTGCGTGCTGGTCGCCGACAGACAGCTCTCAAGCCACTCAAGTTGGATCCGGGCGGTGCACTCACGCACCATTGTCGTATGACCCCTGCTCTCCTTCGCGCTCAGTGCTGAATGAGGTTTCCTGGCCTCGTACAGCCTCACGTCAGGCTCTGAGTCGCCTCGACGCCCCTCAGAGATGGATCTCTGGACCACCGCCCGCGAAGAGCCCCCCAGACGGCCGCGCTCTGCAACGGGAGCCCAATGCTGCAGCGAGCGCGACGGAATCGGCCCCGGCGATGAGCTGCTATACCGTCATCCGGTTTGATACAGTTAGAAGATGGCTATATGTGATTCACGTGCCGCGGCGAGCGCGGCACTGCCCCGCACGGGCCTGGTCTGGTGTGTGCCCCTGCTGGGCGGTGCGTCGCAGGAGGGCGGGCGTTCGCGGAATGCACGCGACGTGCACAGCGACAGCGTGTGAGAGATGCAGTTCTGGACTCTGCCGCTGCCTCTGCGCCCACATGTCGCCCGCAGACGGCCTCCGGGGGGGGTTGCCTGGGGGACCAACCGACCTGACAGGTTCTCGCGCTCCCGTGAGCGTCCTCGAGGTTTGCGACACGGCATGTGCCTGCCAAGGGGGCAGCGCGCGAGCCCGGCTGCACGTGCGTGCTATGCTTTTTCTCGCGCACGACAGGTCAACTTGACACACACTCGCCCATGTGTGCGCGTGTCGCGGCCGGTGGCGCGGCGCGAGCTTGTGTCCGCGCCGGGGCCCGCCGCAGATGTCCGTGCTCGCCACGGCGCGCGGCCCCCACCGTCACGCGGCAAGATGAGCCACGGTCCAGCCACCGCCCGCGCTGTGTCGACAGTGCGGCGGCAATGACCCGCAACGACGCGGGTCACACGTCTTCTCACTGCATCAGCCCCCGCTCTCCCTCCACGCTGCGCAGCTCCGATGCCCTCGCACGCGTCGCTTCTGGAGCCAACCACGTTCGTTGGAGCGCACGTCACACGCAACAGCACTTCACGCGCCGCAACGACCCGCCCAGCAGCACAGCCGACCTACGGCACGTCCACTTTTTTGTGAGGGTCCGGAGCACGTCGGCACCCCAGCGCCGCCAGCGCCTCCCGTGTGCCCTCGCTGGCGACCTTGTCCCAGAATGTGCAGTCAAACACCCGCACCGCCGCCCCGCGCCGCACCGCACGCACGAACGCCTGCGCCGTGCTGTCGTCCATCGGATCCGCGTCCAGCCACATCCACGGCGTGACACCGCCGATACGCAGCTCGTGCAGCGCCGACCCCGGCCCTAATGCATCAGCCAGCGCTGCGCCTGCGGTCCGACCAATGGGGTTGACATCCACCTCGAGCGCGCGCAGCGTGGTGTTGGTTCGCAGCGCCCCCGCCAGCGCTATCGCGCCGTCGTCGCGGATCCCACAGTACGCCACTTCCAACACCTTCAGTGCGCATCCCTGCTGCAGAGCCGTCGCGAGCGCCGCCGCGCCCCGGTCCCGGGCCGAGCAGTCACTGAGATACAGCTCGCGCAGCGTGGTGTTGCCGTGCAGCGCCTCCGCCAGCACCGCGACCCCCTCGCCCGTGATCGACCAATTGTTGCCAAGCTTGAGCTCGCGCAGCGTCCGCCCGAGCGCGCCGTGCTTCATCGCCTTCGCGAGCTCGCGCATCCCGTCGTTGCCGATGCCGCACGCGTAGAGCGTCAGCGACTCGATGCACGACCTGTCCATCACCGCCTGCGCAAACATGCACACGCCAGGGTCCAACCAGTTGTACTTCACCCTCACGCGCTTCAGCCCGCTGCCCGCCGCCACCGCCCTCCCGAGCCCCGCCAGCGCCTCGCCGTGCAGCGCCGCATGCTCGATGTCGAGCACCTCGAGCGTCCGATTCCTCCCAAGGCCATGGAAGAAGGACTCGCAATCGTCGCCTCGAAGCATGTTGCCGGTCTTGAGACACAGGTGCGTCAGCGTGCGGTTGGTCTCCAGCGCAGCGCCGATGGCCGCGCCCACGCCCGCGCACCCCACCGTCTTCCCCAGGCCCCCCTCCGAGTCGAGCTCCAGCGTGCGCAGTGTGGTGTTGCTCCTGAGCACCTCCTCGATCGCCTGGGGGTCCCCCGGGAGCGGGTTCTCGAACCCCCTGAAGCACAGCTCCTCGATGCTCGTGCTGCCCTTGAGCAGCTGCATCACCTTGGCCACTGGTCTCACGTCATCGTCCTCGAGGCACTGCGCGGCACTCTGCAAGCAGAGCTTGCGGAGCCTCCGCAGCCCGCGCAGGCTATCGCAGATTTGCTCGCAGAAGTGCCTGCGGACGATGGGCTCATCGAGATGCAGAAGCTCCAGCTTCGTGGCGTCCGGGAGCAGCACCACCAGCTCCCAGAAGTCGGTCGAGAGGTCAAGTCCTTGCACCAGCAGAGCCCGGAGGTGCTGCACCGAGTGCCGCTCCAGCAGCGACACCAGCTTCTCGCTGCTCGGCGCTGCGAACCCGCGGCGCGCCCTCGGACCCGCGGGGCGGATATATACCCCGCGCAGCCGCAGCGGAGCCCCCAACGCCTCCGAGCGCGCCATGAGCTGGTCGAGGCCGTCGAGGACGTCGTCCAGCGACGAATGGAACCGTGGCCCGTGTCCCAAGCTGGCGAGCGTGTTCCCGTCGTCGGCCGGGAACTCAACGTGTACAACGTCGCACAGGTGGCCCCTCTCGTTGCGCGTGACGTACTCCAGGCGCACGCTGCCTGGCACAGGCACTTCCCGCCGCTCCAGCCCACGCAGCAGCGCGGGCTTCCCCTCCCGGGGCGATGACGACGGCCAGAGAGCAAACCGCGTGTGTTTGAGGGTCGACAGCAGCGCCGCACGGGACGTCGCCGCCACCGCGCGCAGCGTCTCGTCCGGCAGCGCGTCGAGCACCGCCGGCGCTTTGGCGATGAGCTCCTCGAACGCCGACGGCCGACGCGCGAGGCACTTCTTGATAGCCTGCAAGAGACGGGCGCTGAATGTGCGTCGGAGCAGTGCGTGCTGGTCGCCGGTGGACAGCTCGCGATCTAATGACATCGTTCCCGGGGGCATGGCGCGCACGCACCATCGCTGCTCGCTTGGGCAGCCAGCACGTCCAGTGGCGCACTCCTTCGTGCCGCTCCGTGCTGAGTGAGGATCCCGTGGCCTCGACCAGCCTCTCTGCACGTGCCCTAGGCATTGGTGTCCGCGCCTAGCCCAAATCTGCCGCGACGATCCGTCAGGACGGGCCCGTTCGGGCCCGTGGTCTACCAGGAGCCTTGCCGCGCTGAGCGCGGCGGGGGCGCAGTTAGCTACCAGTCGCCGTGTCGGCCGCGGGGCAGCAGATCCAACGCCTCGATCTCCGACGATCGAGGTACCGCGACGAGCGCTGCACTGCCCTGTTCGGGCCAGGTGTGATGTGCGTCGCGGCAGAGGCGGATGTCGCCCAGTGTGCGCGATGCGGCGCGAGCGCGTGCGCAGAAGGTGCGGTTCTGGCCTCTGCCGCATCCCCCTGCGCCCACAGTAGCCCGCAGATGGCCAGGCCAGGCCTCAGGAGGGGGGGGGTCTGGACCGACAGACCTGACAGGTTCTCGCGCTCCCGGCGGTGCCCTCGAGAGGCTTGCGGGGCAGCGCGTGCATGTAGGGGCAGCACGCGAGCCCGGTCGCAAGCGCGCGCTTTGCTGCTTGTTGCCGCTTGACCAACCGACCTTTGTTGAGGGCCCCCATCATTGTGCGTGCGACCCGGCCACGTCGCGGTCGGCAGCACGCACTCGTGTGTCCGCACCAGAGCCGCCGCAGACATCCCTGCTCACGGCGCGCGGCCGCCACCATCCCGCGGCTGAACGAGCCACGGCTTGGGCCAGGTAGCATGCCAGCGACAGCGACGCAGGCTCACATCCTCGCACTGCGGCAGTGCCCGCGCCGCCTCCATTTCTCCCGAGCCCAGCAGCCTCGCCATAAGTGCGTCACCTCTCAAACCACCCGCCTGTCGTAGCGCACTTCATGCACGTGGGTTGTCACACCAGCAGCCCCGCCGTACGCGCGTCGTCTTCTTTCCACATCATCGATACCGTATTGCACGCGCCGCCGCCTCGCCGATCCATCCGCGAGCGCGCGCTGCACGCCGGCACCCCAGCGCCGCCAGCGCCTCCCGCGCGCCCTCGCTGGCGACCTTGTCCCAGAACACGGCATCAAACACCCGCACCGCCGCCCCGCGCCGCACCGCGCGCACGAACGCCTGCGCCGTGCTGTCGTCCATCCGGCTCCCCGTCGACCGAAGCGAGTGGTATGTCGCGCCGATGCGGAGCTCGTGCAGCACCGACCCTGGCCCTAATGCATCGGCCAGCGCTTCACCTCCGGCCCGCGTGATCTTGCTGTTCTCACCCACGTCGAGCGCACGCAGCGTGGTATTGGTCCGCAGCGCCTCCGCCAGCACCCCCACGCCGTCGTCGCCGATCTCGCACGACTCCAGCTGCAGCCGCTCCAGCATGCAGCCGTGCTGCAGGGCCGCCACAAGCGCCGCCGCGCCCCGATCTTGCACCCTGGAGCGGTACAGGCGCAGCTTGCGCAGCGTGGTGTTGCCGTGCAGCGCCTCCGCCAGCGCCGCGGCCCCCTCGCCCGTGATCGACTGCCCGCCACTAAGGTCCAGCTCGCGCAGCGGTCCGTGCTTGATCGCCTTCGCGAGCTCGCGCAGCCCGTCGTCGGTGACGTCGCCCGGGTACAGCGTCAGCGACTCGATGCAGGACTTGTCCGTCACCGCCTGCGCAAACGCACTCACGCCGGAGCCCGCGGTTGTGCTCAGTATCCGCACGTGTGACAGCGCGCTGCCCGCCGCCACCGCCCTTCCGAGCTCCGCCAGCGCTGCGCCACTCAGACGCGGATCCTCCACGATCAGCTCCCGCAGCGTCCTGTTCCTGCCGGCGCCCTTCATCAGCGCCGTACCGTCCTCGCCCACAAGCAAGTTGGAGCCCGACAGAAGCAGGTGCGTCAGCGTGCGGTTGCTCTCCAGCGCAGCTCCGATAGCCGCGCCCACGCCCGCGGCCTGGATCGAGCTGGTGTCGTGCGGTTCCTCGTAGCTTTGAAAGAGCGAAAGCTCGAGCTTGCGCAGCGTGGTGTTGCTCCTCAGCATCTCCTCGATCGCCGGGCCGAGCCCCACGACCATGTCCCTGAAGGTCGTCAGCCGGAACTCCTCGATGCAGTCGTTGCTCGCCAGCAGCTGCACCGCCTGAGCCACGGGTCTTGCAGCGTACGTGTGGAACGAACAGGGACAGTCGAGGCGGAGCTTGCGGAGCCGCCGCAGACCCCGCACGCCGTCGCAGACGTCCTTGCAGATGCGGTCGCCCTCGCCGCATCGCTCGACTTGCAGGCACTCGAGGTTCGTCAACCCTGACAGCACCTGTGTCAGGTCCCCAGACGTGCCGGAGAAGTCGAGCCCGCTCGCCCGCAGCGTGCGGAGGTGCTGCGTCGCCGGCCGCCCCAGCAGCCACAGCAGCGCGTCCCTTCGCTCAGCAGCGTTCCGGACATCGCGCCGCGAAACGCGGACGGATATCGCGCGCACCCGCACCGCCGCTCCCGACGTCTCCGACCGCACCACCTGCTGCTTCAGACCGTCGAGGACGTCGTCCAGCGAGGCTCCAGCTCGCAGCCCGTCGCCCAGCTCGACGACGGCTGCCGCGTCGTCTGCGGGCACCTCCACGTGCAGGATGCTGAGAAACTTCGTCCACTTCACGTCGAACGCGGCGTACTCCAGCCGCACGCCGCCCGGCACCGGCACGTCCCGCCGCTCCAGCCGCTCCGCCAGCCCCCGCACCACCGCAGCCTTCCCCTCCCCGACCGACCCTGCCGACACGTTGAGCGCGAACGGCGTGTGTTCGAGCGTCGACAGCAGCGCCGCCCACGACGTCGCCGCCACCGCGCGCCGGGACTCGTCCGGCAGCGCATCCAGCACCGCGGGCACGCTGGCGACCAGCTCCTCGAACCCCGAGAGCGCAGGGGCGGGTTCCATGATCTCCGCAGCCTGCAAGGGATGGTGAGAGAGGGGCGCTGAGTGCGCGTGAGGAGGCAGTGCGTGCTGGTCGCAGGCAGATGCTTCTCGGTACAATGATGTCGCCTAAGGAAATCGCGTACGCACCATCTCTGCCCCCGCGCGACGCCGGCACAGACTGAGCTGCTCTTCTGCGTGCCGCTGTGTGCTGGGCGGCAGTGCCCTGGCCCCGACCAGCCCTGTATGGATCGATCAGTTACTGTATGATTCGACCAGCACCAAATCTGCCCCCGCGATCGCCCGCCAGGGCCCCTCCACGGGCTACTCTGTCTCAGAGGCTGTTGCTGCGGCGAGCGCGACGGGACCGGCCCAAGCGACAAGCCGCTATGCCGCCCGACGCTCCACTTCGATGTGAGGTCGGCCAAGGATAGACGGCGTACCGCGACGCGCGGCACTGGCTGTGCTCGGGCCTGGTCTGTGGCGCCTCTGCAGCGGTGCGTGTGCGTCAGCAGGAGGACGACGCTGCACGCAACGTGTCGCTGTGTCAAGTACAGGAGGCGGTTCTGGCACCTGCAGCGTCCCCGGGCCCGCATGCAGCCTACGGACGGGCTGAGGGGGTGTCGTAGCTTGGCCTGACAGGTTTGCCCGCATCGACTGAACCGAATTGATTCCTCCCTCAGGTCAGCGATGCATGGCCAGCAGCACACGTCGTGGCCGCTCTCGTCATTGCCGCTCGACCGTCTCCCGGCCCGTCGGCACACACGTCACTGGCGCCACGCGTCTGCTACGCGCCCATGTCGGTGGGGCGCGAGCTCGTGTCCACGTCGCGCAGCTGCTCGAGCCGGGGCGCTCGCTGCGTCGGACGTGCTGCGATGATGTCGACCGATGGCGGCGGCGCACAGGTCACATCCTCTCCCTACTGCGGCACGTCAGCGGAACACTCTGCGCACAATCGAACCCCCCAGACAAAAATGCGTCAGCGTGTGGTTGCTCTCCAGCGCAGGCCCGATGGCCGACCCGATGGCGCCCACTGCCGGGCACAACACTGGACAGATCGAGCTGAGCTCCAGCTCGCGCAGCGTGGTGTTCTTCCTCAGCATCTCCTCGATCGCCGTGGCGTCCTTCTCGAGAAAAGTCGGTAAGCCCTCGATGAACAGCTCCTCGATACAGTCGTTGCTCGTCAGCAGCTGCATCACCTCGGCCACCGGCACTTCGTGGTCCTTGCTTTTGTGACGAGGGAACCGGAGGGAGAGCTTGCGGAGCCTGCGCAGACCCCGCACGGCATCCCAGACATCCTTGCAGACGCGAGTGCTTCTCTCGCCTTCGCGAAAGTCCAGACGCTCCAGGTTACTCGCCCCTGACACCACCTGCAACAGCTCCCCAGTCGCCCCCGCAAATTCCAGTCCGTGCACCCGCAGCGCGCGGAGCTCCGTCGCTGGTCGCCCGAGCAGCCGCAGCAGCGCGTCCCTTCGCATATCGTTTTCGACGTCGCCGCACATGTCGACGCACATGACGCTGATGGCCCGCACCCGCACCGCCGCCCCCGACGTCTCCGACAACACCACCAGCTGCTTCAGACCGTCGAGGACGTCGTCTAGCGAGGCTGCATCTCGCAGCCCGTCGCCCAGCTCGACGACGGCTGCCGCGTCGTCCGCGGGCACCTCGATGTGCAAGCAAGCGAACTGGTTGCGCGTGATGAACTCCAGCCGCACGCCGCCCGGCATCGGCACGTCCCGCCGCTCCAGCCGCTCCGCCAGCCCCCGCACCACCGCGGACCCCCCCTCTCGAAGCGCCTCTGCCGACACGTTGAGCGCGAACGGCGTGTGTTCGAGCGTCGACAGCAGCGCCGCCCACGACGTCGCCGCCACCGCGCGCCGGGACTCCTCCGGCAGCGCATCCAGCACCGCGGGCACGCTGGCGACCAGCTCCTCGAACCCCGAGAGCTGATGCGCGGGGCAGTGCTCGGGAACCTGTAGGGAACGTTCGTTTCGTCTCTTTCGACGAGAGAGGTGCTGAGCGTGCGCGGGCGCGGTGCGTGCTGGTCGCCGACAGATGGCTCTATATACACTGATGTCGCTTCCGGATATTGCATGCACGCACCATGGCTGCTCGCGCGCGAAGCCAGCTCGGCACAACTCCTTCGTGGCGCCGCTCGGTCCAGGTGGCGCCCTGAGTGACGGTGCCCTGACTCGAGCAGCCTCTCGCGAATTGCTTGCTTGTTCGCCGGTTCGCGGTGCCCTCGACAGCTCACCGGGACCACCCGCGAGCCTCGTTCCCAGCAGGAGCCTTGTCACGCCGAGCGCGACGGGACCGGTGGTGCGGACGAGCAGCGGTGCAGTCAGCCGCACGGCCTCAACTGAGACAGCTGATCTCAGACAGACAAGGGACTGCGACGATCGGGGAGCTAGCCCTGCTGCTCGGGACCTAGCCCCAGCCCTGCTACAGTGCTTGTGCGTCGCCGGGAGGCGGGCGTTCGCGGAATACGGGGGACGCGCTGCGATCACAAGTGCAGGTGGCGGTTGTCGGGCCTGTGAGGTCTGCTGCGCGTGCATGTAGTGGCTGCAGGCGGGGCCAGGGGGGAGCAACCGACGTGATAGGTTTTTCCGCCCCTGGCGGTGGCCTCGAGGGGCTTGCGTGCCGGCAGGCGCATGGACCTGCAGGAATCATTCGGTTTCGCCACAGCGTGACTCCTGAGTCCTCGCACGGCATCGGAGGAGCTGCCGCGATCGCAGAGGCTTTCCGACACTCGCGGGAGGGGGCGCAGCCATGTCGTTGGTGAACCTGAGCCCGGAGGAAGTGAGGCTCCCAAAGCCGAACGAGGGGCGGAAATACAGCTCGACGTTCCTCACGCTGAACAACCCGACGAGCAAGTTCGTGGCCTTCAAGATCAAGACCACGTCGCCCAAGCGGTACTGCGTGAAGCCGTCGTCAGGCCTGCTGAAGCCGCAGCAGACGCAGGAGGTGCAAATCTCGCTGCTCGGCAAGGAGGCTGGGTCGCTGCAGATCGGCCTCACCACCGACAAGTTCCTCGTGCAGGTGCGCGCACACCCGCCGCCCTCCGGCCGCGGTCCCCGGCCGGGCGCCGTGTCTGCGCTCCAGAGAGTGCCCCGCGCCGAATGCCCCATCTAGCAGCGACGTCCCGCGCCCAGATGCGACGGCCCTGCTCGGCGCACCTTGCGCCCGCGTCCGGCATGTGGCCTCCGCGCCCGGCGCACCAGTCGCGCCCTCGCGGCGGCGGCCGGCGCGGGGGACCCGCGGTCCTTGCGCGCGGGCGCGCGCCGCGCTTGCCGGGCACCTGAGCGCCCCCGAGGCGCCGCTGCAGCACCAGGGGCGACTTGGAGCCTCCGCGGCCGGGGCGAGCCGCGCGCGGCCGTCGTGTTCCGTCGCACGGCCCCCTATGCAGCTGACGCAGCGGGGCGCGCGCCCCGTGGGCCAAGCGGGGAGGCGGCTGTGTCCTCGACGTTCCTGTTTGGTTGCCCAGCGCCTAGACCCCGCCCCCGCCGCCGCAGTCTGTGTCGTGCACGGAGGACACGGACCCTAAGACGGACGGCACTATCTTCAAGCAGCCGGGGGTATCCGAAACCAAGCTCAAGGTGCGCTCCCCGGCCCCGCGCTGCCGCCCCGCCCATCCAAGGGGCTGCCCTGACGCCTGGCCGCGTCCTCACGGGGCCTCGGGGACGCGGGCTCCGCGCGCCAGCGCGATCCGCACTGCATTGCCACGATCCTGGCGCCGCGCACCCGCGCGTTCGTCGGCGCCGGGCGCGCCCGCAGCGCGTCGTGCTGGCCCCTGCAAACGGATCCGCCGTGCGGCGTCTCGCCGACCCGCACGGCCGCCCCCGCGCGCGCGCAGGTGTTCCTCGATGCGTCGAAGCCCCCCGTGTCCCCGATCATCGAGCCCGCCCACGAGGACTCCCCCTCGGGTGCGACGGGGCAGGAGACTATGGTCACGCCCGCCGGTGCGCCGCCGTCCAAGGGCTTCCCGCCGTCCTCCGACTCCGGCGCGATCGCCGAGTTGAAGCAGGTGCGCCAGGGCCCGCGATGCCGACCCATCTGCGCCGCCGAGCCCGCGTCGCTCCTCTGCTGCGTTGCGCCAGGAGAGACACGCCGCGCGCTCGTGCTCCGGGCGCGCGCAGATGATGGAGATGATGCAGAAGACGCAGCTGGAGATGAAGGCCAAGGTGAACAAGCAGGCGGCGGAGCTGGCGGACCTCAAGGCCGGGCGGCAGATGTTTGGGGCCGACTCCGGGACCGCGAGCAAGTCGAGCGGCCCGAGCTTCCTCCTCGTGCTCATCCTGGTGCTCCTCGTCTCGCTCGTCGTCAAGATGGTCCCCGAGGAGGCCATCGAGGACGCAGTTACCCCCGCAGTGGCACACGCCAAGACGCTCATCGCGACCGCGCGCACCAAGGCCGGCATCTGAGGCCGCCGCGGCGCAGACGACTCCCTGAGTGTGCTCCGCGATCGCACGCGGGGCCGCACGCGCCGGCGCCCGCGCCCCGTGTCATAAACGGGTGTATGTGAGCGGCGGACCAACAGTCGAGGATTCGTGTCTTGGAATGCACCGCTCCGGTCGGCAGCGGCGAGCACGCGTCGCCGACGGGGCGGCCGCGCGCCGCGCCCTCGCATGGCGGGCACGGCGGCGTCGGATGCCGCCAGACCGCTTGAAACCTGAGTCAGGCCACTCGGGTCGCTGCGGCCGTCGCCCCGCGGTCACCGCTCATCAGCGCATCGCACGGAGCACGCGCGATGCCCTGCGGGCACGAGGCGCGGCCCGTCGCGCGTCGGAGGGCTGTCAGACTGCCACCTGTGTCAGCTTCTGCGGTGGTGTCGGCCGAGGAATCGACGCCGCAGCGCAGGTCAGCGCAGTTGCGCCGTCGCGCAAGGCAGCGACGATGGCGGCGCCGTCCCGGAGCGCCTGGACCCACGGCACGCAGCAGGCACGCAGCGCGTGTGGTTGCACCCCGCGCCGCGCCCCTGCGCGCGCTACGTGGTGTCCTTGTCGGTCATCGCGGCCTCGAGGCAAGGCATGTGCGTATCGTAACGGCGAGGGCCTCTCACGGCAGCTGGGCCGCTGGGTGCGGGGCCCTTGGGCGGAGAGCAGCAGCGAGGGCAGCCTTGCAGGGGCTACCCTCGCGGTGCTGGTCGCGTCGATATTTTTCGGACAGCCGTCGTACGCAGCGGACGAGTACGCACCCCCTGCCGCGGCGGCGGCCTCCGCGCCGCTCTCGACGCGCAGCGAGACGAGCAGGAGGCCCCAAGCTGGGGACGACAGCGGCGCCGGGGCGTCGCCAGGTTCGCGCGTAGCCCTGCCTTCCGCGGGCATCGCAGTCGAGGAGCTACAGTGCAGGTACGCGTGAGACGTGAGACGCCGCGCTTCGAGCTGTTCACCGCTCGTACGGATTCGCGCCATTCCTGCTCATCCTCGCTTCCTGCCCCCGAGTTCGCGCAAATTACGCACCTCCGTCACGTACAGATACACGAGAGAATCGCGCATCCGCGCTCACTCGCGGGCTCGCGGCCACTGCGCGGCCCACTGCATGCAGGGTGCGCGGGACCTGCCCCGAGGGCGACGCGGCGGGCGCGGGGCTCGTGCCGCCGCGGGAGGCCATCGGCGCGCCGTCGAGCCGGGAGGAGCTCGGCGAGCTCGTGGGCGAGATTCGCGGCTCGGGCGAGGACCTGCGTGCGCTTGCAGACCCGAGGTGAGCCGCTCGCGCTCCGCACGCCGCCGCACCGCGATCCCGCTGCGTGCGCGCCGCCGTGTGGCGCGCGCGGAATGTCGGCTTCTGACGCGGCGCCGCCTGTTTTGTTTGTTGTCTGCGGTGGGTGCGTCGTTGCCTCGCGCGGGCACCGCTGATTCTGGCGGTCGATCGTGACGGCGCAGGGCCGCGAAGCAGCTGATGGGGGGCGGCGGCGACGGCGAGTCGATCGTGCCGCCGCTGCTGCTCGCGGCGGGCGCCATGGCGGCATCGCTCGTGTGTGGTGCGGCCCTGGGGCAGCGGTACAGGGACGCGGCGGCGCTCAAGGCCCTCGAGGTGCGACATGCGCATGATCCTGCGCAGCGTGGCGCCTTGAACGTGCGCACGTCGTGCGTCGCTGCTCTCGAGGCGCGCTGTGCGCGCGTACAGGTTCCAGACGGGAGCAACGCGCCTGATTCACCGATGGGCGTGTCGATGGCGCGTGCAGGACTCCGTGTCGCGCTCCGGCCGCGACGGACCGGACGATGCGGACTGGTGGCCGTCCGCGGGGTCGTCTGGCCAGCGCGTCTCGCGCCTGCTGCAACGCTTGCCGTCGCGCGGCGGCGCCGAGGCCGACGTGGGCACCATCAGCACGCGCGGCGAGCTGCGCGCGGCGCTGGGCGGTGCGTCGCGCCAGGAGAGCTACGGTTGCCTCGTGCTGGACACCAACGAGTGGATAAACAACATCGACGACATCCGCACCCTGTGGCGCACCAAGGCGGGAGACGCCAAGGTCGTGGTGGCCGCGACCGTGGTCGCGGAGCTGGACGGCCTGCAGTACTCCGAGGTGCGTCGAGACGGCACGACGTGACGGGCGGCATGTGCTCTGTTGAGATGTGTATCGATCGTTGGATGGATGTGTTTGGCGTTGCTGCGCGGCACAGGTGAACCAGTTCACGTGCCGGTCTGAGTGCTTGGTGCAGAACCGGGAGACGGCCACGAAGGCCCGTGCGGCGCTGCTCTTCATCGGCTCGGTCGTCGGGCCGGACCACAGCGCCTGGCTGCGGTCCTCGCGCGGCTCCGTCTGGCCCAGCGGCGCGCCGCGCCTCTGCTGCCTCGTGCAGCGCCACGCAGCGGACAGTGCCAGCCCCGTGGACGGCACGCCCGGGTGGGCGCGCGCGGTCGTCGGCGCGGGGAGCGCCTTTGCAGTCGCCGACGGGAGCCTGCGCAGCAGCGGGCGCGCGATGGGTGCGCGGGCGGGCGCACGCGGGCGCGAGGGCCGGCGGAACGGCCGCGGTGGCGCGGCGGCGGCGGGAGGGCTGAGCGCGGGGGATGAGGAGCTCCTCGAGCTGTGTGCGGGCTTGTCGATGATGGGCGCACAGCCGCTGCTGCTGACGCGCGACAGGCTGCTGCAGGGGCGCGCGAGGGAGTTCGGGCTCGAGGCGATGCAGTGCGGGAGCTACACGAGCAGCGTGGGGATCTCCACGGGACGGTGAGGCATGCCGGTGCCATGAGGAAACAAGAGCTGGTGTTGTGACTGCCGAAGGGTGCCGAGCCAACACTCAACGAGCACGACTGTGTATTTCGCACGGTAGACCGCGGACGCTGGCCGCGGCATCTTCGAGTATCATGCAGCAGCGATTTTCCGGGTAGGGTTAGGGCAGCGGAGAGCATCGACATCGCCTCAGCGCACGTGCAGCCCCCCGTGGGGCAGTGTATAGCGTGAGCCCCCCGCCTCACGCAGTCCCTCTGTCAGGACGGCGCCCATCCGCCCCGCGTTCCCGTCGCGCCGCGTGCCCGGCTCACACCCGCGAGACGCCCGCGGCCTCCATTTTCCGCAGAATCAGCGCCGCGCGCTCCGGCGTCGTGCTGTGCTCGTCCAGCTCCTGCCCCGTGACCGGCAGCGGCGTCCAGCCGAGCAGGCCGATCATGCGCCGCTTCAGCGCCGTGTGCCCCAGGGGCCGCCCTGTCGTGCGCGCCAGGTGCGTCGGGCCGTCGACCTCGATCGCGACGCGCAGCGACGGCACCGCGACGTCCACCGACAGACCGATGCTCACGTCTTCCTCCTTGAAATCGGTCATGCCCTCCCGGATCAACGCCTGCAAGTCCACAAGTACAAAGCACAAACAACACATCATCATGCGCTGCTTTCTCGCACCCCGCCGACATCCGCAGCGGGCAGGGTCTGTCCGCATCTCAACAGAAAGCGCGTAGACCAACACATGGGGGTGTTTCGCACGTGCACCACGTGTTCTTGATATCTCGAGGGTTGGGTCCTTGTCTTCGCGCCCCCGGGCCCGGCCTTCCACGCGCGCGCCGCCACCTCGGCCACGCCCGCCTCCTCTGCATCGAGGCCCGCCGTGAACCACCCCTCCGCCTCCGGTCCGTGCGCCGCGAGCTGCCGGCACGCCACGAACTGCCACACCTGGTTGCACGCGCGATCGCCCGCCCCCTCCATCTCGCTCGCGCCACGCGCGACCAGCTCGCGCCACAGCGCGTCGCCCTGCGGCGAGCGCTCGAGCTCCATCACCGCCAGCGACCACGCCAGCGACGCCAGCTGCCGCACGGTGAACCCTGCGAGCGAACCACGAACCCACACTTGAGAACGCACACCACAACAGTCTCTATTTCTTAATTAATTAATTACGGGCGAAGCGGCGGCGCCGTATTCGGTCTCGCCTGCCAGCCCGGTGCCGCACACGCCCTCCCAGCCCTCGGGCAGCAGCCGCAGCAGCGCGTGTGGCGGCGAGTCCAGCGCTGCAAAGCCCCACAGCAGCGACGTGAGCTTGCTCGGCTTCAAGCCACCCGGCCCCAGCGCGCCCAGGCCCCTGCCGCTCCCCGCGAGGCGCCCGGCGATCCGCGACAGGCACCCGTCCCAGTGCCGCGCTGCCCCGAGGGCCCACACGAGGTCCGCGCACTGCGCGGGCGACAGCGCGGCGACGATGCCGGGCTCGCCGTCGGGCGACAGCGCGCCGCGGCACAGCGCGGTCATCTGGTCCTGGAAGAGGTTGCCGCCGCCGAGCGCCGCGAGCGACCACGCGACGGAGGCCACCTGCCCCGGATGCAACGTCGCGGCCGCTGACAGCATGTCCGGGGCCGATCCTGCGGTTTCAGAGAGATGCAGGTGTCGGTGAGATGAGTTGGGACGAGGAGGGGGGGGAATGCGGGGTCGAGCGCGCGGGACCGCGCCTGCGAGGCCGATGCCTTGGATGAGCCGCGTCACGCAGCGCTCCTGCGCGAGGATGCTGCGCTCCACGGGCGGCGCTCTGGCCGCGCTCGACGCGATGCGGTGCAGCATCTTGACTGCCTGCAGCGAGCGGTCGGAACGATGCGTTGTGGCAGCAGCAGTGAGCACGATCCTTCGTTGACGGTGCAAACAGCGTGTTCGTCGCGCGCGGACGCCCGTCCCGCGTGAAAGCATCTTCATCCCCACATGCGTGTGCATGGTTGAGCGCGCATGTGTCCGCGCCCGTGCAGCCTCCCGGGCGCGGCTCCCGCCGTGCAGCTGCGGTGGTTGCCTCACCTGGCCCCGCGACGGCTTGTCGGGGACCGCCAGGGGGTCGGCGTCTTGGAAAAAGCGAGGGAACGCGTCCATCACGCTGCTCACGCTGTCCTTGTACGTCGCCCCCCGCGCCGGAAGCCCCGCTTCGACCCCCGCAGCTGCAATTGCACTCCCACAGCGCCGCGGACGCACCCCCCCCGCAGCGCTGCGCCATCGCCCCGAAAGGACCCATGCAAACGGTTGGCCGCGTTCTGCGCCCGCGCTGCCGCGCTCCGCCCCCTCGCCGCCACGCGCTGCGGCCGCACCGGCGGCACCTGCTGCCAACACGTCGCCGCGTTCGACATGCCGCGCGAGGAGTGCCCTGCGAGCAGCGCTCACAAGCTGGCGCACGCGGACACGCGGCGGCCCTATGCCGCCCTGCGTCGCGCGCGAACGACTGACACGTCAGCAAAAATACACCCCGAGGGGACTGACTCGACAATGGTGCCCGCCGAGCGACCAGGCCCGCCGCCCCCAGCGCGCCCGCTGTCTGCGCAGCACCGAGCGCGTCGCACTCGACACGTGCGCCCGACAACTCCCCCCGCAACCCAGTGCTGCGCCCCGACGGACAATCCACGTGGTCTCACAATACACGGGCGCGCGTCACTCGTCCTCGAGCGCCTTCTGCGCGGACCTCCGCTTCGCCGCCTTCGACGCCTTGCTCACCGCGTTGTACACCACGTAGGCCCCTGCGCCGCAACACCGACACACACACACCGCACGTGACTCCCCACACGTGACCGCGGCGGCTCGGCCGCACCATGACACGGCTTCAGGCTCTGGAGGTCCCCAGGCCATCGGCAGTCTTCCGGCCGCCGCGCGTTCCCGCACGGGCCGGCATCGGCGCGCGCGGGTGTGCCGCTGGTTTGCACGCGCGACGGGAGGGGGGGGGGTGGGAACGCGCAGGTGACCGGCGGGGCGCGCACCGACGGAACCGGAGATCACGGCGACGGCGATGGCGAAGTTGCGCCAGTCGGTGGTGCTGCGCATCGAGCCGAGGGAGATGTAGGCGCCAATGGTGAGGGCCTTGACCATGCGGGCGGTGGAGGGCGCAATGACGTTGATGACCTTGAACGGCGACTTGACCTCCTGCACGAAGTCCTTGGAGGCGCCCTCGAGCTGGTAGCGCGCCACGGCGGGCGCCATTTTCATCTGACCGGTGCGCTGGGGGACCACGGTGAACGAGTGCGTGACCTGCGGGGCGCGGGCGCGCGGGCGGACGCGTGAGGATGCACGGGGGGCGGCCGTGCGGAGGTTGCGGCGGCGGGCCGGGCCGGGGCGCGCACGGGCGCCCTCGGAAGGGCAACGGCAGGTCTGGGCAGGGGCTGGGGGGCGCGGGGGAGCGCGTGAGCGCGGATGCCGCTGCGGGCGTGCATGCTCTTGTGGTGATGCGTCGTGCGGGGGAGATACCGCGGGAGGGCGGGCCCCAGCGGCGCCAGGGGCGACCCGCGGAACGTGCCGGCAGGACAAGGCGCGCGTTGTGCACCGTGCGGGGCGCCAAGCAGGCGCGGCTATGGCGGGGTCGTTTGCGTGCGGGGTCGTGCCTTCTCTCCCGCGCCGATGGTCTCGAAGTTGCCCGTAAACTCGCCGCCAACGATCTGGAAGAGGGGCTGCGTGAACGAGGCGTCCTCGACCACCACGTTCAGCGCGGGGCCGTCACCGGCGTTCCAGACGTTGATCTCGACCGTCAGGTTCCTGCCCTCGACGGCGAAGCGGTCCCCCGCGGCCCGGTCGATGATGAGGAACGCGCCATCGTCCGCGAGAGCTCTGCCCGCCAGCGCGACGAGCAGCACGCTCAACAGAATCCCTCCGATCCCCCTCATCATGTCCTGAACGTGCGCTGCACTGCCGCAGACAGCGAGGAGCCATCCCTATCGTTGCGAGCCCGGGCGGGCGCTTCTCCGGCATCGTACCAGGGCGGGAGTACCCTCGCGACGCCCCGAGCTGATGAAACCGCGGGCCAGCTGGCCGGCCGCACTGCCTGGCTCCTCCGTCGCGCAACCTCGTGGAATTCGCGATCGGTACGGGCCGATTCCAGCCGGCATCGCCACAGCTGGTCGTGCAGGCGGACGCTCGCAGCCATGGCGCGCGGTCAGCAGGGGCGCGCCATGAAGAAGGAGGCCAAGAAGCAGGGGCAGAAGGTCGGGCAGAGCACGCTTCCGTCGAGCGAGGACGTGGAGAACTTCCTCAACACGTGCGCCCCCGTTTGAGCTGGCGGCGACAGTGCCTCCCGCCGCGTTCGACGCGCCGGACCCACGGCCCCGCAACGGCCGCTCAGGGCGCATTGCCAGCCGGGGAGGCCGGCCCGGGCGCGCCGTTGGCAGCGCTGGTTGCGTGGGGGCGCAGCTGGGACGGTGTGGGGACCCGGTGCAGTTGGCCGCGCCTGGGCTCGCACCGCTGCCTCATTGATGCCAGCAGGCGCAGCACGGCGCGGACAGCGCCGACGGACCTGGGCGCGAGACGGAATTCCAGGGCGCGGCGCGGATTGCGGCGCCCGCGGCCAGGCCGCCTCGCGACACACAGCGCTGCTCTCGCCCGCCGCGCTGCGCGAGACACGCCGCCGCCCGCACCGCCGCCTGGCTGCAGGATCTTCCAGCCGGCGGTCGTCCTGCCCGTGGCGTTCGTCGTGGCGGGCGTCATCGGCCTGGCGGCGTACATGGGCAAGATTTCACAGTGGCAGGCGTCCCTGGCGCTGCTGCTCATGACGCTGCTCATCCGCCTCGTTGTCACCGCGCCCGCCACCTAGGCCGCGCTGTGCCGCACCGTGCTGGCGTCCCAGGCGCCCGCTGCGGCTCACCAACCCCCCCCCCCAAACGCCGGACATGGCTGTGTCCGCGAGAGCGGGCAGGACTCCTCGGGGACGCTGCGGCTCGGCCGCGCTCGCGCACCTGCGCAGAGGACGGGCCGAGAGAGCGGCGCTGTTGTTCTGCAGGCGAACGGACTCTCACCTCCCCGCGCATGCGCGGGTCGAAAGACAACCGCCGTTGTGACGAAACGACGCCCAATCACCCGGTCTCACACGCCGCAGAGCCCGCGCACGACCTAGGCGTCGCCGCCGCTCGAGTTCGCCGCCACGCTCCGCCGCACCGCCAGCCGCTTCTGGCTGAGAGCGACCAGCGCGTTGCGGCGCCGTGCGTTCCTGTCGCCCGCCTGCAGCAGCCCGTTCTGCCCCTGCGCGCCGTCCCCGCCCGCGTCCATCCCCGGGAGGGCCGTCACCGACTCCCCCCCCGGCCGCAGCGGCGGAACACCCCCCTTGTCCCTCTCGCCCGCTGTCCGCGGCGGGTCCGCCTCCGCGGCGCCGCTGCCGTCGCCCGGCGGGTTCCGGCGCGACGACCGCCGGCCCTCCTGCGCCCCCGGCGGCGGCGCGTTCTGGAACCGGAACGACTTGGACGACGACAGGCGCTGCGGCGGGAGCGCGTTGGACGACGGCTGGCGCTTCAGCTGCAGCCCCCACGGGTGCGGGTCCTGCGCGCCGTCCGGCAGGAGCCACTCGGGCGTCTCGTTCGCGCCGGCCGCGGGCGGCGCGGGCGCCGTCGGCTGCGTGGCCGGCGTGACCCCACTCCCAGCAGTGCGTGGTGGCCCGCGCGCAGGGCTCGCGCCGGTGTGCAGCGGCGGCGTCGGCGGCGTCGCGGCCTCGAGCGCCGCGGAGCTGCTGCGCTGGTGCCGCGGCCGCGACGCCGGCGGCTGCGACCCCTGCGACGAGCGTGGCGGGCCCGCGCTGCCGTTGGCCCCGTCTGGCGAGATCTCCGACAGCTCCGACGCGTGGCTGCCCTCGCGCCCCGAGGGGCCCTCCGGCAGCGCGGGGAGGCCCGACGGACCGACCGCACCCGGGTCGCCGGAGCGGCGCGGCGCGCCCCCGGGCTTGGCGCCCTGCGCACCGCGGCGCTGCTGACGCCCGCCGCGCCGACTGCACGCGCCGCCCGCGGCCCTGCCCGTCGCTCGCGTCGCCGTCGCGCGCCGTCGCGGCGCCGTCCGCGCCCGCCGACGCCTCCTGCCGCTTCATCAACTCGTACATAAGGTTTGCGCGATTGCCCATCAACGACGCGTTGAGGTCCATCCCCATCGCCCGCCCCGCGGCCGCCGCGCCGCCCCCGAGCGCACGGATCCCCACCGCAGCCGCGGCCCGCTGCTCCGCGTCCGGCCCGGCCGCCCGCGCCCGCGCCGCGCCGTCGGAGAGGGCGCTCTCCGCCGCCGACGGCGCCGACGTGTGCTGCGACCCGCGCAGCACGTCCGGCGCGCGCACCGCGACCCCCTGCTGCCGCGCGAGCTCCACGGCGTCGTCCTGCCCGATGCCGGCCGCCGCGAGGATCTGCCAGAGCGCCTGGATCGTCGACCGCTGCTGCGAGATGATCTGGTCGCGCGCCGCCACCTGGAAGCGCGCCTCCTGCAGCTGCAGCGCCTGGACGCGGAAGGACGACAGGATGTTGTAGAACCCGCCGTGCGCCTGGCCGCCCGGCTGGTTCAGCGCGTTGTCGAGCCGCTCGCTGATCCCCCGGTTCTCCCGCTCGTTGTCGGCCAGCTCCTCGACGTACCCGCGCTGCTCCTCCGCGTTCTCGCGGATGGCCTCCTCGAGGTCGCGCTCCTCGGACTCGAGCTCCCGCCGCGACGACGGCGCCAGCCCCGGCCGCGCGAGCGCCTCCCGCACGTGCGAGAGCTCCGCCTGGTTGTGCAGGTTCATTTCCTCAATCTCCAGCAGAGCCTTCTGGAGGTTGATGCGCGCGTCGACGTTGTCCGCGATGGCCTGCGTGGTCTCCTCGAGCCACGCGAGCATGTCGTCGCCGAGCTGCGCGTCCGCGGCGCCCGCCTTGCCCGGCGGCGGCGCCGCGGGCGGCCCCGGCGACGGCAGCGCCTGCGCCGAGGGCGAGGGCGCCGCGGAGGGCCCGAGCGAGTCCCCCGGCGCGCCGACGGCCATCGAGCGGTGCAGGGAGTTCGTGTGCCGCGCCGCGAGCTTCTGCCGCGCCTCGCGCAGCTCCGCCTGGAGCCGGTCGATGATGTTTTGGTACTCCGTGACGTGCTGCTCGACGGTGCCGATGTTCTGCACCGCGTGCGTCTTGATCTCCTTCGCGCGGTCCGCGTACTTGAGCGTGTTGACCGAGTGCAGGTACTGGCTGCTCGCCGAGCTCACTGTCGCCACCATGACCGTCCGCGAGTTGCCCCCGAGCGAGTCCTTCAGCAGCCGCGTGAGCTTCGAGTTGCGGTACGGGATGTACACGTGCGAGCCCTTCTTGCCGAGCGCGTTGATGCAGTTCGCGAGCGCGAGCAGGCTCTTGTTGATGTTCGCGCCGTCGCGCAGCTTCTTGCCCTCGTTCTTCGTTTCGTGCGCGCGCTCCGACCCGGCCAGGTCGACCAGGCACAGCTTCCCGCGCGTCTCGCGCTGGAGGTACGCGTTCCGCGTGCGCCGCGTGATGCTCACCTCGAGCACCGCGTGGCTCCGCGACGACTCCGCGTTCGCGTCCGTCGGCTCCGTCTTGCGCCGCAGGTTGCCGTCCTGCAGCGCGCGCAGCACCTCCGCGGGGCTGTTGACCTGCGTCCGCGTGAGCCCCGCGACCACGATGCCGATCGACGGGTCCTCGCGCAGCTCCAGCTGCGCCGACCCCTCGACCAGCAGATCGTAAATGACCTCGTTGTACACCTCGAGATACGAACACGAAATCGTGACGTCGTCGTCGCGGTAGTGGTCGCGCGCGCGCTCGAACAGCTCCTTGATCGACAGAACCATCAGGCCTGCGGGGCAGCCGCGGACCTCGCGCGCGGGTCGGGCGGGGACACGCGCGGGGCACCGCACGCGCGGAGAGCGCCGCGGAGAGGCCGCGCGGGGCCCTCGGCGGGGCGGACGCGGCGCGCGGGAGCGGGGCGCGCGCCGCGGCGGCGGTTCCGCGCGTTCCGCGTCGCGGGTGCGGGCGCACCTGGGTCGTCTTGGTGCCCGACCATGGTATAGGTTTTGCCGCTCCCTGTGGCGCCGTACGCGAAGACGGTGCCGTTGACGCCGTCGAGGACGCCCGCGGCGATGGAGGAGCACGTGCGGTCGAAGACGGTCCGCGTGGGGGTCTCGGCGCCGAAGGCCACATCGAACTTATACTTCTTCTCCTTCGTGCGGTTCTGGACGAGGTCGAGGTAGTCCTTGCTCTCGTCCGGGTCCATGATGATGACCATGTGGTCGTCCACGGCCTGCGCGGGGAGCGGAGCGGCGTCGGCGTCGGCGGCAGCCGCGCTGGTGCAGGTGGGCGGGGCAAAAGCCGCGGCTGAGCGGCGCTGCCGCGGCGCCGCGGCTCCAGCGCGGCCTGACGCGCACGGACGCTGTTCAACGGTGACGCGGGCCGCCGCGGGAGCACGCGCGCGGCGCGGTCCGCGCCGGCGGGGCCCGGCAGGGTGAAGACGAGCAGGCAGGCGCCGTGCGCGTGCGCGTGGGGCGGGAGGGCTCGTCTGCGCACATTCACGATGGACTTCGAGCCCAGGCCGATCTCTCCCTTGCTCAGGGGCCGCACGCGCACGGCGACGAGGAGGGAAGTCGACGGGACGGGGGGCTGCTCGCTGCCCGGGACCTCCATCCGCGAGCGCGAGTTGCCGCGCATGGACGGCCCCCGCGGCGGCCGCTGCCGGACCGCAGCCGCGCTGCTCATCGCGTCGCGCGGGCGCAGGAAGCGCGGCGGGCCCGCGAGGCCCTGGGCGGGGCGACGGGCCGCGCGGCTGTGCGCGCTGCGGTCGGCCCCTAGAGCCGCGGCGCGCGGCGCGACGGCGGAGGGTCTCGCGGCGAGAGCGGGCTGCGGGCAGCGAGGCCGCGCTCGGATGCGCCGGCGTTGAGCACGGGCGCGTGCTGCAACGCTCGCTTGTGGGTCGCGCGCGGACGAATAGCGCGCGCGAGAGAGGACGAAATGGGCCGCCCTGGCGAGAACGTGGCGCGCGCGCGTGCGCGCCGCCCGCAAAGGGCCGCACGGGCCTCTGTGTGCGGCGCGGGCGGGCCTGGTCGGACTGGAGTCTATGGAAAATGTCAACGGGAAGAACGTCGGCGTTCGGGGCCTTCGGGGCCGCGCGAGCGGCGAGCGCGGCATAGCAGCGACGTCGTCGCGCCCTAGTGCACGTCGCGGCGGTTATACAGGCGTAGAGGGCTCCCACGCCGGGCGACGCGCCTCACAACCCAGGCTTGCACGGAGGGGCGAGGCGGACGCTCGCGCACCTGGCGAAGGTGCGTCCGACTCGGCGTGTTCTTGCGCGAGAGGCCCGTTCGAGCGGTCTCCGCGGGCCGCCCCCAGGCCCCGCGCGCGCCTTCGGAGCCTCGCTGTCGACGAAAGACAAAGCGCGCGAGCTCGTCGTGCAGGGGGGCGTTCCCCGGGGCCCGCGCGCCCGCGCCTTCTGAGAACATTGCCTCTGCGTTCACCGGCGCACGCCGTTTTGTTTGGGCGGCACGCGCCGCTCCGGGCAGGCACTCCTGCAGCTCCGCTCGAGACGCGCCCGCAGACTCGCTGCGGTGCGGAGTCGGCCCTCACGTCGCCGCGGCGGCCTCCCACGCCCCCTCGCCCCCGCTCGGCGACGTGTGTGCGGCGCGTGCGCCCCCGCGCGGCGCGCGAGCCCGTTCGCCACACCTGCCGTTGCAAGCGCTCATCCCGGTCGGCCCCTGCGTGTCGCGCCGCGCGCCCGCCGCGAACCGGAAGTCCATGGACAGTCCAAGCCCCTCGCCGCGCGTTTCCGCGCGAGAGCGCCGCACGTGGCCCACGCCGGCGCGAGCAGTTGCTCGCGAGGACTTTCGGTCGCGTGCGGGCGTCCCGAGGGCCCGCGTGCCCGGACGCGCCCGCACGCGCGCTCCTCCCGCGCCCAAAGCGCGCACGCCCGCCCCCCGCGCGGTTCCGCGGCGGTTCCGTGCCTTCCCGCGCGCCCTGCCGCTCCGGGGCGAATCTCCGGCCCTGCTCGAGCCTCCAACGTGGACGCACGAACCCCCCCGTGGTGCGCAGGCGGCTGAGGTCGCGCCCGCTGGGCGGCAGCTGGTCAAGGAGCACAGGCTGCACGTCGCGCGGCAGTGGCCGCACGGCGCTGCGCCCATGAAGTCCCGACAACAGGGCGACGTTGCCGCAGCGTCGCCCGGCGACGGCCTGACGCCGCGAGGGCGCGTCCTGGAGTCCCGTCTGCGGCACCCGTTCCATTCCCCCTCCCCGCAGCCGCGGTCCTCGCGCGGGAGCACCTCGCGCCCCCCGCCCGGGAACGCGCCAGCCCCCTCGCCCGGCGGCGGCCTCAAGCCCTCCGTCAACTCCAGCGTGGCGAGGAAGGACGCGGCGCCGCCGCGGCGCGGAGGCCTCAAGACGGGCTCGCGGAAGAAGCCCGAGGACGGCGCGCCGACGCGCGTGTCGTTCGCGGAGAGCCCCAAGCCCGAGAGGGGCCACAGCGGCGGGTTGCAGCGCGCGGCGGTGGGGAGCTGGGGCAGCAGCGTGCGCTCGGGGGACTCCGGGTCGTCCATCTGGCGGCTCCCGTCGGGCGACTACGCCGACGTCGTCCCCGCGCCCCGCGAGGCCCCCGGCACCGCTGCCGTGGACGCGGGCGGGGTCGCGGCGCCCGTCGACACGGGGCTGTGGGGCGACGGCTCGCGGACGCCGCGCTCGGCGCGCCCGGACACGCAGGACCTCACGCAGCGCGCGTTCGAGGTCGCGAACGAGGTCGACGAGGCGGTGAGCGGCGCCACGACGCCGCGGCGCTCCGTCACGCAGCAGGCGTACCCGGCCGCGGCGCCGCGCGCGGTGTCGTCCGCGGACGGCTCGGCCGCGGAGACGGCGATCCCCCCTGCGGTGCTGGACTTCCGCACGGCGCCCGGGCTCGCGCACCTGCTGCGCGGGGTGCAGCGGGCGATGGAGCACCTGTGTCAGGTGACGCTCACGGGGCCCGCGCAGCTCCCCGCGGTGCCGGCGGCCGCGCGGACGGAGCTGCAGCGGAAGGCGGACCAGCAGGCCGCGATCGCGCACGCGGCGAAGTCGTCCCTCGACCAGGCTCTGCGGGAGCTGCGCGTGGCGGCGGCCACGACCAAGGCGCCGGCCAAGGACCGGCGGAGATCGTCGCCGTTCGCGGGGTCGCCGCAGACGCGCAAGGTGGCGGAGTCGCTGTCCCCGCGGCCGCGCACGTCGCCCGCGCACCGGTCGCCGCTGGCGAGCACCGGGTCGGTCCCGCGGACGCGCGCGGCGACGACGACGCACCGGCGGAAGGCCTCGATGGAGTCGGCGGTGTCGTCGCCGCCGAGCGCGCCGCAGCACCACGACGCGGCGCCGACGGCGACCGCGCGGCCCGCGGACGGCGCCGTGGAGCGGTTGTTCGACCTGGCGCAGAATTTGGCGCAGAAGAACGAGTCGCTGGCGGGGTCGCTGGAGGCGCTGATGAAGGACAACGGGCGGCTGCAGGCGGAGGTGCAGCGGGAGCGCGCGCTGGCGAGCGCGGCGCGCGCGGAGCTGGCGGAGGCGCGGGAGCGGAGCGCGGCGGCGGCGGCGACGGTGGCGCGGGAGGTGCAGACGGACGACGCGGGGAGCGCGTCGCCGGTGACGACGCCGCGCGGGGTGGACGACATGACGAAGACGCTGACCATGGGGTCGCCGGAGCAGTCGGCGGGCCCCGGCACGAGCCCTGAGTCGGCGAAGGAGCAGTCCCCGGGGGGACTCCATCATCGGACGCGGTCGGGGCAGCTGCGCGAGGCGATGGAGACGAGCTGGCAGGAGGTGCAGGAGATGCTCAACGTGTCGGAGCAGCAGGCGCGCGCGGTCGCGTCCGTGATGGCCCGCGCGAACAACACGACCAAGGGCCCTAGCGGCGGCGTGGCGACCGAGGACTACTGGATCAAGCAGTGCAAGTTCTTCCAGGCCTGGGCGGTCAAGCTGCAGATGGACGCCGCGCAGTCCAACCGCGAGCTCAGCAAGATGAAGGTCACCGTCGGGGCCGTGACCTCGGAGCTGCGCAGCATCGCCATGGCCAACACTGCCAAGCTGCAGAGCGCGAACCGCCTGCTGCGCAAGCACGGCGAGCAGGAGATCCCGCTCGGGGACCCGCTCGCCGCGATCGACGCCGCGCTGCCCAAGGCCCAGGGGAGTCCCCGGACCCCCCCCGACAGCCGGCGCAGCCCTCCGGGGCGCCTGCAGCCGTCCCTGAGCCGCCGGTCGCGCAGCCTCGGCGAGGACGACCTCCTGCGCATGATGGAGAACACCGCGCAGCAGCCAGAGAGCTCCGCGGAGCGCCGCCGGCGCAAGTACGGGCGGGCGTCGGCGCGCATGGTGCTGGACCCGATTCCGGAGTTCCGGACGCGCTCGGGGCGGTACGGCGTGGAGGGCCGCACGGAGAGCAGCGGCCGCGTGCGTCCGTCGGAGGACGGCGAGATGTCGGAGGAGCCGACGCCGAACGCGGAGGCGGCGATGGCGGCGGCGGCGGCGGCGGAGCGCATGGGGTGGCGGGCGCACCCGTCGCCGCGGGCGTCACTGAGCGACGTGACGCCGATGCGGACGGTGCTGGAGGACGACGCGGAGGACCTCGACGAGGCCGGGTCGCTGCGGAACACGTCGGACGAGGGCCCGACGGAGGAGGAAACAGCCCCCTCCGGGCTGGAGGAGTTCGCGGAGCTAGACAGCGCAGTCCCCACCAGTGACGTGGCTGCGGCGGGCGACGACTGCCTCCTCGGCAAGGCGGACGACTCAGGGCCCGATCCCAGCAGCAGTGCGTAGGCCGCGGGACGCAGGGTGTGAGGTGTTGATGTTGAGAGTCGCGGAGACCGCGAGGTGGCGCCGAATCACTGACGGCCTGTCGGCCGCCTAGGAAGGCCGCGCTGCTGGCGCCCTCTCTTCTTCGGGGGTGTTTTTCTTAGAACTACTTGTCAGGGAGGGGACTCGGGAACCAGAACGCTGCTGGGAACATCGCGAGGCGCGCGAGCATAGCTCGGACATTCGCGCGGCCGCGAAGCCAGCCTCCTCGTATCGCGGTCTGGGCAGAGAGGAGCTGTGTGTTACTTGCGTCCCTCTGGCTCCCAATTACGGTCTGGGAAAGCGCGCCATGAGGTTTGTTTCGGGCGCGCCGTTAAGTTCGCTCCAGCACTGTGCAGTGACCGCCAGGGTGTCGCGCGTGGGCCCTTGAGGCGCTCGTACTGGAGCGTGCTGTTGCCCAAGGTCTCTTGAGGCGCGATATTCCCGCCCCGAAGCTGGGCGGAGTGCGTCAGACCTAAGCGCAAACGACGGATCGATGGTTTCACCGTAGTTCAGGCACGGGGAAAGCAGAGGTCGTCGTCACTGGGCCACGAACGGAGGCTGCGGGTGAGAGGTGCAGCCCAGTGCGCCATTCTGCGCGGAATGTGGCTCCGCTTACACGTGTCTTGCTCGCACCGAGAACTAGAGATGGAGGACTCCGCGTGATGCGCAGGTCGGCTGCACCTGAGGCCGCTGACGCGGCGTTCAGTGCCCGCTGGAGTGTTTCGACGTTTCGCGCGTAGGAGGACCCGCAAGGACCCGCGATGGGGAACCAGGTGACCCGCTCCGGCGAGGACCTGATTTCGGAGCTACCTGAGATCGTGCGGCGCGAGCAGGTCGGCACAAACCGTCTCATGAAGTCCTGGCACTGCTCCTTACAAGGCACGCCAGTTCTCGTCAAGGTGCGCGAAGCTTCCAGCCCGGCCCGGCCAAACGTCGTTCTACCATCCAATGTCTATCCCCCAGACCGGCGCTCGACCGCGCACGTCCGTCTACGGCGCCGCATTTCCCCGGGAGTGCAAGCGAGCCTCTCTGCGACATCCGCGCAGGTCTACGCGCGACCCCAGGGGCCGCAGGCGGCCGAGAGCGAGGCCGGCGCGTCCCTCGGGCGCAACGTCGAGGCCCTGCAGGACGCCCTCAAGAAGTTCTCCCAGCTCGGCGCCGCGCGCCACCTCGCCGCCGGCGCCCGCGTCATCGCCACGCCCGCCGCCGTCTACGTCGTCCGGCCCTACCTCTGGTCCACGCTCCACGACAGGCTCGCGACGCACCCCTTCCTCACGCACCCCGAGCGCGTCTGGGCGTGCTACCAGATGGCCGTCGCCGTCGCCGAGCTGCACGCAGCAGGGTTGGCCCACGGGGACCTCAAGCTCGAGAACTTCCTGTCCGTGTCCTGGGGCTGGGTCGTCCTGTGCGACCCCGCGCCGTACAAGCCCGCGCAGCTCCCGCACGACGACCCCTCGGTGTTCTCGAACTATTATGAGAAGCCGCGCGCGCTGCGGAGGTGCCACATCGCGCCGGAGCGGTTCTGCGGGGAGAACGTGGGGCGCGGCACGGATGCCGAGAACGAGGCCGACGCGACCGTCGCGGCCGCGGCGGCGGCGGCCGCGGGCGCGGGGCACAGTCGCGAGAGCGACGTGTACGCGCTAGGAAGCTGCATGGCGGAGCTGCTCCTGGACGGGCGCTCGCTGTTCGACCTGTCCGCGACGCTGCGGTACCGCGACGGCGAGCACGACCCGTCGCCGGCGCTCGCGAACCTCCCCGGCGGGCCGGCGCTGCAGGGGCTGGTGCGCCGCATGGTGGGGCGCGACCCCGCGGGGCGGCCGACCGCGGCGGAGGTGGTGGCGGAGCTGGCGCGCGACGTGCTGCCGCGGTGGGTGACCGCGGAGCTGGACCCGGCGCTGCAGGGCCTGCTCACGCTGCCGCCGGGCGAGCAAGTCGAGGCGTTGTGCGCCAACGAGAGATTCGACGCCATAATTGCCGCCGCGTGCGAGCCCGGGGGGTTCGGGCCCAGCGGCCTCGTGCTCCTCATCCGCGCGATCTGCACCGTCCTCCGCGGCGCGGTGACGCGCGCCGGACGCATGCTCGGCCTCCGCCGCCTGACGCAGGCTGCCCTGGCCGCTGACGACACCGCTCGCCTGGAACACGCCGTCCCCGTGGTGCTCGAGTGCTCGCGCGACTCCCGCCCCGCGGTCCGCGTCGCCGCGATCCAGGCGCTTGTGCGCATCATGGCCGCCGTCGAAGCCCTCCCCGAGGCGCAGGACGGGTACTGGGTCGACTTCATACACCCCGCGGTGTGTCTCCTGTCGCGCGACGCGCAGGCGTGCGTGCGCGCGGAGTTCGTCGGGTCCCTCGGCGCGCTCACGCGCGAGGCCATGCGGCTCGCGGCGCCCTGCCGCGAGGTCCGCGCGCGCCAGGTCACGGACGCGCTCAAGCGCGACGTGCTCGAGGCGCTCTCCATCGTCGAGGCCGGGAACTCGGCCGTGCGGCGCGCGATCGTGTCGTCGCTCCTCGAGGTCTCCACCGCGCTCCCCGTCGCGCCCGTCCGCGACGCCGTCCTCCCGGCCATGCTCCGCCTCCTGTCGGACCAGTCGGACTGGATGCTGCGCGCGCTCGTGCTGCGCTCCCTGCGCTCCTGGTGCACGACCGTCGCGGCCGCGGCGTCGCCCGCGGTGTCCGCGACGAGCCCGCGGCCCACGGACGGCCGGACCGCGCGCACCGCCGTCGACGCGCTCGCGCTCCCGTGCATTGACGTGGGCATCAGGGACTCGCATCCAGGCACCGCGGCGGTCGCGCACCAGGCCCTCGCGGACCTCGCGGCCGCGGGCGCGGTCGGGCGGCACGCGGCGTGCACGCGGCTGCCGGCCGTGCTGCACGCGGCGCGGTCGGGGCAGGGGCCCGTGCGCTGGGCGGCGGCGCGGGCGGCGTGCGCGATGATGCGGTCGTTCGACGACGTCGACCGGATCGCGTTCGCGGTGCCCGCGCTCGAGAAGGTCGCGGAGCACACCGTGCACGGCGTGCCGGAGTCCCCCGAGGGCCTGGTGGATCTCTTGACGCGAGCGGCCAACCCTCGGAGGGAGGAGGGGCCCGTGGCGAGGGAGAGGGTTGAGGCGACGAGGCTGGCGCTGCAGCTCCTGCCGGGCGCGTGGGGCCGGCGGACGGAGGTCGAGGCGAATCTGTACAGCACGGCACTCGGCGACGGGGCGGCGCGGTGCGTGCCAGGACTGTCGTCGCACGCGCGCGCCCTCGACGCCGCAGGCTGGCAGCCAGGCACGCCGCACCAGGCTGCAGGGGAGCTGTTGCTGCGCGGCGCGCAGTCCGAGGGCTCCGTGCGGCTGATCGACGGCGGGAGGGGGGACGGAGCAGGAGCGGACGTGCGGCAGGTGATGGAGGCTGCCATCGGGGCCAGCGGGGCGGGCAGCCGCTGGCGGGGCCGGCGGCAGACGCGCGTGGTGTCGCGCGGCGTGCCCGGGCACAGGTCGGAGGACCCTCTGTATCCGCGCGGGGTGCTCTACGCGCACATGGGAGCGCACCAGCAGCCGATCAACGACCTGACGGTGAGTCGCGAGGGCGGGTGGGCTGCGACCGCGAGCGACGACGGCGCGGTGACGCTGTGGGACTGCAGGAACCTCGCGCACGACATGCCGGTCGCGCCTGTGCTTGTGTGGAAGCCGGAGGGCGAGGCGGAGGAGGGGGGGCTCCCCCCGCGCCGCACGACGTGCCGCAGCCTCGGCGCGCGGCGCTTCGTGGCGGGGTCGTCGACGGGGTGCGTGCATCTCGTCGACGCGGACGTGGGGCGCACGGTGCGCGCGGACCCCATCCGGGCGTCGGACGGGCGCGTCCTGCGCGCGGGCGACCCCAAGGACAGCGCGAGCGTGGCCAGCGGCGCGTCGCGCGCGATCGTGCGCATCGAGGGCGCGGGCGGCGGCGCAGGCTCCCCGAGCCAGCTCCTCGTGTGCGGGCTGGCATCCGGAGCAGCGTGCGCAATCGACCCACGGGCGCCGCGCGAAGCGTGGCGGCTCAACCACCCGCCGTCTGTCGGGTGCCTGACGGCCATGTGCGTGGGCGGCGAGGGCGGGGAGCCGTCGTGGCTCGCGACGGGGTCTTCGCACGGCCATCTCTCAGTGTGGGATCTGCGCATGCTCTCCTGCGCCACGCTCTCGCGGCGGCACCCGTCCGGCCTCGCGATCGTGGGCCTCGAGGTGCTGCGCGCGCAGGGCGGCCGGTCGGGCGCGCGGGGCGTCGCGGGGCGCGTGCCCGAGGCGGACCAGCAGCGCATCGGGCCCATGGTTTACGTGTCGACGCCGGCGCCGGGCGAGGAGGTGGCGTTGTGGGACGTGTCGGGCGGGAGCTTCGTGCAGGTGTACCGGGTGTGCGGAGTCGACGAGGAGTGGGCGCCGTCGGGGGCGTCGGCGTCGGGGCCGGTGGTCACGCCGGCGTGTTTGGGCGAGGCGGGCGTGGGGCACGGCACGGCCTCGGCGCCGGCGTCGCGGCTGTCGTACGTGCAGGGCGGGGCGCCCCGGCGGTGCATGGCGCGGGCGATGCTGTCGACGGTCGGCGGGCAGCTGCTTACGGCGGGGTCGGACCGTACAGTGCGCGTCTGGGACACGACCAGGCCGGAGCGGTCGTACGTCATGTGCGCGCCGTACGGCGACATCCTGGACGCGGCACACATACAGCTGGCCTCGCAGATCTCCCGCGCGCGGCCGCAGAGGCCCGCGAAGCCGCGCACAGGCCCCACGCAGATCTGGCACGTCATGCGGCACCAGTACAGGTCCGACGCCCCCTCCTGCTGCGCGCAGCGTGGCCGAACGGCGCCTGGCCGAGTTGCGCGCATGTCCGAAGTGCAGCGTCACGTGTTTTCGTCGCTGCCTGCGCAGGGTGCGCCACCACGGCCGCGTGGCGATCGTCGAGGAGCAGCTGCACTACCCCGACCCCGCCGAGGCGCTGCACATCCTGCGGGAGGCCGCGGGGGAGCCGCCGGAGCAGGGCAGGATCCCCCACCAGGGGCCGTGGTTCACCACCACGCGCGAGCGGATGCGGCGCATGGACCACACGTGCCATCAGGACGCCATCGCGGCGCTCGGCGTCGTCGACGACGTCGGGGCGCAGGGCACGCGGTTCGTGCTCACGGCGGGGCGGGACGGCGTTCTGAAGGCCTGGAAGTAGACATCTTTCGACATTACTAGTTAGGTTTGGTTGGCGGGCGTTTTGTTCGCTCCGGCGGCGCGGGTGAGGTCGGAGTTGCGTGCTGCGTGGATTCAACAAGAAGGTTCGCGCGCTCCGGCCCCGCTGCGGCTGCGCTGCGTCGCGACGTGCGCCGTGTGCGCTGCCAGCACCATGTGACGGCGACGCGTGGCCGAGTGCAGCGGGCCGCTCGGAGCGTCAGGGGGGGTCCGCGATGGATCGAGGCGGACGAAGGAGGCTGCAGCGTGGCAGAATTGCCCAGTCGAGCCCCAGAAACGACAGCAGGAGCGGGGCGAGCTCGCTCAACTCGCACAGCGGCTTCCTCGGCTCAAACAACGGCGACGTGCTTCGGCGCTGAGCCTCGGGGACGCGGCCCAGCCCCCAAGCCCTGCCACGAAGGAACTGGCGGACGTTGCCGCGGGCGACGGTTCTCGGGCGCGCTGCGTCGGGGGAAAGATGGGACGGTGTTTGTCTGTTGTGCTTGTGCTGGTCCTGGCGGGCGTCAGCTCCGCTCTCGCAGCTGGCCCGCAGGCACTCGCGCACGGGAAGCGGCAGGTCCAGCTGCGAGTCGACAGGGCGGCCGAGGGCAGGCGGTTCATTTACACATGGAACGGGCAGCCCGATGATGCAGACGGGACGGGGGCACGCATGCTGCAGGTGCGCCCCGCCAGCCGCGTCCAGGCGGTTGAATCGACGATCAGCGGCCGGACTTCCGCGACGTGCTGCGCCTGCGATCAAATCGGGAGACAGCTCGAGCGTGACGTTCACCTTCACCTTCGTTTCTGCCACGGGGCTACGCGGAGGAAGCCGTTCCGCTCAAGTGGGTCGACGTCACGCTCAAGCTGTTACTGGACGTGCCGCCGGGCCCCGGCTCGGGCGTCGCACTAACACCCGAGCTTGTGTGCCAGTCGCCTCTGATTCAACGCTAGTGTTTTTGTCCGCTGCAGGATCGCGGCTCGCTTGCACCCGCACCGCAGGCCGAAGATCGGGATCCTGAGATGCTGAGCGAGGACAGGCTTCCGCCCGCACCCGAGAATCGCACCGGCGACCCGCCCGCCGTGCTGAACGCGACGACATCAAACGGCGCTGGAAGCGCGGCGCCCGTCGTCGAGGAACCCCCGATCCTCCGTGTCGATGATGACGTCGCTTCACCGAGACCCGTGTCGTCGGAGCCGGTGTTTGGGTTCCCCCCGGACACCCCCTCGTTGTCCCCCAGCGCCAGTCTGCCGCTTGAAGCTCCTGACGCGTCGCTTGCGGAGCCAGCAGCCCGGCTCGACGTTCGGCCTGACGACGTCCCACAAGGCGCGCTCGACATGGCTCTTCCAACCAGGCCGGCAAGCGCGCGAGCTGCGCCGCTCGTGGGCCCGGAGGGCGGCGCTGCGGTGGCCGAAGACACGTCATTTGACCTTCCGATGGAACTGGCGCAGAGTGGAGGTCTCCAGATCGAGACATTCGACACCGCCACGGGGATGGTGATGGAGGTAAGCGGCAACGGGACTGCGTTGCTGCTGAACGGAGCGCCGCTGACCATCGTCACGCGTACGTACCCCCCTCGTCCCCGTGCAGCAGCGACGACTTGCGCGCGTTGAGCAGAGCGCCTAGGGCGCGAGAAGAGAGCTGCTAGATACAGAGACGCCAGCGAGGTGGTACAAACCGTGGCCTTGTGTGCGTCCTTCCGCAGGAGACGATAGCGTTGGCATCCGCATCCTGGTCACCGGCGACGGGCGCGGGATCGTCATCAACGGCGGCAGCTTGGGTCTCCCGCCGCCGGATGAGCAAGCTCGGCTGGCTGGGGCCGCGCTCACGGTGGACCGCCGAGGTTCCAGCGGCCCTGCCAGCTCCAGCGTAGATGCGGATGTGTCACGCAGTCTGCGGCTCGACATGGCGGATAACAAACAGCCGCAAGAGTCGGAACGGGGCGCGACGAAGGATGTCGTGGAGCGTCAGCCGGCCGCAGTCCGCTTCACGGGCGCCAGGAAGCTCTTGCGGGCACCTACGGCGACGCCTTGATTTACCTACGCACGGGCACCTCTGAGCACGCGGTAGAGTTGGTGTGCGATCCCAGAACATCGCCTCGTATTGTAAGCCGTCGGTACGAGTGTCACCGTCTGTGCGGGCCAGCCAGGTCGCCCCAGCATCAAGCATCACAAATCATGTGGCGGCATAAAGCACCGTCAGGGTTTCCTGCAGGGCACAGTGGGATCCCTCGCCGCAGCGGCCATCGCCGCGTCGTCGCGGCGCCAGGGGCAGTGCCCGCTGACGCTGCTCACCGACCCACGCTGCTACGCCACCGCCCGCCCCGTACCGTTCCGCTGCACGAGTCCCGAAGCCCTGCTCGCCGCGATCGCCGTGAGCACGCGGTACTCGGCCGTCGGCACCTTGTGGAAGGTCAGCGCGCTGTGCACTGCCAGCGATTCGATCTTGTCGTGGCCCCAGCCGTACGCCGCGCCCGCGTGCATCCCCGCATGGTGCACCACCATCCCCCCCAGGGCGTGCACGCACTCGGAGATGAACAGGTCGTTCCAGAAGAACCCCGCGCCCGCGCCTCTTCGCCCGAGTTTGTCAGGGCACCGCTTCCCGTACGCGGCGACCGCGAGCTCCTTTGCGAGCGTGACCGACAGGATCATGCCCGCGCCGCCCGAGAAGTGGCAGGTCTGGCTCCACACGTGGCCCCAGACCCTGCCGATGGCGACCCTGACGTCGGGGTTGATGCAGGACAGCGTGTCGTCGACGGCGGCGGGGTTAACCCATGTGTCGTCGTCGATGAAGACCACCCAGTCGACGCCGCCGAGCTTCCCCGACCTCGCAAGCCACTGAAGTCCCTTGATCTGCCTGCAAACATGACGATCGTTGTCCAGAATGGGCAAGCTCGGTGTCTGACACCCAGCAGAATCTGCAGCGATAATCGCTGCTGGGCTTCCCAGGGCGCGCACGAGCAGAGCGCCGCGGAGCACTGTCGACCGCGAAAAATCTTCTCGGGGTTGGGGCGCACTCTCTGTCCGCAGTGACGCGGTATCAGCGCACCTGTGGTCGGCGGCCGCGCGCTCTGGCTTCCCCTCGATCTCCGGCGTCGTGATCACGCCCAGCTCCGAGTCCTCTGCGTCGCTGAACACCACGAGATTCCGGTCGCGCGCCCAGGACTCCCGGTGGCGCGGCACCGTCTCGTTCTGCTGCACGCTCCCGGTCAGCATGAGATACAGGACGTTCGACGCCCCCGTGGGGCGCCGCCGGCACAGCTGACCGTGGTACTCGCACCACGCTGAGAACTCGGTCCACGTCAGCATGAGGTGCCCCGCGTGGCCGGCACTCAGCGGCCCGGGAAACGCGGGCTTGAATGCAACCTTCGTCGGGTCCTGGGGCGTCAGAGGAGCTGCTTCGGCGATAGAGCGGTCGACGCTCATCTTGATAATTCTCGCGGGCGGCGCCACGGATCGCGGAGTCCAGACCACGGGAGCGCGCATGCGCGCGGAGAGGGCAGCGCACAGGCAAACCGCGAACAACAGCACGCTGCGGCGCGTCCCGAGAGCCCAGCACCGACGAGCTGCGCTGGGCGTCATCGCGACGGCGGTCCGTCGGCTGGGCCCCTGTTCCTCGTTCGGCTGCCCCACACAAAACAAGCTGTGGGCAAAGGCGGCTCTGCCAGTGCGTGCCTCTTTCTCGCGGACGGCCTGCGACACGGACTGCGCGGTCGCGGCGGCGGGCGCAAGGCCTCTCCGGCACCGACGCGAGGGCGCGCGGGGGCGTAGTGAGTGTCAGTGCACGCCTCCCCTCTCCCGGGCGGCCCGTGACGGTCGCGCAGGGTGCGCCGACCGCGATCTTGCCCCGAGTATCCCACGCATGGTGAGGCCGGAGGCGAGCCTTTGCGCCCCCGGGGCCGTTCCGTCGCCTCAGCGCCCCGCGACCTTAGTCATCAGCCGGGAGAGCTGGCGCCGCGCGCACGGGGGGGCCGATGTTCCCTTGAAACCCACGGCGATTGACGCAGACATCACAGCGGCGCTCGGCCGCGGGGCCCGGTGCCGCCGACGACCGCCGCGGCTGCCAGCGGCGGCCCGTCCGTCCTGGCGACAAGGGGGCTCTCGCCGTCCCTGGCCGCGAGCAGCGGCCCCGGGCGGGTACGAGCGCGCGCATGGGCGGGGGGCGCGGGCACTCGAGTCGTAGGCACTAGTAGACATTTAGAAGGACCTGCGGCCGGCCCTGCAGGGTCCGAAGTTGCAGGCACCTGGGCGCTGTGTGCGGGGGGAGCGCATTCTGTTTCGTGTGAAGCTTTGGCTCCCGGGCCGAGCGCGACACGTGCACATGGAGGGTCTGGGTCGCACGATGCCCGCGGGCCGCGCGGCGCGCAGGTAGGTCGTCGGGCCCGGTCAAGCGCGCCTGTGCAACACGATGCCTCGGTTCCGGCCGGGTGCCCGCGCTGCGGGGTAACCGCGGCCGTATTCCGGGAGCACCTTGGATTGTTTCGCGGGCGGCGCGGCATCGCCCCCCGATTCCACCCGAGTCGCGCGACTCGGACCCCGCGCTGCTCAACGTGTGCCCTGCAGTTCCGCGAGGGCGAGCAAGCCGTGCAGTCAGCCCCTCAGGATGGGTTCGTTCGCAAGGCGTCAGCTGAACGTGCGGCTGAGGGCCGACACCCTCGCTGGACGCCCAGAGGTGCGTCCAGAGGTGCCCTGTCCCTGCTCGGCCGAGCTGCCCTCACCGCGCCAATTCGGCCATCTTGCGGGCCGCGCGCTCGGTCGACGCGCCCCCCCACTTCGCATTCACGCGTCGATGGCCCGCCGGCGTCCCGCGGGGCTGCTCACGGGCGCCGTTGCGCTGGGTGCCCTGCGTCTTCAGGTCGGCCTCACGGACCGCGGATGCGCGTGCGCGGCGGGCAGGGGCGAGCGCGCTGCGGAATCCCGCGCATCGCGAATGTTGGAGGAAATGCAGTCGATTCTCGAGGCGGCGGAGCAGGGCGGGAGCGCGAGCTTCGCCTCTGGGCCAGGGGAAAGCGCGCAGACCCTGACGGAGCGGTTGCGCGCGCTCGACCTCAGCGACACCCCCGTGGCCACCAAGGCCGCGCTCATGTCGTCGCTGATGGTGTCCGTGCTGCAGGCCGCCGAGGCGCAGGCCGACACGCTGACCTCTTCCGGCGCGCCGCACACGTCCTCGGCGCTCTCGGCCGGGGCGGGCGGGCCCGTGTCGTTCCACGGCGCCGCCGCGGGCCTCGACACCTTCGCGGGCGCCGCGGTCGGCTCCCTCGAAGGCTCCCTCAACGGCGTCGACGGGGTCCAGGAGGTGGCGCAGCTCGCGGTGCGGGAGCTCGGCGCCGCGGGCGACCAGTTCTCCCAGGGCCTCTCCGGCGCGCTCTCGGAGACCCTCCGCTCCGTGTCGAACCTCCAGACGCCCGTCGGCGCCTCGCTCGACGGCTCCGGCGCCGCCGACCAGGCGCACATGCTGGAGTCGTTCGCGGCCTTCTTCGCGGCGCTGCTCCACGGCATCGTCGAGACGGTGCACTCGGTCGCGCCGCACCTCGCGGACAGCCCCGCGGTCGCCAGCGCGCTCGCCGCGGCGCAGGACGCGGTCGCGCGCCCCGGCGCCGGCACGACGCTCCTGGCCGCCGCCGCCGCCGCGGGCGTCCTGGCCATCCTCGGGCAGGCGATGCGCGGCGCGCCCGACGACGAGGCCGGCGCGCCGGGCGTCGACGTGGGCGTGCCCGTGGACCCCGAGGGCCTCCCGCTGCGGTACGACCCCGTGGCAATCCACCTGTACCTGAAGAAGCGGCCGATGATGGTGATGCGGCGGACGGTCGTGGTGGGCAGCGAGGCGCTCCGGATGGGCACCGCGCTGCTGATGGACGTGTACACGGGGAAGTGGCGGTCGAACATGCCGCGGCGCGCGGTGGAGGCGCGGCGGATTTTGCAGGACCTGGGCCCGACGTACGTCAAGCTCGCGCAGCTCATGTCGACGCGCGTGGACATGATCGCGAAGCCGTACCTCGAGGAGTTCACCAAGCTGCAGGACCGCGTCCGGCCGTTCTCCACGGGCGAGGCGCGGGAGATCCTGACGGAGGAGCTCGGGCGGCCCCCCGAGGAGGTCTTCCAGTGCCTCTCGGAGCGGCCCGTGGCCGCGGCGTCGATCGGGCAGGTGTACCGCGGGATCCTGCGCGAGGAGTTCGGCGGCGGCGAGGTCGCGGTGAAGGTCCAGCGCCCGGACATCATTGAGAACTCGAGCCTGGACCTGTACGTCATCCGGCGGCTGTTCCTGGTGCTGGACCGGCTGCCGGCGGTGTCGGCGGACCTGGTGGCGCTGCTGGACGAGTGGTCGGAGCGGTTCTTCTTCGAGATGGACTACACGCACGAGGCGGAGAACTCGATGCGGTTCCAGGCGGACATGAAGGGGCTCGAGGGGGTGACGGTGGCGGACGTGTACCCGGAGCTGTCGACGCGGCGCGCGCTGGTGACGAGCTGGGTGTACGGCGAGAAGCTGAGCGAGAGCGACGCGGGCGACGTGAAGGCGCTCGCGACCACCATGCTCAACTGCTACCTCATCCAGCTGCTCGAGACGGGCTTCCTGCACGCGGACCCGCACCCGGGCAACCTGATCCGGACGCCCGACGGCAAGATCTGCGTCCTGGACTTCGGGCTGATGGCCGAGGTGCCGGCGGAGCAGCGCGCGGGCCTGGTGAACTTCATTGCACATCTCATCTCGCGCGACTGGGACGCGGTCACGCGGGACCTCTCCACGCTCGGGTTCATCCCCGAGGGCGCGCCGGACCCGAAGGAGGCCGGCCTCACGGACATGCTGAGCTACGTGTTCGGGCAGCTCGTCGACGGCGGCGGCGCGGGCAAGAGCCTGTCCATCTCGCAGCTCATGACCGAGATGGAGGGCGTGGCCGACAACTACCCGATCCAGATCCCGCCGTACTTCGCGCTCGTCTTCCGCGCGTTCGGCGTGCTCGAGGGCGTCGCGCTCCGCGTCGACCCGCAGTACTCTATCGTGCAGGAGTGCTCGCCGTACATCAGCCGGCGCCTGCTCACGGACCCGAGCGAGGAGTCCCGCATGCTCCTGCGCCAGCTGATCTACAGCGAGAGCGGCCGCATGGACCTCCGGAAGCTCGAGACGATGGCGCAGGGCATGAAGCGCTTCTCGACGGCGCCGGTCGCCGCGCGCACGGACGCGCCCGACGCGGCGCCGCGGCTGGCCGAGCCCAAGCCCGCGCTGGACCCCGCGGTGAAGGACGCGCTGCGGATGATCTTCTCCGAGGAGGGCGCGCACGTGCAGGAGCTGCTGGTCGACGAACTGGTGGCGTCCGTGGACGCGCTGTCGCGCGAGGCCATGGGCGAGCTGGTGCGCATCGTGGTCGGGTCCGCGGGCGTCACGACGGCGCTGAACGAGATGGAGGCGTTCGGGCCGATGACGCCCATCATGGTGCGGCCCATGGGCATCTCGCTCGAGATGATGGCCGCGGCGGCGCCGAGCGTGGAGCTGACGCAGGAGGACGAGGAGGCGCTGTCGAACGTGTACACCGTCTGGGAGCTGCTGCGCCCGGAGCTCAAGTCGGTCAGCCCCACGCGCGCGCGCGAGGCGCTGCTGGCCGCCGTGGAGCTCCTGCAGCTGGCGCCCGACGTGATGCCCGGCGTGCGCCGCACCGCGTCGCAGTTCGCGCGGCTCTTCCTCAGCCGGATGGCCGCGAGGGTCGCCGACGAGCTCAACTCGCCGCGGCAGGGCGCGCGCCGTGCCCTCCCCGCCCCGCGGACGCAGCCCTACGACCAGTACGGGCAGTACGGGCAGGCGCGCGGGTACTGAGCCGCGCCCCGCCGCGCCTGGCGCACCACGGGGTGCTCTGCACGCCGGACGCCCCCCCTGTATCGACTCCGACCTCCCGCTGCAGCGACCTGGCGCAACTGGCGCGGGTGTTTTGCCTCCCTCCTTGTTCCCGACGGCCCCAGCGGCCCGCGTAGACGCGGAGCACCGCCGGCGCGACGCATGGCACCGTAACGCATGCCCCACTACCTCCCCTCCGAATCAGCCCGTAGCTACCCACGTCGACGTGCGGCGTGCACTCAACAGGCCCAAACACTAGAGGGGCCGCATCTGCAACCCAGGCCCTAATGTCCACTGTGACCACGACTCTGCCAACCGTGCGAGCGCGCAGCACGCCTCGCGCGAAGCCGGCCATCCGCCTTTCGAGGTCCATTCATGCGCCGCCCCCCCGTGGGTGCACCAGCTGTTGTCTGCCTGTGTCGATGACAAACGGGGTCTCGCGGTGGCTGGGCCTCGAGCGCGGACTCGCGGCGTCTTCCAGGCTCCGTCGCCGCGGGCACGGGGCCTGCGTCAGGGGGGTCACTTGCAGCCGACATACCTGTGACAAGTTGTCGCGCGGCCGCGCTGCGGCGTGATTTTAGCGCATGCACGCGCGAGATACCACTGCTCGCAGGTCAAAGAGCGTCGTCCCCTGCACAGCAATGGCCGCCGAGGACGGCACACCGGCCGCGGCCCCTGCAGGGCCCCCCACGGCACCTGCCCGGTTCCACGCGGTGCCCCCCGGGCCGCCTTCGAAGCCCGACGCGTGGGACGAGGCGTATCTCAAGGGGAACCTCTCAAAATGGGACCTCAAGTCCGGACTGCGAGTGCGGAGGTGAGCGCGAGCGTCCGCCAGTGCAAAAACAGGCGCGCTGAGAGCGGGCCCGCCGAATCGAGGGCGAGACGGCGGCGCGTGACGCGGCGAGTGAGCACGCAGGTACCGGTACGAGCGAGCATACCACAAAATGGCGGCGGACGAGTTCCTGACCGATCTCCTGAACGACCCGGGCTTTCAGAGCACCTTCCAGGTGCGCGCCAAGCTGGCCCCCACAACCGATGTCTCGCGACGCGTAAAAGCGCGACACGCGACGACAACAAGCTGTGGATGTCGCAACACGCCGCGTACACCCCTGTGTCTCTTCCATCGCCGCCCTGCCGCGCCTGTGGCGCCCCAACGAAGCGCGGACTCGCAACTTGCCACGCGCATCCCTCCTCGATCACCGCGCCCGGCCCGCCCCGGGCTGCCAGTCGCACACCTTCTCGCGCGCCCCGGCCGCGCCGCGCAGGTCGTCGACAAGGCCGGGAAGGAGCAGCCCTTTCCCCACGGGCCCGTGACCGGGATCCGCGCGACTGCCCTGGCGGCCACGGAGACGTCGATGTCGTTCTTCGACCGCCTCGAGGACTGCGACCCTGCGATCGTCGGGTGCGTCGACCACCGCACCGGCCCAAAACATGCACCCACAACCACGCAAGCTCCGTCTCTGTCTGCGTGCCTCATCCAGCCCCTCCTGCACCTCCCTCACGGACGTCCGCGCCCTGCGCGGTCCGCCGCGCTGCGCAGGCACTCCGGCACGATCGCCAGGTGCATCGAGGACGTCGTCGACGGGCAGAACGTGCACAACATGCTGCAGGAGGCGCTGACTCGAGAGGGGGACTCCGAGGAGCACCCCGACCTCTTCACACCGGACGAACGGAAACAGGTGCGCGCGGCGACGACGCGGCCGTGCCCGATCACGCAGGGCGCGCGCACGCCTTGGCCTGCCGCCCCGTGGTGCGCTGACCAGACGCTGCGTGTCGTGACGCGCTGCAGCTTCTGTATAGAGTGTTCCGGCTGATGGTGCTCGGCGGCGCGTGCAACCAGTACGAGGACACCTTGGAGCCCTACCTGGAGTCCACGAAGCGGCTGTACAAGGGTTTGCTCGCTGTGCGCAAGGCGCCTGCGACCCCGGGGGGAGTCGAGGTGGTGTCGGGGGCGTACGAGCTGCTCTCGGTGGGATCCGCGGGAGCCGACGGCAGCGCGTTCCGGCTGTTTCCAAGAGCGCACCCCAACAACGCGTTCATGGTGGTGGCGGACCCGGTGCGCAAGGTTGCCACGGTCATCTACCACGCGGTCGGCAGCGCGTGGTGACGACGGAGCCGACGCAGCTTGCTGCTGCAGGACGGTGGCAGCATTGCGCGGGACTTGCAGACGAACGGGGCGGTAGATGAGACACGTGCGGCCGAGACAGGCCGTCGTTGTGACGCAACGGGGCTCACATCCGCACGTACTGCCGCAGGGCGCGCAGCAGCCGTGCGTCCGGGTGCGCAGAGGCTGTCCAGGGGTCGGGCAGTCACCCCGCCTCATACGGCGCCGTAGCTCTTCGCGAGCCCGTCGAGCTCGCTCTTGGCCGCCTCGTTCTCCAGCGCGCCGCGCAGGGCCTCGAACGCCCCCCGCACGAACTCCTTGTCCTTGCGCCCCACCAGCCGCGACGTCATCGCGAAGCGGTCCACGTTGGATAGCGTCCGCAGCACACTCGCGCCCAGCTCGGCCTCGCCCTCCGGCACCAGCGCGTCCGACACGGCGCGGCACAGCAGCACCACGAGCGCCGGCGACAGGCCCGACTTCACGATCCTAGGGTACTCGGCCGGCTGCACCTGACTCAGGAACGCCGTGGTGCGCTTCGCGTCGCCGCCGACCTGCTTCAGCGCGCGCTCGAAGTCCAGCGCGCTCCGGGGCTTCGGCGGCAGCTCGTCGAGCATCCCCGTCGCCAGCGCCGCCGCGGCCTGCGCCGACGCCGCCTGGTGCAGCTTCTCCTGCTTGATGCGCGCCGCCTCCGCTCTCTGCGCCGCCTTCTGCCGCTCCTTCGCGGCCTCGTCCGCCTGCGCCCCGCCCCCTGCCTCGAAACGCGCCCCCGCGGCCGTCGGCGCCGGCGCGGCGGTCTTCGTCTTCCGCGGCACCTCGCACATACTCTTTGCCTTCTTCAAATCATCCACCACCTGCTGGTTCCCAGGGAGCCGGATCATGCACTGCTGCAGGTCCACCACGGCCTCCGGCGCGCGCCCAAGGTGCATGCGCGCCAGCCCGCGCCGGTGCAGCGCCCGCGTGTGCGCGAAATCTCGCTTAAGCGCCTCGCAGCAGTCCGACTCGGCGCCGGCGTACTCCTTCAGCTTCAGACGCGCCAGCGCGCGGTTCGCCCACGCAGCCGCCGGCGCCGAGTCCAGGCCGATGGACTGCCCGTACAGCTGCTCCGCGAGCTCGAAGTTCCCGGCCTTGAGCGCCGCGTTGCCCTGCTCCTTGACGGCGGCGGCGCGCTCGACGGCCTCGGGCGACCCGGGGACGGGGAACACGGCGCTGGTGGCCTCGTCGCCATCCTCGTCGTCGTCGCTGTCCTCCTCGAGCTCCACGCGCCGCAGCGCCGGCGCCGCGGGCCGGCGCGGCTCCTCACGCGCGGCAGGGGCGGCGGCGGGCGGCGGCGGCGGGGCGGTGTGCCGCGCGAGGTCCGCCTTGGCCCCCGCGAGGTCCTCCGCGAGCTGGGGGTTGTTCCGCATGTTGCCGCGCGACGCTAGCTCCTCGAGGTCGCGGATCGCGGCCTCGTACCTCCCCGCGCCGCGCTTCGCGAGTCCGCGCCGGTGCAGCGCCTTGGCGTGCGCGGGCTCCGCAGCGAGCACCGCGTTGCAGTCCGCCTCGGCGTCCTCCCAGCGCTCCATCCGCAGCCGCGCGAGCGCGCGGTTGGACAGCGCCGGCACGTACCCGGGGTCCGCCGCGAGGGCCTCCGTGAACGCACGCTCCGCGCCCTCCAGGTCGCCGCTCGCGAACAGGCGGTTCCCCTCGTCCTTGAGCCGCTCGGCAGCGGCCGTGTCCGGCGCCTCGGCCACCTGCGCCTGGACCTCTCGAGCAGACTCGTCCGCCGCCGCGCTCGCCGCTTTCGCCGCCGCCTCCTGCTGCTCGAGGCTGCGCTGCAGCGCCGCCTGGTGCTCCTCGCACGCCTTGACGTACGCCTCCATCTCCGCGGCGTACTTCTCCGCCGCGGCGCCGTGCGCGCGCAGCACCTCGGCCGCCGCCTGGCGCGCCTTCCCGGCCACGCGCGCCGCGCGGTCCGCCTCCTGGTCCGCCCAGCGCCGCTCCTCCGACGCGTCCTCGTCCTCCGAGATCTCCTCGATCACCAGCGCGCCGTTGTTGTACTCCCGCCGGCTCCCCACGTCGCCCCCGCGCCCGCGCTCCCGCTTCGCGAGCGCCACCTTCACCTCGACCAGCGTGCGCTTCACCTCCGTACCGGCGCTCGACCCCATCAGCTGCGACGCCTGCTCCAGATCCTGCTGCGCCACCGACAGCCGCCCGAGCTGCCGCGCCGCGCACCCGCGCCGCCAGTAGGCCTTGCCGTACTTCGGGTCGAGCGTCGCGGCCACACCGGCGTCCCGGTACGCTCCCGCGGCGTCGTTCTGCCCCAGCTTCGCCGCGGCGCGGTTGCAGTACAGGATCGCGCTGTCGGGCGCCTTCTGCAGCGCGGCCGTGAAGGAGGTCACCGCCTGCGGGAACTTCCCGTCCTTGAACGCCGCGTTCCCGGCACTCTTGAGCGCGTCCGCGTCCTTCTGCGGGTCCGCCGGGGCCGTCGGGGCCGTGGGCGGCTCCGGCACCGGCTCCGGCGGCGGCACTGCAGGCCTGGGCGCGGCGGGCCGCTTCGCCGCCCCCGAGGCCGGCGCGGGCGGCGTGGTGTCCGCGGGCGCCTCCTGCGCGCCGTTCGCCGCGGCCGCGTCGGCCCCCCCGTCGCCCTCAACCTCTGTAATCTTCATCTTGCGCAACCCGCCGGCAGCGCTCGTGCCCTGCGTCTTCTTCTCCAGAGCCTTGACTGCCTTCTCGCGCATCTGCACGGCCTGCGTCGCAACGAAGCCACGTCGGCAGCGCGGTCGTCAGGGCGCCGCACGCATGACGACCGCGAGCGGTTGTGCACTCAACGCGCGAGATGCAGCGACGGACGAGTCGCGGTGTGCGTGCGCGGCGAGGGCACGCTTGCGCCGCACCAGCTGGTTGTCCGGGTCGAGGTCCAGCGCCGCGTCGAGGTCCGCGCGCGCGTCGAGGGGCCTGTCGAGCTCGAGGCGCGCAGTTCCCCGCCGCAGGAAGGCCTTCGCGTTCTTGCCGTCGACGCTCAGCGCGATCGAGCAGTCGGCCTCAGCGTCCACCCACTGCTTCATCTTGAGGTACGCCGCCGCGCGGTTCGTGTGGTACGCCGCCACGCCCGGCTTGAGCTCAATCGCCAGCGTGTACGCCTCCACGGCCGCGGCCAGCTCGCCCGCCCTGCACAACGCAACAACCACACGCAAAGTCCCACACTTGCGAGACTGGCCCGCACGGCAGCGTGCTACGACATGGCGCAGCCCAACGCAGCGCGGCCCAACAACGCGCCAGAGTGGGGGGCGCGAGGGCGAGCCGAAGCCCCCCGCAGGCCGCACCGGTAGAACTCGTTGCCCTTCTCCTTCTGCCGCTCCGCGAGCCACCCGCGCTCCACCGCGGACAGCCCCTTGTTGGCGTCGGCGAGGTTGCGCGTGTGCTGCGGGCCCGACGCCGCCGCGTTGCGCCCGGCGCCCGGCGCCCCCTCCGCGCCCTCCTCCGCGCCCTCCTCCGCGCCCTCGGCCTGCGCCGCGTACTTGTCCCAGTTGTCGTAGTACTCCTTTCCGGAGCGCACCTTGCCGCTGTCCGTGAACTTGCTGTCGACCTTGCGCTCGCCCGCGCCCTCGGCCGGCGCGGCGGGCGCGCGCCGGCGGACCCCGCGGACGGGCGGCACGCGGCCCGCGGCGCCGCCCGCATCGGCCGTGGCTGCCGCAGCCGCCTCCTCCGCGCCGCGAATGTCGGCCAGGAAGCCCTTGATGTCCTGGTCGGCCTCCGCCTTGAACTTGCTCATGATCTCGCGGTACGCTGCGCGTCGAGCGGAGCGCCGGGCGCGGTCGGCGCGGGCGCCGGGGACCGCCACACTAAGCGCCACGTCTGAGACCAGGCACGCCCCGTGCGGCGCGCGGGCGGCGCTAAGCGGGCTTGTCGGCGCGGGAGCGCGAGCCCGGAGCACGCGTCTTCGCGGTCGCGGCGCATTTCGTCGCACCTGGGTCGTCAGGATCGAGAACCTTGCCCAGTTCTCGCAGCCGTGCCTTGGCTCTCTCAGCAGGTTGCGGAAAGCCCTCCTTGGTCATGTAGTGGAACAGGCGCCGGAGCTTCTCCGGGTCGTCCTGCGCCATGATGTCATCGGCCCTGCGCGCGGGGGCGCCCCGGGAGCGCGCGTGAGGCGGGGGCGCGCGCGCGACTGTTTTTGCACACGGGGGCGCGGGGTGCGCGCGCCGCAGGAGGCAGCGGGGCGCCGCGGGGAGATCCGAGCGGCGCGTGGTCGTGCGGACGTCGACGCCAGTCAGGGGGCGCGCGCTGACGCGCCGGTGCGCCCCGGCGGAGCAGTGCGGGCGCATAGCGCATTGGTGCGCACAGGTGCGGAGCGCGGGCGGCGCGTGGGGCCACCGGCCGCTCTGAGGGGGAATCTGGATCCTCGTGGATACGGGCGCTGATGGCGGGTTGGACCGGCGCGGGTGGCCGGGGGTGGGGCGTGTGCGGGTGGGCATGCAGCGGGGCAGGGACAGCGCCGCAGAATTGCGAGCGGGGGGCGCGTACGTCATGTTGTTGAACTCGTTCATCTCCGTCTCGGACAGGTCTGCCGGCTTGTACGGCGGCATGACCTCTAGCGACGGCATGCCGGGCATCGCGGCGAGCGGGTCAACCAGGGGACCTCAGTCGAGGAAACGGTATTCCCGCGCGCTGAATAGAGACGAGAGACTGAACCTTCACGAAGGCACGCGCCCCGCGCCCTCCAAGCTACTCGAACGCGTCAGGCGCTACCACACACAAGCACCGTGCTCCGGAGTTCTGCGAGCACGCGCCGGGGTGGCAAAGCGGTGAAGGGAGCGACCGTCTCGCGCGGCGTGGTGGCAGACGCACCGGAGAAAAACAAATACACGCGGAGTGGCCGCGCCCGCGGCTCAAAGACCTCGCCGGCGCGCGCGCACGATCTCTTGCTCGAGAGGAATCGTTTCGCTCTTGTTGCGCAGCCAGTCGACGCCTTCACGGTGCAGAGCAGGCAGCGGTGGTTGGAAAGGCATTGCTCGGCCCCTTCGAGTGCGCCTACTCAGCGGACCACACACCCCGCGACGCGACTCTTACGAGAGATCGCCCACTTCGAGCTACTCGGCGCTGCGAGTTGCGGCAAGTCGAGCGCGCGCGGCTCGGCAAACGACGATGACCTCGGCGACGATGACCTTCGCTAGAAGACTGCGCGTCTGCACGCCTGAGCTGCTGCGATTGGGCGCTGGTGCGTGTCGCTCCGGGATCATGGACATTTCGTCGTGCGCGGCGACTCGCGTCGCGCGGTCCGAGGGATCTCAGGACGTCGCACAGCAGCCCATGAGCGGCACCAGGAGTGGCTTCGAGGCCTCCGCGCCCGGCGGGCCCAGTTCCGCGGCGAGCTCCGTGCGCGATGGCGAGACGGAGAAGTTCGCCTCGCTGTCAGGGGGCTGGTGGGACCGCAACGGCCCGTTCCGTGCCCTGCACTCCATGAACAGGGTCCGCGTCCCCTTCATCAGGGACGTCCTCTGCAACGCGTGAGCCCCCCTCCCTGGCGCGGTCTGAGCGACGCAAAACGCAGAGCGTGCGTGTGGCCTTCGGAAAAATCCATGCGCGGGCCAAGGTTCCCCCGGCATTGCGTGCGCACGGCGCGCCCCAAGAGCTGGATGCAGCGCTGAGCGGGCCGTTTCTCTTCGCTCGGCGCACGCGCAGGCACGGTTTGGACCCCGCGAAGCTCCACACGCTCGAGAACGTCAGAATCCTCGACGTCGGGTGCGGGGGCGGCATCCTCGCGCGCGCCCTCGCGGCCCTGGGCGCCCACGTCACCGCCATCGACGCCTCGGCCGAATGCATCGCCGCCGCCTCGGCCTACCACGAGCGCAACCCCGCGGCCCTCGCCGCGTCGCCCGGTGCGCGCACCCCCCGCGCGCCCACCGCCCCGCCCTGCCTCCCCGCCCCGTCGCGCACCTCACTCCGTCCCGCCGCGTCGGAGCGCCGTCGCAGGACGCATCGACTTCGCGCACGCGACCGCCGAGCAGCTCGTGGACGCCGGCGCGCAGTTCGACAGCGTGGTCGCCTCGGAGGTGATCGAGCACGTCGACACCCCCCCCTCCTTCCTGCACACCCTCGCGCGGCTGACGCGGCCGGGCGGCGCCGTCGTCGTCTCCACGCTCAACCGCACCCCGGAGTCCTACTGCAAGGCCATCGTCTTCGCCGAGCGCGTCATGGACCTCGCCCCCCCCGGTGCGCACCGCAACACAACCCCCCCCTCACCGCCCGCCGCGCCACGAACGCGCAGCCCTGACCAGACCGAGCTCGCCGCGGCGCGCAGGCACGCACGACTGGGGCGCGTTCATCACGCCCGAGGAGCTCGCGCTGATGGGTGCCGACGCGGGCCTGCACCTGTCGCACCTGACGGGCATGAGCTACGACCCGTTCCGCGACATGTGGACACTGACGGGCAGCACGGGGGTCAACTATGTCGCCTCGCTGCTCAAGGGGCCGCCCGCGGCGTGAGCGGCGGGTGTAACTGCGTGTGTGCGAGTGCGTTGCTGTGTCACGTGCCGCGGGACGTAGGGGGCGCGGGCGGGGCTGGCGTCAGGGGCCGCGTGTGGACGGCGCGGGGGCGCGCGGGGGAGGGCGCGTGGGGGGTGGGTCCACGCCAGCGAGGTGCGGGGAGGCGGGCTGCCTGCCTTTTTTCCAGCAGCGGGACTGGCCGCGGCGGGGCAGGCGCGGAGGGCAGCAGGGGACCTCGGTCTGCGGGACCGAGTTTTCAGATAGATATCGACCACCGGAGTGCGGGGACGCAGGAAATTCGTGCCGGTCGGCGCCGCACGGCGACTCCCTCGGTACGACAGGGGGAGGTGGGGCGCGCGCGCTCGGCGATCGCCGTCGGGGGAAGTTCGGGCCCCGCGCGCCCTCGCACGCGTAATTCACGGGCCGCGCGATCGTCCATAGCTCCGTAATCACACACGGCACTGCGCGCCTCCGGCCTGGTCAACGTTGGGCACGAGGTGGCCGCGAGCTGCACAGGCTTTTCCCCCGAACGTCGTCGGACCGCCGGGCTCGACAGTCCACGCGCCGCACCTCGACCGCCAAGACTCGTCCCGGCCAGGACACGTAGGCGCGGCGAAACTCGCCCGATACACTGCATGCTGAGAGCACACTGAGTCCCTGGCCGGCGCTCGAGATGGCTGCGCGCGAAGACGCCCCGTCGGGGCTGGCCAATATCGACCAAACCACGTCGGCGGAGAGAGGTGCGCCTGCATCGCGCTGTCGACGAGCCTGCGCGCAGTCACGCATCCGGGAACGCGCAACCGGGCCGCGCCGAAGTCGAGAGTAGAGCCGCTGCCGCCCCCGGGCGGCTGTCAACCTACAACGGCACGCCACTGTCGCCCTCGCGCTGGACGCGCGCGGATTCCCGCGTTCTCGCGGAAGGCCCAGTCGTTAGCAGCCCCTCCGCGGCTGTGCGCTTTCCACGCGCAGCACCACCCGACGCAGAGCCGACAGCGCGCTCTCCAGTCCCTGGCCTGCGCTCACATTGATGAGCGATCCGTTTTCAAGCCCAATGCCGCTGCCCCTGGGCTCGGTCACCCTGTCCAAGTTTCCCGGGCCACCCAGCCCTGTATGCTGGGAGCCACGCCGCCCGACGCACGGTATTGCACGTCACCGATCCAGACTAGGTGGCACAAGTGCAGCGGCGCCCCCGAACGCGCCGTCCTGCGCGTGACGCGCGGTGCCTGCATGCCGCTGCAGCATGAGCACTTCCTCCCGCGCCGCCGGTTGCGTTGGCGCCGATCCTGCACCGCCCACATCGCTCTCCGTGCGACAAACAGCGAGCCACGCCGGCTCGTGGGCCTCGCTGACCGTCGAGGGCCCGCACGCCGCCCCGGGTGCTGCCCATGCGCAGCCATCCTCCGCGCGCCGCGGCCCCCGGGGCGCTTCGTGTGCGAGCCGCGCCCCCCCCCGAAGAGCACCCACACTGAGAAGTCGTCGCGCCCGCACACGAAGGCTCAGCTTCCTCCTTGTTCGCGCGTGCAGATGCGGGAGCAACAGAGCCAGACAGCACGATCGCGGGATTGGCGGCGCCGAAGAAGGTGTTCCGCCCGTCGGTTGACGGGCCAATCATGACGATGGTCGACAACGCCGACGGTGAGACGCACCCCCGCGTCGCGCGCGCCGCGCGAGGCACGCCTGGCAGCGCCGCGCCGCCGTTGACCCGCCCTCCCGCGGGCAAGTGCCCCGACGCTGCATCCGCGCTCCCTCGCCTGCGCCGCAGTTGACGAGTTCGCCGTCGACAGCGCCGAGTACCGAGCAAAGAAGCGGACGGACGACCCGGAGCTGGCGGCGCGCATCGCCGCGCGCGTCAACCGCACCTCCGTGGACCGCACACGCGCGAGCCAGGACCGCGCCGCCGCGGACGCGCCCCGCGCGCGCTCGAAGGACTACGCCCGCCCGGCCGCGGTCGAGCACGACGCCGGCGTCGGCCGCACGGCGGCGCTGCAGCGCATGGAGTCGCTCCCGGAGGACCAGGTAGTAGATGCGGGGGCGGAGGCGGACGGCGGCGCGGGCGCGGGGGAGCAGCACAAGTTCGTGGCGCGGGACGGCGACGCGGCGGCGATGGTGCGCACGTCGTCGCTGTTCAAGCCGAGCAACGAGGAGGGGCCGCAGGACACGCGGCCGGGGTCGTCGGGCGCGGTGGTGCTCGGGGTGAACGGGCGCGCGGGCGCGGGGGGCGCGCGGGACAGCAAGGAGCACGCGCGGAGCAGCGTGACGTTCGAGGTGCGGGAGCCGTCCCCGCGCGCCTCCACTTCGGGGGAGTCCGACTCGGAGGAGAGCGACGGGTCTGACTCGGACTTCTCGGTGGACTGGGTGCTGACGGACGCGAACCGGAAGTCGTTCCGCGAGCACGTGATGTCGGCGCTGACGGCGGTGGTGCAGCACGAGGACTTCGAGCTCCTGATTCTGCTCCTCATCGTGGCCAACTGCATCACGCTGGCCATGTTCAAGCCGCTCTCGGGGCCCGAGGACAGCTGGAACAAGAACCTCGAGACCGCGGAGCTCGTGTTCAACTCGATCTTCACGCTCGAGATGGTCCTCCGCATCCTCGCGCTCGGCGGGCCCATCGCCTACATGCGCGAGCCCTGGAACGTGTTTGACTTCTGCATGGTCGCCGTCGGGTACACGTCCTTCATCCCCGCGGCCGCGGACGGGACGTCGTCGCTCCGCGCGCTCCGCGCCCTGCGCGCGCTGCGGCCGCTGCGGACCATCACGCGCTTCGACTCGCTGCGGGCGGTAGTGGCGTGCTTCATCGAGGCCGTGCCGCTCCTCGGGCAGGTGGTCATCCTCATCTTCTTCCTGCTCATTCTCTTCTCCATCGCCGGCGTGTCGCTCTTCGCGGAGGCCTACTACCGCGCGTGCTACGACCCGGCCACGGACACGTACGAGCCCAGCCCGGGCAACTCCCCGGACGAGCTCGGGTGCGGCGGGTGGCGCTCGTGCCCGGCCGAGTACCCCGTGTGCGCGAACACGGGGTTCAACACGGGGCAGGAGGTGGCCGGGTGGGACAACATCGGCGTCGCCATGCTGACGTGTTTCCAGATCATCACCATGGGCGGGTGGTCGTACATCATGTACCGCTCGGTGGACAACACGGGGTGGTGGTCCGCGTTCTTCTACATCCTCCTCGTCCTCTTCGGCGCCTACTACGCGCTCAACCTCTTCCTCGCCGTGCTCAAGGTCAAGTACGCCAAGGCGCAGAGCGTCTTCCAGGACCAGCTGCGCGACAAGGCCGAGCAGGAGACGAAGAAGAAGAACACGCTCATGCGCATCGGCGCGCACATCCGGAAGTCCATCTCCGAGTACACGGCGCGCCGCAGGGCCAAGTCGATGGCCCGCATGCGCCAGTCGGAGCGCATCAACGCCATCTTCCTGGCGCACGAGGCGGAGAACGAGGGCGCGGACAGGCGCTCGTCCGACAGCGACGAGGTCGACGACGAGGGGAACACCTCGAGCGCGGTGCCGTCCATGCGGCCGCCGCCCTCGGGCTCGCTGCACCGCACCGTGCTCGAGGGCAGGGCCGCGGCGGGCAGCCCCGCGGCGGAGGGCGGCTCGGAGGGCCGCAGGTCGCTGCGCATCGGGAGCCTGAAGGGCGGGTTCGGCGAGGGGGAGGAGAACGGGGGCATCCAGGACGACGGGAATCCGTTCTTGTCGAAGAAGCCGGCGCTGATCAGCCCCGCGGCAACGCCGGGCGCGTCGCAGAGCGGACGGAGCTCGAAGAAGGCCGTGAACATCGCGATTCCGAAGACTGCGGCCGAGATCGCGGAGGAGTCGGAGCGGATTTCGGACTCGGGCACGGATGGGTTGTCGTCGACCAACTCGGGGCTGATCTCGCGCGGGCAGGAGGCGATGTCGGCCCAGATGAAGCTCAAGCTGCTCGAGGGGATGCTGCTGGATGCGAGGGATCAGAAGGCGTGGTTCAAGGTCGCGATGCTGCACTTCCGCCTGTGGAACTTCCACATTGCCGAACACCGCTACTTCACCAACTTCTTCTTCTTCCTGATCCTGATCAACACGCTCCTGCTGGCGATCGAGTACGACGGCATGCCGCAGGGGCTCTCGGACGGTCTGTCGATGTCGAACATCGTCCTGACGGCCCTGTTTGGCCTCGAGGTGATGATCAAGATCATCGGCTACGGGCTGCCGGACTTCTGCGCGGACGGGTTCAACATCTTCGACGCCTTCGTGGTCTTCATGGCCATCCTCGAGCTGTCGCTGCTGTCCGGCGGGGGGCTGTCGTCCCTGCGCGCCCTCAAGTCCCTGCGCATCCTCAAGTCCTTCCGGGTGCTGCGCGTCTTCAAGATGTTCCGCTACCTGCAGTCCATGCGCAAGGTCGCCGAGGTCGTCGTCGCCGCCACGGGGTCCTTCATGTCGATCGCGCTCCTCATCCTCCTCGTGATGCTCGTGTTCACCATCGTCGGCCTGCACGTGTACGGCCCGGAGTCGCTGAAACGCCCGGAGTTCGACGAGGAGTACCAGACGACCTTCTCGACGTTCCTCAGGTCCCTGCGAACCGTGTTCCAGCTCCTGACCCTCGAGGATTGGGAAATCATCATGTTTTCATACGTCCGCACCACCGGCTTCTCGGCCGTGGCGTACTTCCTGTCCTGGGTCGTCATCGGCAAGTGGATCTTCCTGACCCTCTTCCTCGCCGTCACGCTCGAGGCGTTCGAGTCCAAGTACGACCAGCAGGCGGTCAAGGAGATGAAGATCCTGGCCAAGAAGGAGAAGAGACGAGCCGCCCGCCGCGACCGAGCGCGCTCCAAGGCGGAAAGCATCAAGGCGGGCTCCCAGCCTGGATCGGCCTCGGACGGAATTTTCTCGTTCCGGCCCGGACGCAGCCCCAAGGTTGCCCCGGAGATAAGCGCGGCAGACATGCCCTCAGACGGGACGCCGATGACCCCGCCGCGAGTCGCAGCGGCGTTCGCGGGCCACCACGGCGCTGTCGGGCACGGAAGCGGTCTGAGCAGCCTCAGGAAGTCGGCGCTGAAGAACCCCGCGCGCCCGAGCCGGCTGGCGAACAGCAGCGTGGTCGACAGCGGCAACGCCCCTGCGGCGGGGGCGCGGCACGCCCACAGCGGCATGGAGATCGGCGACGACGTCGCGCGGCTCGGGACCCGGGCTTCGGGCCTTCGGCGCACCACGGCGCCCGGGCTGCCCGCGGCTGCGGTAATGAGCTTGGCGGAGGGGAGCATGCAGACGAACGACACCAGCAAGTTCTCGCACTTCGACATCGACCACGTTCCGGAGAGCCCGGAGGAGCACCAGGAGGCGGGGGACGCGCAGATCAACAACGCGGCCTCGGGCCAGGACAACTCGGTCGGTGCGGGAACTGCTGAGTTCGCCCCGGCCGTCAGCGCGCCGCCGGCGGAGGAGGGGCGGGCCGAGGAGGGCAGCCCCGGTTCGGGCGACACGAGGCAGGGATCGCGCGGGGACGCGGGCGGAGTGCCTCCCACGGAGGAGCTCCTGGGCCCGCAAGGGTTTGGCGAGGGTTGGTTCTCGGGGAAGAAGAAGGGCAGCGACGACGCGGTGTCGTCGGAGAGCGAGTCGCTGTACTCGACGAGGTCCGGGACGTCGTTCGCGCTGAACTCGGAGACGCGCGAGGTGATGGAGCTGCAGCGGGAGGCAGCGGAGCTGTATGGCGAAGCAATGGACGACGCGTCGGCGTCGCAGCACAGCGGGGGGAAGCAGGTCACGAAGCCGAAGGCGAAGGAGGGGATGAGGCTGGTCGGCAAGACCTTCTGGATCATCGGGCGCAAGAACCCGATCCGGAAGTTCATCTTCCACAAGGTCGTGACCAAGTCGTGGTTCGACTACTCGATGTTCCTCGTCATCCTCGTCAACTGCGCGTTCATGATGCTCGAGAGGCCCACCATCGTCGAGGGCCACAGCCTGTACAAGATGCTCAAGTACGCCGACATCTGCTTCGCCGTCATCTTCGCGGCGGAGGCGATCCTGAAGATCATCGCGCTCAACTTCAAGCAGTACTGGAAGAGCCACTCGAACAAGCTCGACCTCATGATCGCCGCGGTCTCGCTCATCGAGGTGTCGCTGCAGAGCTCCTCCATCCGCGGGCTCAAGGCCTTCCGCGTCCTGCGCGCGTTCAAGCCCCTGCGCGCCCTCACGCGGTCGGCGGGCATGCAGCTCGTGTTCCGCTCCATCACGCTGTCCATGGCCTCGATGGCCAACGTGTCGGTCATCCTCATGCTCTTCGTCATGGTCTTTGGGATCCTGGGCGTGCAGCTCTTCAACGGGCGGTTCAAGCGCTGCAACGACACCAGCGTCGCGGGCGTGGACGAGTGCGTGGGCACGTTCACCAACCCCGAGACGGGCGAGGAGGAGGAGCGCGTGTGGTCGAACACGCTGCTCAACTTCGACCACCTGGGGAACGCCATGCTCTGCCTGTTCGTCGTGTCGACGCTCGACGGGTACGCGCAGATCCTGGACGACGCCATGGCCGCGGGCGAGAAGGGCGAGCAGCCGCAGCCCGGGCAGAACGTCATCGCGCTGATCTACTTCATCCTGTTCGTCTTCCTGGTGGGCTTCTGCCTGCTCAACATGTACGTCGGTGTGGTGTTCTACCAGTTCTCCCGCATCCGGCTCATGAGCACGGCGGGGTGCGCCTTCATGACCCAGGAGCAGACGGAGTGGATCGAGCTGAACAAGATGATCGCGCGGCTGAGCCCGCAGGAGAAGCCCCCGCTGACAAAGTCCAAGTTCCGCAAGTTCTGCCGGAAGGTGGTGGACCACGACGCGTTCGAGTGGTCGATCATGACGCTGATCGTGCTGTCCACGCTGTCGATGGCCGTGGAGCACTACAACCAGCCCGACGAGATGACGTCCATCCTGGAGTACATCAACTACTTCTTCACGGGCGTCTTCGTCCTCGAGGCGCTCTTCAAGATCGGCGCGCTGGGCTTCATGTTCTACATCCGCAACCCGTGGAACCGCTTCGACTTCATCATCGTGTGCACCACGCTGTTCGACACCTTCTTCAGCTTCCTGGGCCTGTCGTTCGTGCGCACCATGCGCGTGCTGCGCCTGACGCGCATGCTGCGCCTCATCCGGCGCGTGCGCGGCCTGAACGAGATGTTTTACACCCTGTACCTCTCCCTCCCGGCCTTCGGGAACGTCGGGGCCTTCCTCCTGCTGCTCTTCTTCATGTATGCCTACGTGGGCGTGCTCCTGTTCGGGGAGAGCCCGCGGACGCCGTCGATCAACGAGCACGCGAACTTCTCCGACTTCGGCCGCGCGATGATCACGCTCTTCCGCGCGTCCACGAACGACGAGTGGGTGTCGATCATGTCGGACTTGGCCGAGCCGGGGAAGTGCGCCCCGACGGTCGACGGCGGGACCGACTGCGGGTCGTTCGTGGCGATCCCGTACCTCGTGTCCTTCGTGCTGCTCGTGTCGATGATCATGATCAACCTCTTCACGACGGTCATCATCGAGAACTTCGAGAAGCAGACCAAGCAGGACGAGTGGACGCTGCACCCCGACTCGCTCGACCGCTTCATCGACCTGTGGGCGCAGAAGGACCTCGGCGACGGCACCATCGAGCCGCGCGACCTCGAGGAGATCCTCGTCAAGCTCGGCCCCCCGCTCGGCATCCCCAAGGACGCCAACGCGCGGCAGGTCATCGCCTTCGTCCTGGAGCTCGACATCCCGCTCGACCAGAACGGGCACGTGCCGTTCAAGCGCGCGCTGTACGAGCTGGTCAAGAAGGTCTCGTTCATCGACATCCCCGAGGGGCAGGTCAAGAGCCAGATCGACCGCCTGTTCAAGAAGTTCTTCCACAGCCAGGAGACGGAGGAGCACATGAACTTCTCCGCCTACGTCACCGTGCTGCGCGTGCAGCGCCGCTGGCGCCTCATGCTGCGCGCGCGGAAGCTGCGCCAGAGGCTCGAGCGGCGCCAACAGCGCATGGCGCCGCGCGCGCCCCCGCTCAAGCAGGCCTTCGACCTGCGCCAGGCGCTCGAGGCGGAGCTCAAGAAGGCGCCGCTGCCCGACGGCATGGTCCTCGCGGTCGACCCGTACGCCATGGAGGACTTCAGCGCGTGGTTCCAGGCGGCGACGGGGGTCGAGGTGGATGCGGGGACCGGGAGCCCCCGCCCGTCGAAGAAGGCCTCGCGCCAGGCAAAGCGCCAGGCCAGTCGATTCGGACGCGGGCTGCGCACCATTCCGAGCGTAGAAACCGACGGGTTGGGGCGGACCAGCAGCAACGGGGCTGGCGAACCTCGGCTCAGCCCCACGGGCTCCGGACGGCTGAAAAACATCACGTCGTTCGGTGGCGCGAGGAACAGGACTCGATTTTCCACAGACAAGAAACCGGACCGGATCGACGAGGACACGCCTCAGTAGGCACGGCGCCCTGGACGGTGCCTTACAACACATTCTACGCCACTGCAGCCCTTTGTCATGGCCGCGCGTGGCCTGGTCCGACCGCAGGGTCATTGACAGGTCAAAAATAGTATATAGCAGCGGCGCAATTTTTCCCCGCTCGAAGATCTGGACGGATCCACATTCACTCTATCTGGCAGCTGATGCCCATGCTCGCTGGTGTCGACAAATTTCCATGCACGATCTGCCAGGGGCTCTTGCTCAGCGTCCCCCTGCAGTCATGTGAAGACTATGTCGACGGTGAGATGCATGTGTGGTGGTCAATTAATACTTTATGTGCGCCTCGGATGCTGACCACGGTGATGTCAACAGAGTCAGGCTCGCCCTGCGCTGGGCCCGCCAGCCTTGTCGCTTGCCTTCGCAGCTGCATCGCAAGTTCACCGTCTGATATGATCGACGACGGAGCATCGGTTTCTTCTGCGAGGTGAGCTCGACGCGTTACCGCATTGACCAGCAGCAATCATGACGCCAGCAGGGCGCGGCGGCCCGCGCGCGCCCCCGCTGACCCGCTTGCGCGCCGCGCGACGTCCTCGCAGCCATGGAGAAGATCGAGAGCGCCGTGGAGGGCGGGGGGCCGGCTGGGCGGGCAGCTCAGCTCCAAAGAAGACGCCTGCTCGTCGCGATGCTGTCAGAGGAAGCAGCGGACGAAGATCCCTCTACTCCAGTACCGGAGCCGAACGTTGAAGAGCTGTCAGAGGACGGCATTCGAAGGTTCGGTTCAGTTGCCCTGTTCGTTTTGAACGAGGGTCTGTCCTGAAAGGGACTCTGTTTTCGAACTCGACCCCGCTGACGAGTCGGCACGTGGATGAGGTGTCCGCGCCGGACGCTCAGCTGTCGGCGCGCCCGTGCAGAGGTGATGACTGCAAACAGTTGTTGTTGCGCAACTAGTTGTTGTTGCTGCAGGTGGTACGCGGGCGGCTGGAGAAATCACGGCCATCGCACACTCGGCGAACCCAACGGTTCACAGAGCCCCGGAGGAGGGCAGTCTGGCGCCGCACAGCGCTCTGTGTTGGACGAGGGCCTGATCTCATCTTGGGTCCCACGCTTTCCTCGTCTCGAGAGCCCACGCGCGATCCTCGTATGCTTTGCGTGCTCCGGTTCCAGCGAAGACGTCTTCACCGGCACCGGCACGCCACGCAAGCCACTAGACAACCCGTTGCGGGACTGGTGTCGCGCGAACAACGTCGAGCTCCTAGCTGTGCAGTACCCGGGACGCGGGTCGCGACTTCGAGACCCGTTGATTTCGACTGCGCGCGACATGGCCGCAAGCGCACTGCGGGCCATCGCGCCGCGCCTGGAGGGTCGGAGATGGTGAGCGAGACGTGCGCGTGGCCTGAAACGCTGTATCGACCGCACTTCAGCTCTCGTGTCCATGGCTAGTCACGCAATGCTGACTGTGCACGTCACAGCCAACGCACTGCCGAGTGTGGCGGGTTTGCGTCCAATGAAACGCAGGGCGGTCCTCGGGCACTCCGTCGGCGCGTTCGTGGGCGTTGAGTTCGTGCAGCTCGCCTTGCAGGCCGGCAGCGCAACGCAAGGCCTCGCCGGGGCCGTGTTCGCAGCCATGGTCGCGCCCGACACTCCAGATGAGCAGCGGCCGTGGAACAGGAATCGCGGCATGACAGATATCGAATTCAAGAAGGAGGTGAGCTCGCCGACCTGGCCTCGCCCGGGGTGCTCCGCAGCCTATCGCCGACGTCAAAGCTGCTCGGTCCTCATCACCGCGTAGCTGTCAAGGACGGATCGAGCGGGGTGGCGTTCACGCGCTTCGAAATGAGACCGCCCTCCATCGGAATCTGTTCGGTGCCGACGCGCACCCAGCGGCCCCGACGCTCCGCAGGTCGCCGCGTGGGGCGCGAACGAGCAGCTGTTCTCGCCCGCGACGTGGGATCTGTATCGCGGCGTGCTGCGCGCCGACTACTCCATGTTTGACGAGTACGAGTGGACTCACCCAGGGTGGACGATGTCGGTACCCGTGCTGGCCATGTACGGGTCGCAGGACACGCGGTGCACAGCTGATCTCGTCGACGGCTGGCGCCGCACCACGACGGGGCCGTTCAAGTTGCTGCGCGTTGCGGGGCCCCACCTCTTCGCGCTGGACCCCTCGCACAGGGCGAAGTGGCTCTCGCAGTGCGTGCAGTGGCTCGAAGCCGAGGCGAAACTGTAGCAGCCTCGCGGCCGCGCGCGAGTCACAGCTCCTCGTGCAACCGCTGTTTTTGCTTCTTTGATGCCTTGGCCGCAGCACCGGCGTACCTTCTCACCTCAGACTCCGCGACTGGACCTGTTGGCTTGTGAGAGCACTGCCTGTCCGCCCTGACCTCTCGCTCCGGACCCTCCCGGAGTATTTGCTGGAACTCCCCCTTCGGGAGACTTGTGTCCGCCATATCCGTCCCAACGATCACCGCCTTCCTGCCCTGCACGCTCTCCGCCAGCTTGCCCTCCTCCCAATCACGCTGCCCATTCAGCATGTACCTGCGCGGCCGAGCAGCCCCCTCTGTGTCGTGCTTCACTTCACTTGCAACAGGCAGTGCGCCCGGGGCGGCAACAGCGTCGCAACTCGCCTGCCATCCTCCGCGTACACGATCGGATCTTTCCCGGTCGAGCCGTCGCGCTCCACGTCGTCCTCACCCTCGCGTGCACTGCCTGCCCCATCCTCGCCCAGCTCTGTGTCGTCCGCCGCCTCGTTCGGCGTTTCGTGCTGCCGGGCCAGGAGCACGATATGCGAGGGATTGTAATGCTCGTCCGAGAGATAGGGAATATACAACGCGCGGTACAGGGTGGGCATCGGGTTGTGCTGTGGCAGAAGCAGATCCTCCGAGTCGATGACTTTCCACCAGGTTGGCACGTTCAAAGCATGGTGCTCCTCATCCGTGACGCCCCTGCAAGCAGCCAGCTCCTCGTGTGCGCGTCGTCACGTTCCGTCGCGCACCACAGCCACCAGACGCCCCGACGGTGTAGGAGCAAGCTCGGGCGTGTGTCCCGCACCATTGCACCCCGAGCGGGGCCGAGTGCCCCTCGATATGCAGGCCCGCCGTATGCTTCCCGGCCACCTCGTGCGGCAGCGTCAGCACCAGGTAGTCGCAATTCAACAGTCCCCCTGGGATGTGTTGCGCAGCAGCCGCGAGGTTCCTGTCGTTCAGCCACTCATCGGCCGTCGCCGTCCCTTCCAAGATCGAGCGCACGTGCAGGTCTGGCTCGGAGAAGTGCCCGGGCAGCGCGCCGTCGAAGGCCGTCTCGAGGAAGAAGTAGCGCATCCTCTCGTCGGGCAGCAGGAAGGAGGGGGGCACGCGGTGCCACTCGGTGCCCAAGCAGACGCTGATCCACCGGAACGGCCGGGCGTCGAACCGCTGCACGCAGCACTCGCGGCGCGCGCGTCTGGCATCGCACGTGTGATGGCGGGGGTTTGCAAGCGGAGGCAGGGAGGCGCGAGGTCCAGGGCTGGGGCGGACCTGCGCGTCCTGGGCGAAGATAGGCGACTGCATCAGGTCCATGGGGCCGCGGTAGTAGCGCAACAACGCGCGGACGCGCGCAGTTGCGAAAGCGGCGTGTGCCATGAAGAACGCGTTGACCGCGAAGCTCGCGATTCCTTTCGCCCTTCGCACAGCGCCTGGTAGAGTTCCTTCGTCGCCTCCGCGCTTCGTCGCCGTTCCTCGCGAGACGCAGCGCCACAAAAGCTCTGGTGCAGATTGCAGCATGGAGAGCGCCAGGGCTGCAGCCAGGCACAGCTGCGGGTAGACTGGATACAGGAAGCGCTCCTCCTTGTGCGGCAGCGCGCTGATGGCGGCCAGCCAGACGTACGCAGGCGCCACCGCGGCGACGGCGACCGTTCCCCACGCCGGTGCCTTTCCAGGCAGCGATGCAGGCGTGTTGCTCCAGCCGCGCAAAAGCGCGCAGCACGCTGCGGCAACAGGCATCAGGAGCGCCGCGGGGAGCACCGGCCCCAAGTTGAGCAGCCCGTTTCGCAGGTAGAACGTCCACGACTCCACGCCGTATAGGGAACTGCGCGGCCGAGGAGCGGGTCACGGGGTCGGCGGCCGGGAGTGACACGGTAGCGCAGACACGCGTGCGGCTCGGCGCGGGCCCTTTGCGCGCCTGTCGCCTCCGCCCGCGACGTTGTATTTGAGGAAGTTGACTGCCGACGATGTCAGCCTGCCGTAGAACAGCGTGTCCGTCGCCAGGACCGCGAGGCTCGACGCCGTGAAGGTCGTCACGGCGGTGACCAGGGACGGCACGAAGGCCTCCGTGGCCAGCACGTACAGCGCGTACGGAGCAACTGCAGCAGGTGGCAACAGCGGCAAAGGTGTCGGCTGCGCCATGGCGGTGCACGGCAACCAGGGCGTCGCCCGAGCGGGCTGCGCCGTTCCCAGTGCGGGCGTGCACGGCGCAGCGATGCCCGGGGACACGTGGGTGCGCCGTGTTCGTTTCGTTTCCGTGCAGGTGGGTCGGCGCACCTGAGATGACGGCGACGTTCCATCCCAGCACGACGCCGAGGACGGAGCAGACGATCACGAGGCGGCCTTTCCCGTACAGCAGCGCCGCCAGCGCCGCGGCGTTGAAGTACATCGAGAACGTGCTGGGCAGCAGAGTTGTCGAGGACACATAGGAGCCGGCGCTGAGCATGGCGAGGTAGACTGAGCTCTCCACGTCCTCTCCGAACACATGGCCGGCGCCCGCCACGACGGCCGCGTCGGCCGCGGCAGAGAGCGCGCCGAGGACGACCCGGACCGCATAGAAGGGCACCCGTCGAGGCAGACCGAGCGCTGAAGCCAGAACCGAGGCCGGATATGCCACGAGCCAGTGGATAATCAGGTAGAGGTACGGCCGAAGTGCGTACTTGGGGCTGCAGTGGGCTCATATGGGGGCACGACGAGGTCTCGTAGAGCAGCAGCAGGGGTGCCCGCGAAAGCACACCGCGAGCGGCTCTGTCCGTGCGGCGTGACCGGCGGACACGAACGCAGCGATCAGGGTTAGGTGAGCGTTCGCATCGGGCGTTTCCGTCCGCGCGGGCCGGGAGCGAGCGCACCTGTACTCCCACGTCTGCTTTCCCGAGCCGTGCACCAGGTAGTGGAGCGGCTCCCAGTAGTTGTAGGTCTCGTCGCAGTCATGGATGATGTTGTACGCAGCGCTCGACGCCCTGAATCCGAGCAGCAAAAAAAAGTACGCATACTTGTCGATGAATTGCCGCACGCGGTTGCGCTGCATCCCCCCGCTGCGGCCCGCGCTGCGTTCACGCGAAGAAGGCGCTGCGATGGGCCCCGAGCTGCCGGGAGCGGCGCGTTGCACCGGGCCCTTGCAGCCCGGGCCGGACGTGGCGTGCCAGTGGCACGCACCGATGCCAGCTGTGAGCTGCTGTCAGCTGTCATCCGGCCCTGCCGTCGACGCAGGGGCACTTGGGGCCGCCGAGGGTCCGCGAACGGCCAGTCAGCGTCCGTCCCACCCAACGATACGTTCCAACGTCTTTTGCACCTGCAATCCACGCGCCATTCGCGAGCCAACCCCTCGCGACCAAGGCGCGTCTGCGGCACGGCCCCACGATCGAACCGAGAGCCGTTCGGCGCCGGCCTGCACGGTCCGACCGGACATAGCGCGGGCGCACGGCACCCGTGTGCCCACGGACGACCCTTCGCCCGCGAGCGGTAGCGCACTGCTATGGCAGTCGCTCTGTACGGCGGTGCCGCCAACGCGCCGCGCTTCGGCGGCTCGAAACTCAGTCCTCTGGATGCACCATCCGCTGCCCCACCAGCCGACGAGCCGGCGCACGTCCAGGGGAGCAGTCACCTCCACTTCGACGCGCCTAGCGCTGCGGCCTCCAAGCAGCACGAGGGCGCGTTCCCGCGCGTCAGAGGTGAGCCCCGTCCGCGCCAGCGGGCGCGAATCAACCCAGAGGCGCACGACAACCGCCGCAGTGCCGGGAGACCCGCTTGCAGGCGCCTGCCGCAGGAGGTACCCCTCATCTTGACCTGAGCTCCCGATTGACTCGCGGCGTGTCGCGCGCTCGCGGGCCCCGGAGACCCCACGTAACGGCGGTCGGCAGGGGCTGGGTGCCGCTGCCGCCTCGCGCCGCCGGGTTCCTGCCCCCTGCTGTGCGTGCGCGCGGTTCGGTGGTGGCGGGACACCATGCCAGGAGGTATCGTCGCTGCGCGCCGCGCCGGGCGTGCGACTCGCGCCCTCGTATCCATCCCTGCAGGTCGCGTCAAGAAAGGCAACAGCGGCGGGCCGGCAAGTTTCGTCGAGATGATGCGGCAGGCGTCGCTGGCGGTGGACCAGGCCAGCGCCGCACCTGCCTCGCTGCCCTCCCTCCCGGGCGCCGCGCACTGCCGCAGCGCCCAGCCCTCCGATCGCCAGGAGAACTTCGATGGCCTCCGCGGCCACCAGCTCACCCGCAGCACCAGCCAGCAGGTCGCGGCGCCCCCGTACGAGGTCCACGTGCAGTCCTCCGCCCTCCTCTCGCCGCGGTCGCGCGCGGCGCCGCACGGGCCCGTCGCCGCCGCCGTCGCGCCGTACCCCGCGGGCGACCTCGACGTCAACACGGGCCTCCGGCGCGGGAAGAACGCACTGCCGCGCGACCACGCCGTGTTGAGCCCCGACCCCCAGGGGCCGAGCTACATCTCCGCGCGCGACCAGTACACCTCCGTGGCGCACGGGGGCTCGATCGAGGCGCAGCGCTACGCGCGGGACTACACCGAGCCCAACGGCAAGCTCCACCACCGGTACAACAACGGGCGCCTGTCGCGCATGCGCTCGCACGCCGCGGAGATCGACAGGTGCGTCGGGGCCCGGCGGCGCCCTCGCTCGGACCGCGCGCCGCGGAGCGCGAGGGTCGGACGGAGCGCGTGGTGCTGCGTGCGTGCGCTTGCCGGGTGGTGCCCGCGAAGCCCGCACCGCAGCCCGCGAGGCTCGGCGGACGGCGCGTGGTGCAGGACGCGGTGCTCGCGGGGTGCTGCTCGATGGGCGCCGCACGCGCTGTGCCTGGAGGCACGTCCCGGCGCTGACTCGGGATCGCTCGGGTGCGTGGTGTGTGCAGGATGTGTCAGGAGCGGGAGCGGCGCATGGAGGCGCAGATCGAGGCGCGGCTGAAGCACAAGTGCGCCCAGCGGGAACGCTACTACGCCGCGGTGGCGTTCTCTGCGTGCCGGGAGAAGACGCCCACGCTGGGCATTCGCCGGGCCAAGGAGAGGAACGCGCTGCGGTACGGCACCGCCGCGCACGACGCGCAGGGGCACTTCATTTAGCGCGCTGGTCCAGCTGCAGCCGCGCCGTGATGCCGCGGCGATATGTGAACGAACGCTCGCGCGCCGCGATCTGAGTGACGCTCTCCGCCGCTCGTCTCTCTGCCTGCACGTTGCCCGGCTCCTGCCCGGGCGCACGGCGAGGTGTCGGGCACTGGAAAGGCTGACTCAGGAGTGTGTATTGAGGCCCGGGTTGATGTACGGTGCCGCTCGACGGTGCCGCGCAGAAAACACCTTGGCCGCCTCGTCGCCGCGCGCATCGCGGAGGAGCGGACAGGCTGCACGCGTGGATCTGAGATGGGAGCGAGCATCTAGTTGGACTTGCATGGGGAGCGGGCGGCCCAGGCGTGCGGCCAAGGCGGAAGCCGAAGCACGCATCGCCGCCCTGAACACTAACGTTGAAGGAGAGCAGACGGAATCGGGGGCCCTGGTCGCGCGGAACGCGAACGGAGCACAAGCACCGGCCCAGCGAGAGGGCACGGGCGTCAAACGGAAAGCCGAGGGCGACTCAGGCGCCCGGCGCGCACAGGGGAAGAAGGACGACGATGACTACACCCCAGACGCGCCCGCGAAGAGGGCTGCTGTGCGGGCGAAGCGGCAGAAGGTCGCGAATCAGGTGCGACCACTGCAGGCCTCCGTCGATGGCGCGTCATGCGCGCGACTGACGCGTCGTGTCTGCGACGAGAGGGCACCACGCCCACAGCCGCGCGGTTCCGGACCCCACGGACGGCGGCGCCGCGTGCTTGCTGATCTGCAGGGCGAGCCCCGTCGTCCTCCGGCGGGAGCGGCTGCGGAGCGAGCCAAGGCGGGCAACGCGGACACTGACCAGTTCAACGTCCCAGAAGTGGTGCGGAGCTGCGCGCGCCTGCGCGTCCCGCGGCGGATTGGTCCGTGGATCAGGCAAGCTGATCCAACTAACACGCTGGTGCGCCGCTCGCTGCGCAGGTCAAGATCGGAAACAGCCCCGAGTACGTAGTCACGGACAAGTTAGGCAAGGGCGGATTCGGCCAAGTGTTTTGTGGCGTCAGGAAGAGCACGCGCGGCAAGAGTGGCCCAGCAGAGGTGGGGCCGTCCCACGCCCCCCGCGCTCGGCCCCGCTCACAACCCGCCGCATCGAACTCCGTATCGCACCGACCTCCGCCTGGCGGCCCTTCCGGGAGCGCAGGCGGCCCTGAAGTTCGAGCACAAGTCTAGCAAGGGGTGCACCCATGGGAAGCCGTACGAGTGGCACGTGTACTCGGAGCTCGGGGACTGTTACGGGATCCCCAAGGCGCACTACAAGGGCTCGCAGGTGACGCTTGGTGCCGCGTGCGGCCTCCGTCGGTCGCGCATCTTGGCAGTTGTGTTGCAGCCCTGCTTTCGCACGCGGGGGGGGGCGAAACGCTGACCGCTCCGCCGTCCCGCGCTTGCGCAGGACGAGTTCTTCATCCTCATCATGGACGTGCTCGGGCCGAGCCTGTGGGACGTCTGCAGCAAGCGCATGAGCGTCGTCGACGACGTCTTCGTCGCCTGCGTCGCGATGGAGTCCCTGGCGATCCTCGAGCAGCTCCACCGCAAAGGATACGTCCACGGTGAGAGCCCGCGCCTGCGCCGGCGCGCACCGCCCCCTCGCGCCCGCCCGTTGCCGCCCCACATCCCGGCGCCTCGATCCCGGGCGCGTCGCAGGCGACGTCAAGCCGGAGAACTTCCTGATGGGCAAGGCCGGCAGCGAGGACCACAACCGCCTGTTCCTCGTGGACCTCGGCCTCGCCACGCGCTGGAACGGCGGCACGGTAGGGCAGCATGTGTCCTACGATCAGAAGCCGGACGACTTCAGGTCCGCACGCGGGCCGCTTCGCTGGGCGCACCCGTGCAGCTCGCGCCGCCGCGCCGCCCGGCCTCGCGCGTTGAGCGCGTCGTCCGTCGTGTTGCGCGTCGCAGGGGCACGATCCGCTACGCGTCGGTGCACGCGCACCTCGGGCGGACGGCGTCGCGGCGGGACGACCTGGAGTCGCTGGCGTACATGCTGGTGTTCATGTTGAAGGGGCGGCTGCCGTGGCAGGGGTACCAGGGCGCGGACAAGGGGTACTGGGTGTGCAAGAAGAAGATGCAGACCCCCCCCGACATCCTGTGCGGGCGCAGCAGCGACGTGCTCGTGCAGTTCACCCGCAGCGTGTACAGCCTGGCGTTCGACGAGGAGCCGCCCTACGGCGCGTACACGCAGCTGTTCAGCTCCGTGGTGCAGCGCCACCAGGAGGCCAACCTGCCGCTGTGCATCGACGGCGCGAAGGCGCTCCTGCAGCGCAGGGGGCACGAGGTCATCAAGGACGAGTACCAGGGCGCCCCGCGCCGCCGCATCCGCACGGGGTGGCCCACGTCGCAGTGGATCACAGGTGCGTGCGACGCCGGCACGCACACGCACAACGGCCGCCCGCCCCCCCCGCGGCCCGCTCCGACCCGCGCGTGGCCCCGCTCGCGTCCGCAGTGTACAACAAGTTCGAGCCCATGAAGCAGCGGTACCACTACAACGTGGGGAGCCTGCGGCTGGACACACACATCTCCAAGGGGTTCGCGGACGGGCTGACGATCAGCAGCGTGGCGTGCTACATGGGTTTGTGGGCGGTGATCATGGACGTGGGCACGGGGTACTCGGGGCAGACGTACATTTTGGCGAACGAGTTTCTGCCCAAGGCGTGGATCATGGAGCGGTGGGAGGAGGGGTACTACATCACGGCGGTGGCGGGGGACCAGCCCGGGGGCGTGGCGGCGAGCGCGGGCCACTCGTGCATGGTGGTCATGTCGCGGGGCACGCGCTACACGCAGCAGTCGTACAAGATCTCCGACACGTTCCCGTACGAGTGGATCAAGAAGAAGTGGCGCGAGGGGTTCCACGTGACCTCGATGGGCACGCACGGCGCCACGTGGGCCGTCGTCATGTCGCGCAACGCCGGCTTCTACGACCAGTGCGTGGAGCTCGACTTCCAGTACCCCTCCGAGGGCATCCACTACCGCTGGGACGCCGGGTACCGCATCACCGCGCTCGCCGCGACCAGCGAGGAGGCCGCGTACGTGCTCTCCGTGCCCCGGAAGCGCCCCCTGTACGAGACGCAGGAGACCATGCGCACCAGCACCTTCCCCTCCACGCACGTCCGCCAGAAGTGGGCGCGCGACCTCTACGTCGCGGGCGTCGCGTTCGGACGCACCGTGAGCTAGACGCCGCCGCCGGCCCGAGGCTCGGCCGGCGCGCAGCTGTGACGTGGCGTGACGCGCGCAGCTTGCCTCGTCGGCAGCGATCGGAGAGCGGAGGTCACATCGCTGAGACGGCGACGCTGCCTCGCACCCTACTGGCCGTACGACGGCGCGAAGCCCGCGGGGGCGGAGTCCTTGGGCGGGCCGCCCGGGCCGCCCGGGCCCCGGGCACGGTACCCGTCGCGGTCGCCGCCGCGGGGGCCGCGGGGGCCGTCGCCGCGCGGGCCACGGTCGTCCATGGCGCGGCGCTCCATGGGGCGGTTCACCTGCGAGCGTTGGGGGCGGTGGAGGGGGTCGGTGGAGGCCGTGCGCGCGTGGGGCGGCTGGTGGGTGCTCCACGCAGGGGGCTGCCGTACCTTGACGAGAGTGTTCGGGATGACCTCCTCAGGGATGTTGAGGTACTCGCGCATGTAGGCGATGCCGGCGTCCGTCAGGAACCAGTAGTAGTGCCTCCAGGCGTACTGCTCCTTGACCAGCTCGCGCGAGCGGAGCGACTGCGACGCAAGGGGCGCGGCCGCGCGGGGTTGGAACCGGCCGCCGTGCGGCGAACCATGCCAGCCACGCGACGTTCCGTGCGGGGGGGCGCCTGCGCGTCGCTGGGCCGCCCCCGGCGCGCGTGCGAGCGGCTCTGGGAGCGGGGCGGCCCACTGCGGCGCCTCGCCCAGGCCGTTGCGCGCGCGTGGGGCCCAGGCGAGCTCACCTGCATGAGCTTGATGACGTGCAGGTTCCGCACGGCCCGGGCGTTCTCTCCCTCGCCCACCGTGATCTCGGGGTGCGTGGTGTTGAAGTCCTTCTCCGCAGTGCACACGCCCTCGCGGAAGAGGAACTTGTAGATGGCCACGCGGACCTTCTTCTCGACGAGCATTTTTGCAAGTACGTTTGCCTGAAGCGCAGAAACGCGTCAGCTCAAGGCCGACTCGACTCCCGTGAACCGGCGAAGGCGGTCACAAGAGTAGGAGCTGCACAGCACGACACCGCGAGACCGGCGGTGAGAATACACGGCACGAAGGTATGGCTGCGCGATGCGTGCCGGCGCCCTGGCGCCGCGCACATCGCGGACGGACCGGGCGGCGGGGCAGCCTCTTGAGAGGCCGCCCCGACGGGCGCAAGACGCGCCCGTCATGGGTCGCACTGCGCAGCTCAATGTTTGCAACGAGCTCCACGTCGTGGGCGGGAGAGCCCCCGGCTGGGGACGAGCCCGGCCCCAGGAGCCGGCAAAGCCGAGCCGCTGCTCCGTTTCGCCGCAACAGGGGCGTCCGTGCACTCACCTATGCTCCGAAATGAGAGAATGAGTTCCAGCGAAAAGGAGAGAGCGACGCCGCTGGGGCACGCTCATGAGCCCGGCCATGTCCGGCGCAGGCAGACTGTCTCAGGACACAGGACATCCCGTTGTGTCACCGACCGTCGCGGCTGGCTCTCCGGCGGCACGTTGGCAGCCGCAGCCCGCCGATGCACACGTCACCATCTCCGGCGGGCCCTGAACACCGGCGGTCTCTTTCGCGCCCCGTGACATCGCAAGGTGAGCAGCCGTCATCTGGCAGCTCCGCACGTTCAGCGCCCGCCAGACAAGCGCTCTTCACATGCATGGCTCACGCACTACTCGCTCCTGGCAGGCCCCGGGTGAGTCGCCGCCAACACACACACTGTCCAGAGACACACCCGTGTGCGTCACAGGCACTGCGCATCGCGAGCATCACTGGGCCTTCTTGCCCGCCGGCGCGCTCTCACCGAGCAGCTGCGGGAGCTTCAGCGGCCGCCAGTTGCCGACGATGGTGTACCCGAGCAGCAGCAGCCCGATCTCGTAGGCCATGTTGAGCATCGACGTCGCGCGGATCTTCGAGCCGGGGATCTCCGTCCAATTCACCGCAACCTGCATCGCAGGACGGGGCCGCCGTGTCTCGCACGCGCCGCTGGGCGACAGGCAGAGCGCGAGCGCACTTGCAGCTCCGCGGGCGGTGCGCGACGCGACGGCGGTGTGCAAGCGGCCGCTGCGCGCACCTCTCGCACGGGCACGTGCAGGCGTTGCGCGAGGTGCACGAGCTCCACGTCAAAGCACCACCGCTGCAGCTTCATGTTGGAGAAGAGCGCTGCCGCCGCGTCGCGCGTGAAGAGCTTGAACCCGCACTGCGTGTCCTTGATGGCGTGCCCGGCCACCAGCACAACGAGCAGGTGGAACCCGTGCATCAGCATGTTCCGATACCACGATCGCTTCGCCAGCGCCGCGCCCTCCAGGTGCGCGCGCGACCCAACCACCATGCCGTGCTTCCGCTCCACCACCGCCGTCTCCGCGCCAGCGGGGCCCGCGGACGCGCCACTCGCCAGCACCCTCGCCATCTCCGCCTCGAGTTTCTGCGCACGGGGCGGAAGAGGTCGTGCCGAAGGGTGGGCACTGAGGTGCAGCTCTGAGCTTGCGGAACTGTGTGCGCGCGTCCAGCAGCGCGTGCGCCGCGGCACACCTCGACGTCCTCGATCGCAGTGGCACCGTCCGAGTCCACCATGAGGATCAGCTCGCCCCGGGCGGCCAGCACGCCCTGCTTGACTGCGGCACCTTTGCCCATGTTCCGCGGCAGCTCCAGCACGCGCACCGTGTCGTACCTGCGGGCCCGACGACCGCGGCGGGCGGCTGCGCGTCAGGCTCCGCACGCGTTGCACTGAACATGCACTCACCGGCGAGCAGCTGTGAAAAGCGCAGGCGCGGGAAGGTGCGGCCGCGGCGCGCAGGTGCTCGGCGGGCGCGGCACGCACCCGATCCTGTCCGCGAAGTCCATGGCGACCTTGGTGGTCTGGTCGGTCGACCCGTCGCTCACGACGATGATCTCGTACGTGAAGGACTCCCCCTGCCGACTCCTGCGCTGCGCCAGGTAGTTGAGCGTCTCCGCGAGCGTAGACGGCATGCGGTTCTCCTCGTTGTACGCCGGCATCACCATCGAGATGGTCTTCGAGGCTGCGCGCGAACCGACCGGCGGGTTGCTGTGTCGCGGGAGCCGCTGGTGCGACCTCGTGAGGCCGTCCCGGCTGCACCGGCGGCGCCCGCCGGGCCGCGGACACGCTCGCCCGCGCCAGGGGCCCTGTGTCGCCGGATCCGAGCGCGGGGCGGGAGAGCGGGCCGCCAAGCGACCTCGAGACGGTTGCGTGGCCGACTCACCTGGGCTGAAAATCGTGGCGGGGCGGCGGGCGGAGCCCTCCTTCTCAGACAGACGGTGTCGCTCGAGCGTTGTGCGCAGCAGTCTCTTGGAAGCGCGGTACAGGCTGTTCATGTGAGACAGCACGAGTGCCAGCATTCCGGCTCCTGAGGCAAGGACGGCAGCCACCGCCAGCGTGAGGGGCTCCATGGGCCTCAGCGGCTTTCCTAGGTGATACAGCCTGCCGTGACCGCGTGCGCTCGGGTTGTTCAGCCTCCCGGACTGGCGGTTCGGGACCTGGGCTCGCGGTGACTTGCGCGGTCCGTGGCAGCGCCGCCCGCTTCCCAGACCAGTCGGAGCGAGTCCCCGCCAGAACAGAAATCCAGCAACGTTATTCGAGAGTGGACCAGCGCGGCCAGGCGGGCCAGGCATCCACGCTGGTGCTCTTCCCTACACAGGTGCAATGCACGCCGGTCCCGCGCAGGACCCGGCTCGCTCGCTCTGAGGCGCTCGCGGAGGACGGAGTGCAGGCGGCGCATGCCTTCCGCGGCCCTTGCGGGCGCCGCCGCGCACACCGTGGCTGAGCCTGCTGTCAGTGCACAATCTCGACTCCCCGGTGGCCGCTGGGGGCCTGGCTGGGCGTCGCACGGGGCTCAAATCGCGCCGCAGCGAGCACCGCCGACCTCTCTCCTGGGAAGAAGCTTCGTGCTGACCAAGAGAACACCATGTCTGACGCCGGCGACGCTGCTGCTGCCCCTGCGCCCGCCGCTGGCGAGCCCCTCGACCTCCACGGCGCCCTGAAGCAGGTGCGGAACGCCGCAAAAAGTCGAACGGGCCGCAGAGCTCAATCCCGCCCATCCCGTGGGGCGCGGCGCCCGGGTGTTTCACGGCGGCTTTCGTCGCCAAGCGAGCTCCCGGTTCGCCCTGGGTCGCCGGCGCAGCGCTCAGCGGCGACACGCCTCCATTCAGCAACGCGTTCGACCCCCTTCGTCTCCGCTCGGCGCTCCGCCTCCCCGCAACGGCGCCTGCGCGCTGGGTGCTCATGCACCGGCGCCGGCCACCTGCAAGGCGAACCTCTCTGGCGGCACTGCTGCCCCGCGCACCCTTCCCGGTCTCCTGTCGCTTGCAACGCGATGCGGCACCGCGCCCGATGCTTTCCGGCACCAGCAGCGCCTCGGCTGGTCCCCACCCTGCCGTCTGTGTGCCCTGCCGCGCCCCTCGCAGGTGCTGAAGAAGGCCATGGCCTTCGACGGCCTCGCCCGCGGCCTGCACGAGGCCGTGCGCGCCATCGAGCGCGGGCAGGCCCAGCTGTGCCTGCTGGCGCAGGACTGCAACGAGGCGGACTACTCGAAGCTGATCGAGGCGCTGTGCCACGAGCACAACGTCAACCTGATCACCGTCCCCGAGAACAAGCAGCTCGGCGAGTGGTGCGGGCTCTGCAAGGTCGACCTCGAGGGCAACGCGCGCAAGGTCGTCGGGTGCTCGTGCGCGGTGATCACCGACTACGGTGAGCCCACCGAGGGGCTGGCGCTCATCCAGAACCAGCTCAAGGGCTCGTCGTAGGCCGCCTGCGCCGCACCGGAAGAGCTGGGCGTCCGCGGAGCCCCGGCGCGGCGGCCTGGCCGCCGACACTGTGAGCTCTGGTCTGGGCACGGCACGTCTCGCGTCACCCCGCAGGGCACAGCGATTGCAACCAGCCGTGCATGACGCGCGATACCGCGTCCCGCGCGTAGAAGCGCGCAACGCATGCGGGAACTGCTGCGTGCGTGGGGGGGACTAAATGGCACGTGAGTGAACATCGCTGGGAGGGACGCTTTCTTGCGGCGGCAGTGTATTACAACACACGCGTCACCGCGCCGCGGTCCCCTCCGTCGCCTCGGAGGGCAGGTACGCGCGGAGCATGTAGCGGGCGGAGCTGTTGGTCAGCAGGTGGCTCACGAGGGCGGCCTTGATCTCCGGGCCTGCCAGCGCGAACATGGTCAGCGCGAACAGGAGCAGCTGGCCCGAGGTCAGCGAGTTGGACAGGAAGCCCTGCGCGGCGCAGCGGGCGCGGGGCGGAGGTCAGCGCGGGCAGGCGGTGTGGCGAGTGCGCGGGCTCGCGTTTCGGGCCGCTACGCTGCGCGGGCGCGTGCAACACGGGCTCGCACCGTCCACTGGCCCCTGGGCAGGCTGAAGAAGGCGAGGAAGAACTTGTTGGTCATGTCCAGGTCCAGCTCCGTGAGGAGCTCCATCCCAAACACGTTGAACGCCATGCGCCGCCGCCGCTCCTGGCTCCACAGCTCCTCCCACGCGGCGGTCGCCACGGGCTCGATCGGGCTGCCCGCGGGCGTCTCGCGGAGCTTCCGCGCGACCACCTCGGCGAAGTGCTGCGCCTCGCCCATCGAGCGCGTGAGCGAGTAGCCCGTGGCCGGGTGGATCAGGTTCGCCGCCGCGCCGAACGCGGTGACCGCCTGCCCGCCGACCGGCAGCGACCCGCCCGTCGGGATGTACGACCACTCCTCGTCGTGGACCTTCTTCACGGTCACGCCCAGCGCGGCCAGGCGGCGGTACAGGCGCGCCTTCAGGTCCGCGAACGGCAGCGCGGGCTTCGCGACCAGGCACGTCTCCTCGAGGAACACCCGCCCGTCCGACAGCGGCATCGCGTACAGGAACGACGGGTCCTCGCCCGCCGCGCCCCACAGCCCGTCGCCAGCGTTGGGGTGCTCGCCCGGCACCAGCTTCGTCGCGCAGCCCGGCCACACCTGCAGCGAGCGCCGGGCGCGGCTCGGTGAGACTGCGGCAGCGCGGACACGTGCGCGGCGGTCCGCGGCGGGCGGGGCACGCACCCCCGTGTGGTGGCGGCGGTAGTCCATGAACAGCATCTTTCCCTCGTGGCCCCGGTACGCCTCGCCGTACCCCTCCACCTCCGCCTCGATCCCGTACGCCGTCTGCGCCGCCACGCTCGGCGCGCCCTCCTCGTACTTGAGGAACTTGCCCGTCGCCGCCCCCGCCGCAAGCGTCACCAGCCGCGACGCCACCTCCTGCCCGCGCTTGGTCCTCACCAGCCCCGTGCCCTCGCCCATCTCCGCCTGCACGCGACACGGGCGACGGGGCGCGTCGTTGGGCGCTCGCCCCCCCCCCTCGACACGCGTGGGGTTCCGCCGTTGGTACGCGCGCACCTCAACGTCGACCACCTCGCCCTCGAGGAACGTCACGCCGCTCTCGCGGCACTTGCCCAGCAGCGCGCTGCGCAGGAGGTTGCGTCCGACGCGTCCGTACGGCCGGTCGATCACCACCTCCTTGCCCTCCCCAAAGTAGCACACGCACTCCTCCCACCTGTTGTCGATCACGTCGCCCAGCCCCAGCGCCTCAAACTCCTCCACCCACACGCCGTAGTTGTTCGTGAATGCCAGGTCCCGGCCGATCACGACAACCTGCGCGACCAACATTGCCAACATCAAGCAGTGAGTTGCACGATGCTTGCTTCAGCCGGAAAAAACGCCGAGCCGGAGTGCACGCCCGCTGTGCGCCTACCTTGAGCCCCTCGGCCGCCAGCTTCCAGGCCAGCGCGAGCCCCGCCGGCCCCGCGCCCACGACGGCAACATCCGCCGTGCCCACCGTCGCAGCGTCGTACGCGGCCAGCTCAGACGCGATGCTGGGCTGCTCCCGGTCGGGCTTCATCATCTGAGCAGTGAGGAGATTCGCCTCGGTCGATCCGGCGCGCATGAACGCGTCCTGGGCCGCGCGGTCCTCATGGGTGTCTGTCAGCGCAACATCTGCGCGCAGCGGTGGGGCGCCGCGCCGGTGAGGAGCCGCGATCGAATCGGAAGCATCTTCGGATCTACGCCTCTGATCACGCGGCGCCTAGAGTGTCGTCACGCGCCGGAATCGGCCGCTAGGCGGAAGGTCGCTGGGCCGGAAGCCACTGTCCACGGCAGTGGGCCGCGCGGCGACGCACGGGCGATGGGAAGCAGCACTAGGCGCGATGCGCCGCGTTGGGAGCACTCATCGTGTCCGTTCGTCGACAGGAACAGGCGCCTCGCCGGTACGGGGCGCTGTGCGCGGCAGCCGGATCACGGTGGGCATCAAAACATATCGGGCTCCCTGGGAACACGGCACGGGGGCGCGGTGCGGGCCGACAGCGACCGGGCGCCGTCGCTGAGCTGCGAGTGCGCGCTGCGAAATCGACAAGGCGCCGGGGCCGAGCAGGTAGCGGGCTCCCGCGCAGGAGGGAGATTCCAGCTGGAGGCTCGCCGGCTGCGCTGTGGAGCCCCGCGCGACGGGACGAGCGGGCGACAATCGGCGTGGTTGCATTTCAGACCGAGGGGGACACATCAGGGATGGCGTCGCACGCGCAGGAGACCCCTGGCCTCGGCGCGAACCAACCGGCACTTGCGCACCTCCAGGGTCCGCGACGCGGATCGCACGGCGGTCTTCGATCATTTCGAGCTGCTTCTCCAGGGTCAGGAGGTCTGAGCGCTTGCGGAAGTCGGTTGCGGGGCACCGCGGCCGCGCGCGGGGCTGGCCAGAGCCCGAGGCTCTGCTGCCCAGGCCCCGCGGGGCAGGGAGCGTGCTGCCGTGCAACTCGAACATCCTCTCACACCGCGACAGCCCGACAGAGTGCTGCAGCGCGCCGCGGGAACGCGCGACATGAGCCCGCCGTCTCAGACGGCCCGCGCGGTGCGACCCGGAGCGTCACCGCACACCCCCGTCAGACGGCTGTTGCACGCCCCGCCCCCGACACCGTGATCCGCCGCGAAGGCCCCACGAGGCGGCCGTACGCACGACCCGTCGCGCCCGCACCTCACCCGGTCTCCGTCCACATCGCGCGGCACACGGCGTCGTGGCGCACGCGCACACCCCCACCGACGTGTGCGGCACCTACTGCCCGCTCCGCGCGCTTGCCGGGTGGATCAGGCGCGAGGACGGCTTGGTCGCGTTTGCGCTCAGGAGGCTCCCGCCCTTGGGGAGCGCGGGCGCCTTGCCTGCGCGCGAGGCGCCGCGTGGCGGCGTGGGCAGCGGGTCCCCGCCGCGCCACCCGCCCGGGGGCAGGTGCGGGCCCACGAGGCCCGGCGGAAGGTCCTGCCCGGGAGGGCCGTTCGCGTCCGCGAACCTGCAGCCACCGAGGCGCGCCGCGCACGAGTCGGTGCCCGCGCGTGGCTCGTGCAGGTGGGCGACGCGCGAGCATGCGTGCGTGCGAGCGTGCGCACCAGTTCCCGGGCGTCGGCGAGCGGTTCGTCGGGCGGCCGTGGTCGCTGCCGACCATGGCGGACAGCGGGCGCGCGGGCCGCGGCGGCGAGTCGTCCACGGCGGCGGTGGTGGGCCGCGTCTTCTCGGGCGAGTTGCTCGCCGACGCGCGGCCCTTCCGCCCGCCCGTCCCGCCCGTCGGCGCGTCCACCGCGGAGAGCGGCCGCCCCGCGCCCTGCGCCTTGACGAGGTCCCCGCGCCGCGTCGGGAACCCGTTCTTGGGGACGTATGACCCGCCGTGGTCGTGGATGGTGTCGAGCGGCCGGTCGCACGACATGCAGCGGTACCCGAACAGCGGCTTCGCGGACAGCATCGCGTGGTCGCCGTCGCCCACGCGCGGCGGGCTCGCCTCCGCGCGCTTCAGCCCCTTGAGCTGCTTCTTCAGCCGCGACACCTCGTCCGACAGCTTCTTGAGCTTCGCCAGCACGTCCGGACCGAGCCCGTCGAGGTGCGAGATGAGCCCCTTCGTCACTGCAACGCGAGGAGCGGGCGCAGCGGGGCGCTGGGCGGACGCGCGCGCGCCGTGGACACAGCGTGCGGCGCGACGGGACCGACGGCGTGGTGCGCGTACCGGTGTTGTCGTCGACCCACTCGGCCAGGCGGCGCAGGGCCTGCTTGTCGCCCTTCTCGCGCACGAGGCCGTTGCCCAGCATGTCGTACAGCACCACCAGCGGCTCCGCGGGCTCGTCCTTGCTCCCCACCACCCCGGGCAGACCTTCCGTCTCGTCCGCGGCCTTCGCCTCCGACTCCGACGCGCTGGCCTTCTCGCCGGCCTCGCCGCCCGAGCGCGGCCCCGCCTCGCCCTCGCCCTCGCCGCCCGCGCCGGCGCCGTCTCCGCCCGCGGGCGCGGCCCTCCGCCCAGCGCCGGGCCCTTGCTGCCGTCGCCGCCGCCCGCGGACGGCGCCCCGCCGCTGGCCTCCGCGGCCGCCACCGGCGCGGGCGCGTCGTCGTTCGCGTCCCCCGCGGCCTCCCCCGCGCCCGCCACGGACACGAACGACGACGCCGCCTGCGGCTGCACCTTCCCCCGCATGCGCTCCGACGCCTTCCGGATGTGCTCGCGCGTGTCCTCCTCCGCCACGTGGGCGTGCGCGCGGTCCCCGATCGCCAGCAGGAGCGTCGCGTACGCCAGCGAGCGCGTGTCCGCCGTTGCCTGGTCCACCTCTTGCTTCAGCTCCCGCAGCGCCTCGTCGCCCACGCCGCCGCCGAGGCCCGCGAGCTCCCGCCGGTCCGCCTTCTTGGTCTCCAGCGCCGTCACGCCCTCCTGCGCGTCCGCGGCCGCGCTGTCCGCGCGGCGCCCGATGTCCGCCGCCTCGCGCGCCGCGGCCGCCGCGTCGTTCACCGCCTCCTGCAGCCCCTTCAGCCGGCCGTCCATGTCGTCCCGCAGACCCTTCAGGCTCGCGTCCGTCTGCCGGAGCTTCTGCCCCTGCTGCGCCACCGCGCGCGACAGCTGCGCCAGCGCGTCCGGGTCCACGTCGCCGCTCGCGGGCATCTCCGCGGGCTCCTCGTGCTGCATCGCCGCCTCCATCTCGTCGCGGTCCACCTTGTTCCCGAGCCGCTTCTCCAGCTCCTCGAAGTCCGGCAGCTTGCCCGCCGCGTTCTCCAACTGCAAACACACCCCCCCAAAACACGACCGTCGCGCGACCGGCGGCCGCGGGCGCGCGCGGCACGGCGCGGGGGCGGGCGGCAGCGCGGGGGCGTGGCGCGCGCACCTTGCGCACGCGCGTCTTGAGGTCGGACAGCTCCGTGGGGTCCATGCGCAGGGAGGGGGCGCGCACGGGGACGGGGGGCACCGGGGCGCTGCTCGTGCTGTTGAGCGCGTCGCGGAGGGCTGCGGGGGGCGGGGCCGGGCGCGCGGAGGGGTCGGTCGCGCCGCGGGCGAGCAGAAGCGGCGCTGGACGAGGGCGCACGGCGCGCAGGCACGAGTCCGGGCCGCGTCGCGCAGGGGCGCGCGGGTTTCACACGCGTCGTGGGCACGCGGGGGCGGTGCGGGCGCGCGGGGCGGCGGCTCGGCGGCGCGGCGCGGCGGGCGGCCCCGGCGGGGAGCGCACCGTCGCAGTCGTCCTGGCATGTTCCGACGGCCTGCTTCAGGCCCTCGAGCGCGGCGTCGATCGTCTCGGCCCACTCGAGCTGCGGGTCCTGCATCTCGCGCAGGCGCTGCATGCGGTCCTCGAGGGCCTTCATCCGCTCCCGGAGCCCGTCCATCCCCGTGTCCACGTTCTCGGCCCACTCCAGCATCGGCTCCTGCAGCTCCGTCAAGCGCTGCACGCGGGACTCCGCCTTGTCCATCCGCTCCTTCAGCTGGGCCTGCGGGAGGGCGGTCCGGACGCGGGTGGACGCGTGTGCAGGGCGCATGGCGGTGCTCGCCATGCTGGGAGCGCACCCCGCGGCGTCCAGGCGGAATCTGGCCGCGAAAGCCCGCCACGCGACCCGTCCGAGATTTCAACGGGGCCATGCGCGACGGACATCCGGGTGGCGCCCCGGACGAGCAGCTCGACCCGCGAATACGTTTGCCCGAGGCGTGATGGCTCGCGTGCGAGCGCGCGCCGCGCTGCCGAAGGCGCGTCAATGCGGGCAAGGCGATGTCCGTCCGAGTTCCTCGCACCTGTTCCTTGCCCATCGCATCGACCTTCTCCTTCAACGCGTCAACGTCGGCCTTTGGAGCCATGTCCTTCATTTGCTCTTTCAGCGCATTGAAGTCCTCCAGGGACGGGCCTTGGGGCGTGTCCTTCTCGTTCACTTTGCTGATCAGCCATTCGAGAACTGCCTGCGCGTGTTCCGCACGGGGGCGCCCCGGCGCGTGTTAGTTGACTGAGCACGCCCTTTGGGTCCCGCGCCGAGCTCACCAGCGCGCAGGCGGCGCCACCATCGCCGCTCGAGGTCGGACAGCGCGCTGCGCAGCCGCTCGCGAGACGTGTCGGCGTCGCCGCCCCCGGCACGAGCGGAACGGCGGGGTGCCGTGCAGCGCTGGTGAAGCGCACCTGGAGTTTCTCGTGAGATATGGTGCGCTTCGTCTCGGTCTCCACCAAGACGCTGACATAGCTGCTCGCCTCGCTGCTCGAGGATATGCCGAGCGCCGCCATGCTGGGCCAGGCGCGAGCTCTTGCTCCGCGCTGGTGCTCACCCCGCCGTGCGGGCCTGCTGCGGCCGTGAAGTGCAGCGTGTGTCTACCGGCGAACTGCCCAGCTCGCGCTGACGCGCGCACACAACGCGGCGGCCCACACGCTGGCCCCGTGCCGGTCAGGGGAGTGGTTCGCTGTCGACCCCTCCGCACCCGCGGCGGACGCCGTAGGGCCGCGGACAGCGCCGCACGCAGCATACGAGACCGTCTTAAATTGGTGAATCGACATTCGAGTCGCGCGGAGTTTGTGTCCTTCGTCTGACGCGCCCTCCCCGACGAGCAAGCAGCCTCCCATCCAGCTGCGGCCCCGCGGACGCGCTGCCGGTGCACAGATGCGGCTATCGTCGTCCGCAGTCTGTGTCCCCCAGGCGAGCAGTCTGTCGGGGCGCAGGAGTGGTTCGAGTGCTCCCCGCACCCCGCTGAACGCCCGTGGTTCGGCGGCCTTGCAGCAAGGTGGGTGCAGCGCCCGGCGCGCGCAGGCCGCAGACCGCGGACCGCGGAGCGCGCGAGCTTGTCAGACCCCGAAGGACGGTGCTTTCCTTCCATTTCCTCGCCCTGCCCACGCCCTCGCCGCACGGTGTGGCGTCCATGGATGTTGGCCTCAGGCAGCGTTTGGCGGCCTCCGCGGGGAACACGCGACGCAGACGCGCGCACGCGCCCACGCCACGCTCGAACCTCCGGCCCGTCGGCGCCGAGGGCCACCTCGCCGCGTGTGCCGCCCGTCGGTGCAGCCCGGGGTAGCAGGGCAGTGCCTGCGTACTGCGCCCTGCGAGGCGGGAAGGGCCTGTCGCGGGGGCTCAGCAGACCTCTCTCCCGCTCCCTGCAGGTGACGTTGCCGCGCTCCGCAACAGGCTCGTCTCGGGCGCGGCGGAGACGTCTGGTCTCGAGGCTGAGCGGGTCCCGGTTGCCAAGCGGGAGGGATCGGGCCTCGTTTATGCTGCTCAACAGGTGAGCTTGATGCCCGGGTACACTGCCAGGGGCCGGGGAGGACTTCGAGAGCGCTGCAGCCGCCGCAGCACAGCAAACTGATCCGCTGGCAACGTACACCCCGGCTCCGCGGCGCCGTCGTCGCATGCCTCGAGCTTCCCGCCCGCCGCGCCGCTCCCGTACATCCTCGTTGGCCACGCTCAGAGCCTCGCGCGTCCCCTCCGCTCCCATGCGCGGCGGCACTGCAGCCTGAGGACTTGGGACGAGTGACCACCGGAACGGCCGTGCGAAGCCCCGACGGCGCCTTCGACATCCTGCGGCCGGGTCTACCTGGCGCAAGCCACGATGTGGACGACGTGCGCCGCTTTCTACAGGTGCGGAGGCGACGCATCCGCTGGCTGCCCTGCCCGGTGCTAGGGAACGCCCGCCGGGCCGCTGCACGCGGCTGCGCCCGCCGCCAGCGCGCTCGATGCACCGCCTGGCGTCTCTCCATGCGCGGGGTCGCGCCCGCGCCGGCCGCGCAGCCCTCACCGCCCGCGGCTCCCCAACTGCCATCACAGGAGGCCTTGCTGTACGTCGACGGCGGCCCAGCGGGCGCCGGGACCGAGTTAATGGCGGCGGGGTCGCCGACGCAGGCGGACCCCACCCCGGGGCGCGCCGGCGGGGGCGGCGACGAGCCCCCGGACGGCCGCAAGCGCTCGCCGGACTACTTTGCCAACGTGGGCGACGCCATCCGGACGCTGCGCGAGGACATCCCGGTGCTGTTCGACCGCGAGCTGGACTACGACATCTACCGCGACGACGTGGTGTTCCGGGACCCGCGGAACTGCTTCAAGGGCATGGACAACTACAAGCTCATCTTTTGGTCCCTGCGCTTCCACGGGCGGATCTTCTTCCGGCAGGTCTACGTCGAGGTGAAGCGCATCTGGTCGCCGCAGGAGGGCGTGATCAACATGCGCTGGCGCGTGCACGCCACCCCGCGCGGCCTCCAGCGCGAGGGCACCTTTGACGGCGTCTCGCAGTACAAGCTCGACTCCAAGGGGAAGATCTACGAGCACTACGTGGACAACGTCGTGCTCCGCGACCCCCCCACCGCGTTCAGCATCCCCGTCTTCAACCTCAACCTCACGCCCAAGACCGTCCAGAGCCCCGGCGGAGGCATCCCCACCTAGACTGGAGCCAAGCAGCCCCCACCGCGCAGCAGGCCCCAGCGCCGCAGCGCCACATCGCAGCAGGACCGCGCCCGCGCCCCGCGCGCACCGCGCGGACGGGCGGACGCGCGCATATTTGCGTGGATTGTTCACAGTCGAACACGCGCACGAGTGTGAAGCGAATGCGACTCCGACTCGCGGGCCAGCGACGAGCCCGCGAGCGCTCCGTCACCCGAGACCGGGCCCCGGGCCCGGCTTTGGCAGCAACCCCAACTGCCCCGCCATCATGGCCGCCTGCAGCCATGGCGCAGGTCCCCCCATCTGTCCGAGCGCCGCAACCGCGTCCCCGGGGTCCGCGGCCGCGAGAGGCAGCACCTTGATGTTGCTCGGCGCCTCCTTCGCGACGCCCGTGCCCTGCAGAGACGTGCGGAGCTCGTCCGGGCAGCGGAACGTCGCGAGGTTGGCCCACTCCTCCGTTTCCTCCGCCGTCCCGATGTCGTAAATAAGCCGGTGCTCCTCGGTCTCCGGCCTGTAGTCAGCGATCACCGCAAGGTACCAGTCCGCGTAGTCCTCCCAGAACCGCCACACCACCACGCCAACCAGGTGCTCCCTCATGTCGCGCAGCCGCCTGCCGATGTCCGCGTCGTCCCCGACCTGCAGGACCTCCCTGAACACGCCGTTGTAGTGGGCGAGCTTCGGGTGCCGCTGAGCGATGTCCGCGACCGCGTCCGGCGGGTCCGCGGCCGCCTCCTGCTGCGCAAAGTGCAGGGGCAGCCCCATCGACACCGCCAGGCGTTGTGAGGCCGCCACCGCAGCCGCGCGCCGGCCCGTCTGGCTCGCCAGTGCGGCGACGTTCGAGGGCGACAGCGCCCGCTCCTGCATCGAACGGAATCATGCCCGGGATAGCACGTGAGAGCGCGCCGCAAAGGCGCTGACGGCGCCAGGGCGTTGTCGGCGCGCCGCACCTGCTGCATCGCGAGCTCCTTGGCCCGGCGCTGCTTCTTCCGGCGCTCGCTGTCGCGCGCAGAGCGCGCCTGGTCCAACTTGTCCTCGTCGTCGAGCTCGTCCAGGTCCGGCGCGAAGTCGTCCTCGTCCCTGTTGCGCCGATCCTCGCCGTCCTCGTCATCCGACATCCCGCCGCCCTCGAGCGCCAACAGCTTGCTCGCAGCGGCCACGCCAACCGCCGCACGCCGGCGCGGGCGCCCCGTCGTGTCCTGCGGGGGCGTGTTACCGGCTCGCGCGTTCATGCCGCGGCTGCAAGACACGGCTCCCCACTGGCCCGCCTCAGCGCCAGCGTCGACGCACCTGGTCCAATGCCCACTCCGGCAGCTCCAGTCCCTTTTCCTGCAGTTCCTCCCTCAAACGATCCACCATGGTCTTGTCGCGCTCAGCCGCCGCGGCTGCCTCGCGCGCCACCGCTGCCGCTTCCCGCGTGCGCTGCCGCGACATGCGCTCCTCCTGCGGCGCACGCGCACGCGGAGGAGTGTTGGCACGCATCGGGTTTGGGCGGACCCAGGGGTCGGGAGCAGCCAGCATGCGACGCTTAGGGCGCGCGCTCCGCTCACCATCATGCGCTGACGCTCGAGCTGCTTCGGGTCCATCTTCCTGACCGAGTGGTCGCGCTCGACCTCCCATGGGCTGACCATCAGCTCCAGCGTCGCCACCTTCTCCTTCTCCCTCTCGCGCTGCTGCTCCTTGTCCTCCGTGTCCCACCGCACGTCCAGACACTCCCACTCGTCGTAGCCGTACCGCCGCAGCGCCTCCGAGCTGTCCACGGAGCAGCACATCAGCGACGCGTCGGGAACGCGGCCCACAGAGAAGTCGTGGAAGAGACCCAGGTGGCCCGCGCCGCACGCGCCGGCGGTCGGCCGCGGAGCGATCTGCGACAGGCGCCGCGTCGGCTCGGACATGACGCCAGTCTCAACGATGTTGCCTGCGTCGCGTCCAGGAGGCAACAGGGTGAGCTGCGTGGCCTCAAATGCCGCAGGAGCGGGCGTGTCGGCCGCGCGGGTCGCTTGCCTGGGTCGTGGATGATGGTCGCAAGGACGGGCTTCCCGTGCTCGCGCGCCTCCATGGGGACATGCTCGTTCTCCTTGAACAGCGGCTGCGCCACTTCGGAAAACGCAACGCAGGGCACGACATCGCTCTGCTCCGCCTGCAGGCACGGGAAGAGGCGCGGGGAGGACTGTCACGCCGCTGAAGCTCCCCCCAGCTGGGCGCGCTGGGCACGCGAGGCGACGCTGCCCCCACCTGCCGCGGCGAGACGCTCAGAAGTGGGACGGAGAAGGCGCGGGGGGCTTTGGTGGCCTCTCCGCGAAGGGGCGCGACCGGGACGCACGGGACGACGAGCGGCGTGATGCTCGGGTCCAGCCCCGTGTCGCCGTGGTCCGTGAAGCGCTTGACCGCCCCGGTCTTGCCCCCCCACGGCGCGAAGCACAGCGTGGGCAGGGACGACTCGATGTCCTGGGAGCTGTCCACCGCCCTCGCCGTCGCCGTCGTGCCGAAGCCCTTGCCCCCCGGGAGCACCAGCATCGACCGCAGCGCCGCCACGCGGTCCGCGACCGCCGCCACGCCCGCGCGGCCCGCCAGCGCCCCGGGCAGGTAGTCCTCCGGGTTCCAGTACGTCTGCGGCTGGAGCACGCACGGCGCCGGGAGCAGCCCCGCGTCCGGGTCGAAGATCTCCTTCTTGCTGCTCGTCGCGAGCACCACCGTCTCGACCACCGACGGCACGGGCGGGGGCTGCTCTGCGTAGTCGGCGGGGATCTCCTTCCCGGCCTCGTCCATCGGGATCTCCACGAACCCCACCGCGCGCCGGTTCCGCTTCCTGTCCCGCTCTATCGCCGCGTCCGCGTCGTCGTCCGCCCCCTCGCCGGAGGCGTCCGTCCCCGCGCCGACACCGGTGGGGCTGTGAAGCGGCACCTGCGCCCCGGGCTGCTTGTGCGACCCGGAGAGCAGTGGGTGGCCCTCGAGCTGGTTCGCCGCCCGTGATTGCGACAGGGCGATCCTCCGAACGGCGCCCGTGTACCAGCGGCCGGCCCCCGAGGCTCGGTCCCCGAAAAACATCTTGAACCGGTCGCCGGGACGCCACGTCTCGTTCCGCCCAGCCACGTACTGCTGCTCCTTCACCAGGAAGTCCGTCAGGACGCTGTCGATGTGGATCGGCACCGCCCAAGGCGGCGCGTCGGGCGCCGAGAGCAGCACCCAGGCGCACGGGTATCCATAGAAGCCGCGGCCCAGCGACGCCAGCGGACCCGCGTTCGCCCGCGCGAGCCCGTCCTGCCCCATGTTCGGCCGCCAACGAGAGTTGCCCGACGCGGCGCCCAAGTGGAACGCCACGAACTCGACCTGCGCCAAGCACGTGGCCAACGCACTGGTCGCGCCGGCCGGCTCTCTGCATGTGTGCCGTGAGGCGGGCGCGGTGCGCCGTGCAACGCACCTTGAACCGTTTCGAGGGGCCCATCGAGAGCGCGCGCCGCAGCAGGTGGTGGACCATGGGCAGGTTGTCCTGGTACTTGCAGAGGTGGAGCAGCAGCCCCGACCGCAGCAGGACCACGTCCTCGCCCTCGTTCGGAACGTACAGCGAGCAGTTCTCCGCGGCCTTGAGCGCCTGGAAGACGTCGCGCCTGCAGCGAGGGGACGCAGCCCCTCCGTTCTCGAGCACATCTACGTGATCTATGCACCGCGGGGGAGCGCTTCGCCGGGGCCCCAGGCCGCTGCGGGGACGGAGCCGGTCGCACCTGATGCTCGACTCAAGGTGCACGACGTGCTGCTGCAGGAGCGCCACCGCGCGCACGACTGCACGGACGTCATGCTCTTGCTCCAGGTGCTGCTGCCACGCCTCCCGCCACGTGCCCGCCCACTCCTCGTCCAGAAGCCCCGCGCCCCTCAGGACTCGTTCCAGCCTCGCCAGGGTCGCGCGGAAATGCTCCGCGGCTCCGGCTCCAGCGACGCCCCGCGCCGCCACGATGGCGTCTTCAAGCAGCTCTGGTTGCTGCTCCCAGATCGGGAGCACGGCCAGCAGCGCGCGCAGCGAGTTCTTCAGGAACGTCTCAGGCATCACGTGCAGGTTGCACTGATCTGCCTCCCACATCCCGCGCAGGAGCGGCGCGAAGATGTGCTGGTACCCGTCAGGCTGTGCTGCCCCGCCCGAAAACCGCACCAAACAGTCCGCAACTTGGCCGCCATCTGCGGGACAGGCGCGGGGGCATGGTGGGTCAGCAGGCCGTCGCCTGGGCGGCGCGCGCGTCGGGGTCAGTGCGCATTCCGGGGGCGCACCAGCGGTCTTGGCTGCGACGTCAATCAGCACGCCCTGCTTCTTTGAGGACGCCACGAGATCGCTCAGCGCGGCGATCACGGACCGCTCGCATCCAATATCCCCCTGGGAGAGCCACGCCAGCAGGTCCGGCACCTGGTCGACCCCGTACCAGCCCCACGAGGCTGAGTTGGGGTTCTCAACAAAGATCCTGCCCAGTCCCGCGGCATGCCCCAGCGCGTAGTACCTCCTGCCGAAGAAGTCCCGCCCGAGAGGTCGCCCGTTGGCCGCGGGCGTGTTCCGCGCCCAGCGCAGCCACTCCACGACGGCGGGGTTGTGTTGCCACGACGTGGCAGGGGGCACCTCCCAGCCCAGCGGAGCAACCTGCAGCGCAGCTCGCGGAGCACCTCGGTCAGCTCGACCGCACCGGAAGGGCGCGAGCTCGGCAGGCGGATGCGTTTGCACATGAACTCGAGATCGCACATTTCCAGGTGGCTTCTTCTTCGGCCCGCGCTTGCTCTGGCCGCCGCTGTCCTCCACGCGGTCGTGCACGCTCTTTCGGAACGATTCCGACGCCAGGGCGCACTCGATGAGCACCCGCAGGAGCGCCACTCGCTGGTTGGGGGTCAGCGTCACGTAGTCCTGCACCTGCAACTGCATTGCCGCGCCCGCCGCGACGTCGTCGAGCACACCGTCCGGCGCGGCGCACGCTGCCTTGGAGACCGCTGCCAGCCAGTCCATCTCGTCCTGCACGTTCGCGGCCGGCACATCGGCCGGGGCTGTGGTGAATTCGTCGGGGCGCATGCCAGCACTGCGCCCGAGGTCGCTCGCAGTCCACTTGATCGCGCGCAGCAGTCCCACATGGACGTCACGCAGCACCGCCGCCGTCGCCTGCAGCATGCAAGGAGCGTGGCGCGTCCGTTTTGGGCTCGGCACACCCGCACAGTGGGGCGCCCCTCGCGAATGGTGCACGGCGCCGTGCTACGCTCGCACCTGGTCGTCGTGGCCCCAGTCGCCGTGCAGGAGCTGCGGGCTTCCGCGCGCCTCGGCGTCGGGGTCTCGGCCGTCGTCGCAGGTGCCGTCAACTGCCAACCCGCAGTCAGCCAGCTTGCTCAACAGCTTCTCGCCCGGCGCCCGCTGCAGCACGCGCCCCGCAGCCTCGTCCCCGAACACCGGCTTCTCCTCGTCGACGTCCATGTCGCCGTCGAACAGACGCGTGGTCTCCGTGCCGCCAGGCTCGCGCGACGGAAGATGGAAGCAGGAGCCCGGGCAAAGCGCGGCCTCCAAGCGCCACAGCGGCAGCGGCGGCAGACGGAGCAGGTCTCCATACGCCTGCGTGAACTCCCATATCATCAGTATCTCGCCTTGCAGTTCCAGAGGTGCTTTGAATGTCCGATGCGGGACCGGGGGTTTGCCGCGCTGCAGGGCCTCCCTCGCTTCCTCTTCGAACGGCCGCACTGGACCTTGCTCTTCCTCATAGCTCTGCACGGTCGAGTGGGCACGCATGAACGATGTCCGGTGCGCATCACGGGCAGGTCGAGCATGCAAACTGTGTGCACGCAACGCGGACCTCCACGATTCGCGCGTCGAGGCTGATGCCCCGCGCTCGCAGCTCGCGGCGCACGCCAGCCAGCAGCGCGCTCTCCGGCGCCTTGCCCTTCCGCCCCTTCCGCCCTTTGCCCTTGCGTGCTACTGACTCCTCGTGGCTGGCGTCGGACGCGTCGTCTTCGACATCCTCGTGTTGCGAACGTCGCGCTGCGACCTGACGCGTCGCGATCTCGACCGCCTTGACCTGCGCAGCGCGTCCACGGGATGCCGGCCACTCGAGCGCTGCAACATGGAGAATGCGAGCAGACACGGCGTGCTTGCGCAATGCACCGACGCCGCAGCGGAACGCACGTGCTTGTAGACGCGCAGCATCTCGTCGTCCTCGTCGATCGCGGACTCAGGGTACACCGCGCCGCCGTCCCCGACGCAGCCGGGAGCAGCCAGTGGCACATCTGCAGCGTCCAGAATCGCGCGCTTGGCGTCCTCGTAGGGGAGTTCGGGGCTCGTCCGCGCCACCCTCGCAGCGCGTGAGCTGATGTCCAGCCGTTGCTGGGAGACCGCGGCCACCGGCGCGTACGTGGCGTCCCAGGAAACGACGTGGTACCACGCATCGGTCGTCACCACCCACAGCCGCGGCTCCTGCGCGGCCACGAACGCCTCGCAGCTCAGTGAGCGAATGGATGCGGCGCTGGGCGCACCCCGTGCTCTGCGGCTGCGCGGGTGCGTGCTCACCTCGCCGTGCTCAAACACGTAGTCTAGGATGGGCCCGCATTCAACGCTGACGGGGTCGAGCGACATCTCGCGGGCCCCGGCCGGCACGAGGCACTTGCTGTCACGCGCGGGCTGCACCACGACGCCGCGCAGGAGGCACGCGCCGCCCCGCTGCGTGCAGCACTCCACGGGCAGCATGAAGAAGCCCCTCTTCGCGGTGTGCCGGACGACGGTGGCGTGGAGCAGCAGCCGCGCGGGGAGCTGCATGCTCCCCGCCTGCACGTCGAAGCCGCCGTGCGAGATCAGCACCTCGTCCGTGGCGGGCCCGCTCTTGGCCTCGTCGACGGCGCGGCAGAACGCCGCGTCCGCCAGCACCGCGCGGAGGCGGTCCGGCAGGCGGGCGCCGGCCGGGCAGTCGCCGCTGTCGCGCAGGGCGGCGGGCGGGGGTGCGGCTGGGCCCGGCCCCGCCCCGCGTGTTGCAGGCAGAGGCTGGGCGCCGTCCTCGTAGGTGAAGGGCGCTGTGAGGTCGAGCCCGGCCTCCTTCCACTTCTTCTCAAACAGGCTGCGCACCGAGTCGCACTTGTCGATGTACGCTGCCTGGCCGTGCTCGGACGTGCGGTTGAATCTGCTCAGCGGCGGGGGCACAAAGACGCCGCCTCGGCAGCAGGCGCGGCGGGAAGCAGGGGAGACAGCACGCCTGCTGCATTTCGGATGATTGGAACATGCGCACGCCGGAGACGGCTGGGCATCGCGCCTTCGACGCGCGGTGGAGCGAGACGGTTAGTGACGGCAGCTTCCCCAGGCGGGCAAGGCGCGCGCGGGCATACCTGTAGCAGTTGAACCAGACTTGGTTCACGTCTGTCAGCACCTCGTGCGGTCCCGAGTAGTACGGCGGCCCACACTGCCAGCCCGCGCGCTCCTGGGCCTCGAGGCGTGCGCAGATAGTGCCCAGGTCCATCGGCCGTGGACAGATTTGGTGGTATTTGACGCCCGGCAGGTGCTCGACGTTGAACGGGCGATTGAACAGCAGGTGCGAGGCGTCGTGAGTCATTGCAGCCTTCACGACCTTCAACGCCTGGGCCATTGCTCTGCCGAACCCCCTGCTGCTAGACGGCGCCGCGGGCGACGGCGCGGTGCCCGGCATTGTATCACTTGGACGCTCGCTGACCGGCGTGTGCGTCACTGGATATCGTCCTGCATCCTACAAGGCTCCCGCAGGCTCGGCGGGCCACCTGGGCTGCTCACTGAGACACAGGACGCGCCTCAGCCGGGGGACCGGCTCATTGCGGGCGAAAACGCCTGAAGTAGGGCTGGTCGCCTGCGCGTGCGGCTCTCCGGCCGCAGGGGTCGGCGGCCTGCTTTTCGTCCCCACTGTACGCACCACCCCCCTCGCCGCGACCCACCCTCACGTCGGACGCTCAGAGCGGACCGCTCAGGGCCTGAGCGGCTCTGCCTCCCGCGGCGGCCGGCCACTTTGGTCTCATCGGATCTCTGGAGCTGCGTGGCAGGGCGTCGCACCTCCCGCACGCGTCCCCCCCGAGCGCGTTTGCAGCAGTAGTAGCTTTGCCTGAGGACGCTCGAAGCGGCCGCCGCTCACCAGCCCGCAGGCAGGTGCGTGAGGCCCCAGACAGATGCCCATCATGCCGGCGAGCGCGGGGTCCGAGTCGCGCATCGCGCGTGCCGCGGCGCTGCCTCCTAGCAGCGGGAGCACGCGCCGTTGCATGTCCCTGACGGGGGGCGCACTGCGACGCTGGCGTCGCGAAACGGAAGATGTGGCAGCGCGAGGCGTTTGGGAGACCTGCAGCTGATGAAGTTCTGTGCGGGCGACCTGTGCGCTTGAGTTGCTGGGATGTTACTGACAGCGTCGCCGCGCACTCCATGTGCAGGTCTGCCAAGGACGACCGACGCCGTCGGAGCTGGGAACGCCTCACAGAGTCGGTTGAAAGCGTTTCCGCACGAGTTCGGCGGGCGACGGACGAGGCGCAGCTGCCGCGTGGGCACAGTCTGGTCCGCGGACTCCGACGAGGCGGCTGCCAGCATGTCCGACATCGCGCAAGTGCAGTGCGAAAACTGCCGGACGCTCCTAGCCTATCCGTCCGGCGCGACCCACGTGCGCTGCGCGCAGTGCCGGCACATCACGCGTGCCCGGCAGCAAAGCTCCTATGCCCGGCTCACCTGCCGCGGCTGCCGCCAGGTCCTCGTCTACGCCGCCGGGGCTGGACAGGTGCAGTGTGCGTCGTGCAACATCGTTAACCGCGTGCAGGCCGCCCCCCAGCCGGCACCGGCCTACATTCCCTGCAGTGGGTGCTCTCAGGCAAGGACCCTCCTCGCGCCGCCCGCACGCCCCCACCCTGTCCCGACCGCCGCAACTGCACGTTGGCGCGAGTGGAACTCGGCGCGGCACCCCAGGCCCGTGCTGCGCTGTTCGGGCGCAGCGGCGCTCCCTCTGCCTGCGCCGCCGTTCACCCTCCCCCCGACCCCCGCGTCCTGACCGCAGGTCCTAATGTACCCCAGCGGCGCCCCGTCCGTCCGGTGCGCGTCGTGTCGGGCGGTCACCCCCGTCGCCACCGGGCCCGCGCGGCAGCCAGGCGCGGGCGCCCCGCACCCGGAGGTCAACGCAGTGTTCGTGGAGCAGCCCGGGGGGGGCTCCATGTCGCTCGGCATGATGGGCTAGAGCGCGGGCCACGCCGCGACCGCGCAGCTCGCGCGGGGCGGCGAGCCCGGCCGTCTCCCTGCATGCAGTAGAAGATTCGGTAGACGTGCGCACATGTGTGCCCTGTTATCGCTCGCAGCGACCCGCACGCCCAGGACGCCCGCAGGGACGCGCGTGAGCGCCGCCCCGACGTCCTGAGGCAGCAGTGTGAGCCAAGGCAGTCAGAGAGCAGCACGTGAGTCAGAAGCCGCCGTGCCTGGCTCCGCACGACTCCCGTGAGAGAGACGCTGTGCTGCACTGCGCCCGCTCGTTACAGCACGGGTCCTAGGGGGACCGGGCCCCTCCCTCGACCGTCCGCAGGACACCGTCCCGCGCCTTGTCGATCACCTTTCTCCACTCGGCCAACTCCAGGACGGGCAGCGCGGTGCGCGAGCCAGGGCCCGTGTCCTCGATCTCGCTGTACTCCCCACACCGGGGCCGGTCCTGCGGGAACGCGGTCCGGCGCAAGGTGGGCACAACCTCGCGGCGGCATGCGGCGCAATCACTGGCGCAGCATTGCCGAGCCCGGGCAGGCGGGCCCGCACCTCCTTCCACACCCCGTCGTAGCGCTTGTTCTCCGACATGAAGTAGAACGTCCCGGGCCCCTCGCGCTGGTCGTTCGACCACGTGCCCTCGAAGATGTCGCCGTTGGCCAGCGCAAGGGTGCCGCGCCCGTGCCGCTTGTCGTTGTCCCACCAGCCCTCGTAGATGTCGCCCCCGAAGCCGTCTGCCCGCCCGCCGTAGGTCTGCTTGCCCTTGCCGTGCCTCATCCCGTTCTGGAACTCGCCCTGGTAGACGTCGCCGTCCTCGCTGAAGAGCACACCCTCGCCGTGCGGCAGATCTGAGGCCCAAACGCCGTTGTACCGGACCTTGTACCTGCGGCGCGACGTTCAGAACGCGGCGAGGGCGTCGCGCGCGCTGGACGCCCCCCGCTGAAGCGGCCCCAGGTCGAAGAGGAGCGACGCTGCCTGCGCGCGGCGCACCTGCCGTTGTCGTACACCCAGTACACGCCCAGGCCGGACCGGAAATCCTCTTCCCAGTCACCCTCGTACTTGTCTGCATTCCTGTACACCATCGTGCCCTTCCCATGCTTCTTGTTCCCGACCCACTCGCCGCGATACTGCTCGCCTGCATGTGCCAACGCGCGTGGACTTCCCGCGTAACGCGCCCGCCACGACCCATGTGCGTCTCCTGACGCACGGATGTGTCGTCTCCGGTCTCGCGAGGCGCGTCGGGCGGCCGTGCACGTCCCGGCGCAGCGCGGTGTCCAGCCCAGCATGCGGAGAGCACGCAGCTGCTCTCACCTGAAACCCAGAACACGGTCTTTCGCGGCCCGTGCTTATTCGCCTTCTCGTCCCATGTCTTCCAGAGCTGAGTGGTCTGCCCGAGGGGGGCGCCGGTGCTCGACATCGCCCACCTGCCCCGTTGCAGTTCACAGTGTCACGCTGCGCACTCCCAGCGACCTTTTCAGCGTACCGATTCTCCTCGAAATGTCTCTAGGAATGTACGGACCCGGGGAGGCCGCAGAGCCCGCAAGCCAGGAGCGCCGGGGTGCACTGCAGTGAGAGAATGTGACCTGGACGCGAAATGCGCGGTCTGGAAGAACGGCAACACCGTGATTGGGGGTCGGTTGGAACAACGTGGTGTGTGAGATTGTCGACAGCGCGCGAGGAGCGACGCAACAGTTCGGAGCAGGCAGGAGGGGGGGTCACCGTGCGGAACCCCCCCTGGGCCATCGAAGTTCAACGCCGCTTTGACGGTTGAAGTGGTCACCGACTGGGTTGAGTCCGAGGCACCGGGCCGAGCAGCGGCCCGAGGATCGTAATGGACCGCCTCGATGCGTGACCCGCCCCATCAAAGAAAGTAGTGAGGTCGCACTGATGCCTTTGTTCGCGGACAAACACGTTGACAGCGCTGGACTCGACCTGGACGCGTCGGGCGCGCAGTCGCTGCTGCGCATCGAGGCTTCCGAGGCTGCGTCATCGAGACGGCTCCCACGCAGGCACCGACGGAAGCTGCGCCCACTGGGACGGGCACCCTCCCCGCCCCCGCCTTCGCACACACCGCCCGGACCGACGAGTTTGCCTTCGCGCGCACATGCGGCGTCAAACACTTGCCGTCGCGCACGATGTGCCGTCGGCAGGACCACCGCCTGAGCAAGTGGAGACACCGCGCCAGTGCACGAGAGGAGCCCCGTCCCGATGGCCTGACACACACGACTCACAGGGTGCCCGGGCGGGCCTGTCACGACGCCCCCGTCGCCTCCCCTACCCCTTCAGTCGGTGGACTCGAGGAAGGCGCGGGCGTTCTGGAACAGCTTGAGCCAGGGGCCCGGGCCGTCCTTGTCGTACCCCTCGGGTGCCCACGGGAGCTGCCAGCCCTGGAAGCAGCGCTCCGGGTGCGGCATCATCGCGAGGTGGCGGCCGTCCTTGGAGCACAGCGCCGCGATGCCCTCGGGCGACCCGTTGGGGCAGAAGGGGTAGGCCTCCGTGATGCTGCCCGCGGCGTCGACGTAGCGCACGGGCGCCTGCTGGCCGGCGAGGATGTCGTCCTTGACTGCGGCGTCGGGGAAGTGCGCCTTGCCCTCGCCGTGCGCGACCCAGATGCCCATGGTGCTGCCGGCCATGTCCTTGAGCATCACGGCGGGCGAGTCCAGGACGGTGACCTGCGACCAGCGCGACTCGAAGCGCCCGGACGTGTTGTGGATGAACCGCGGCTGCACGTCGTCGCCCAGCACGTCGCCCCCCGCGCCCGGCACCCAGCCCAGGAGCGCCATCAGCTGGCACCCGTTGCAGATGCCCAGCGAGAACGTGTCCGAGCGGGCGTAGAAGCTCCGGAACTGCTCCTGGATGCGCGCGTTGAAGCGGATCCCCGACGCCCAGCCCTTGGCCGAGTCCAGCACGTCCGCGTACGAGAACCCGCCCACAAAGATGATGCCGCGGAAGTCGCCCAGGTCCACCGCGCCGGCGTCCAGGTCGCTCATCGTCACGTCCCATGGCTCCATGCCTGCGGTGGACGACGCCGCGCGCGCAGGACGGTCAGCGCATCCGGCGGCCCGCGACGCCGCATGTGTCGGGAGGGGCAGGGTCTCACCAGCCGCGTGCACGACGGCCGCCATCTCGCGGTCGCCGTTCGAGCCCTCCTCGCGCAGGATCGCAACCTTGTACTTGGACGCGTCCGTCAGCTTCTCCGGCGGGGTGAACGCGGGCTTGTACGACAGCTCCCACTTGGGCGCCGTCCGCGACTTCTGGACGGCCTCCTCGGCGTCCACGCACGCCTCCGCGCACTGCGCACGGCAACGGGAGGAGATGGCACGTGAGGGGAAGGGTCAGGTGGGGCGCCGCGGCGGTGTGCGTGCGCGGGTGGCTGCATGCGTGCGCACCTGGAGGCGCTCGAGCTGGAAGGCAGTCTCCTCCCAGGTCGCGCGCAGGTCCAGCATGCTCTGCTCGATGCAGGCGTTGCCGTCGACGGAGACCTTGACCTGCTTGTCCGCGCTGGTCGTGCCGACGACCGAGGCACCCACGCCAGCCCCCTTGAAGGCAGACACGACGCCCGAGGCCCTCGACTCCTCGACCTCCAGCAGCAAACCGACCTCCTCGGCGAACAGGGCCGCGAGGGCACCCATCTTGGCGTCGGCGTCGTTGCTGGGCGAGGGCACGTCGACGGTCAGCCCGCAGTCGCCCGCGAAGGCCATCTCCAGCGCAGCCACGACAAGACCACCTGCGACGAGCAGCGGCACGGCAGTGAACACAGTGAGGACGCTCCGGCGCGGCAGCAGCGCGAGCCGGTAGTCGCGGGCGCACTGACGCGGACGCACCGTCGGAGATGTCGTGCCCCGAGAGCACCTCGCCCCTGTTGACCAAGTCCTGGATGGTGTTGAACGCGGCCTTGAGCTTGCTGATCTCAACGTCAGGCACCTCCGCGCCCGCCTGGTTGTACACATGGGCCAGGGCCGACCCTCCCAGGCGCTTCCGCCCGTCTCCCAGGTCGACGTGCACCAGCGCGCTGCCCGCCTTCTTGATGTCAGGCGTCACCTTCTTCGTGATGTCCGGGCACGGCGCGTACGCCGAGACCACCAGCTGCCCCGGCGCCTTGACAGTCTCGCCGCCCGCGGAGGCAGCCATGGACAGCGAGTCCTTCCCGCCGTCGCACGCCACTCCCATCTCCACCATCGCGTCGCGCAGGGCCTCGGCCGTCATGTACATCTGCATGCCCTCGCTGTCCATCTTCGCAGCGTGCATCCAGTTCACGGAGGCCCTGCATTGCGCAGCGAGCGACCAGGCGCACGTCAAGCAAGGTATTCATGCGCCGCGCATGGAGATGGAGACAGCTGTTCCGGGAGGTCTCACCTGACGTCCTGCAGCTGCGTGATCTTCGCGAAGCACATGTTGGTCAGGGCCTCGGCGAGGGCCAGGCGCGCCATCGCGGCGGGGTCCACCAGGCCCTTCATGGGTTGCTCCCCGATCGAGGTGACCAGGCCGGTCTTGTCCTGGTGCGTTTGGGCCATGAGCGCGTAGTCCGCGAGGGGCAGCTGCAGCGGGCCGACGCACTGCTGCTGCGCGACCAGCCCCGTGACCGACCGGTCCACCTTGGTGGTCAGGAACCGCTTCGAGCACACGTCCACCAGGCGCAGCACGCGCGGCAGCGCCTCCTGCACCGCCGCGTCGATCTCCAGCTCCTTCTTCGGGGCCTGCGGACAGGGGACGCCGGGTGAGGGTGTTGGGGGCAAGAACTGCGGGGCCGCGGAGCAGTGAGGGCGCAGGGCGGTGGTCGGCGCACCTCGAACTTCTTGAAGTGGAAGTCCTTGGGTGGCATGTCGCCGAGGACCTTCTGCAGGTCGAGGTCCACGGGCACGGGCTCCCCCTCCTTGCGCTGCTCGTCCTTGATGACCACGCGCCCCGACCCGTCGATGCGCCCAATGACCTGCATGTTGGCGCGCTCGCGGTCGCAGATGGCCCGCAGCTTGGCTTCGTCCTCCGGTTTCACGAGCAGGCAGTCGTTCTCCTGGTACTCGGCGCCCCAAATCTCCAGCACACTCATGGTCTCGTCCCCGACCTTGACGGCGCGGATGTCGATCTCCGCGCCCAGCGGGTAGATGATCTCCTTCACGACGTTGCAGTTGCCGCCCGCACCCTGGTCGTGGATCTGCACGAGCGGGTTCTGCGACCCCATCTCCACGCAGGCCCGCACCACGCGCCACAGCTTCTGCGACATCTCCGCGTCGCCGCGCTGCACGGCGTTGAAGTCCAGCTCCGCGTCGAGCTCGCCCGACGCCACGGACGACGCCGCGCCGCCGCCCATGCCGATGCGGTACGCAGGCCCGCCGATCTTCACCACCAGCATCCCCACCTGGCCCTCGTCCTTGTTGTGGTGCTCCCTGCGGTGCGGCGGCGGGCGGCGGACGGTGGAACGCGCGAACGCAGCGCAGGCGCAGCGACGCCCTCGTCGCGGAACCCTCGCGTGCCGGCGCGGCAGTGCGACGCGCACCTGTCGATTTGGCCCACGCCGCCAGAGAACATGATCGGCTTGATCCACTCGCGACGCTCGCCGTTCGGGAGGCGCATGCCGCACGCGCGCGTGTACCCCGCGATGAGGGGCTCCCCGAACTTGTTGCCGTAGTCCGACGCGCCGTTTGACGCGTCGATCATGATCTGCAGCGGCGAGGCCAGTGTGTCGGGGTACTGGAAGTTGGTGTCCTCCCACGGCTGCGTGTACCCGTCGATGCGCATGTTGCCGACGCAGTACCCGGCGGTCGCGGCGCCCATGATGGAGCCCTTCCCGGTGGCGTGCGTGTCGCGGATACGCCCACCCGCGCCCGTCTCGGCCCCGGGGTACGGCGCGACCGCGCACGGGAAGTTGTGGGTCTCGGCCGTCAGGAGCAGGTCCCAGGTGCGCTTCCTGCACGCGATTTCCAGCGGCGGGGCGCTGAGCGGGGGAGGCACCAGGGGGCACGCCTCGATGCCGACATGGCCAGGGGGCACTCACGTCACTTGCAGCTTGCTGGGCTGTCCCGGCGCGGTGGGGAGCAGCGGGCTGACGTCGAACCCCTTGATCGCGGAGGAGTTGTCTTTGAACGCGACCACGGAGTTGTTGGGGTTGATCTCGTAGGGTTCCTTGACCAGCTGGAAGAGCGTCTTGGGGAGCTTGGTGCCGTCCTCGAGGTACAGGTTGCCGCCGAAGAACCAGTGCCGGCAGTGCTCGCTGTTGGACTGCGCGATGTCGAACAGCTCCACGTTCGTGGGGTTGCGCTTGAACCCGTTGACAAACATGTCAATGTAGTACGAGTAGTCCCGCTCGTCGAACGCCAGACCCTGCGAACGTGCGTCGCACGGCGGGCACACGTGATGGTCGCGCACAGGTGCGCGCGGGGCCCGGCGGCGCGCGTCACGCGTGTCCCGCGGGGCGCTGCGCACCATCTTCTTGTCAATGGCCTCGAGGGCCGCGCGGCCGCCGCCGATGAGGTCGACCTCGAACACCGGCTCCGGCTCCTTGTCGACCTTGAACGACGGTAGCGGCTCCGGGTACACCTGCTCGGTCATGCGGTCGTGCACCATCGCCGCGAAGGCGTCGAGGTGGCTGGCGGCCAGGGGGGACGCGCTCGAGAGGAGGTAGCGGCGGGACACCTCCACGCGTGTGACCTTCTCGAGCCCGCAGCTCTTGCAGATGCTGCCGGCGTTCGCGGACCACGCCGTCGAGAAGTTCATGCGGGGCCCCACCTCGACCACGGCACCCTGCACGACGCGCAGTGAGGTTGGCACGGCGCTGGGCGACGGTGGTCCGGCGACGCGCAGGTCCGGGGCGGGCGTGGGCGGGACGGTGCGCACCTTGTCCGGAGTCATGGCCGTCTCGGCGCGCAGCATCTCGGGCTGGTACGTCTCGCGGAGGAGCCACGCCAGCGTGGAGGCCTCCTGGTCGCTCAGCGGGGCGGCCAGCTCCACGTTGTAGCAGAGCTCCATGTCGATGTCTGCAGCGGCAGGGTCGACGGCGGACGCGCGAGGTCGTCGGCTGTCGCAGGTGTCGGGGCGCTCAGGGGCGAGCTGTCCCGTGCGCTCGACGTGACAGGTGCAATGGGGATGATGCGCCGGCACGCGGTGAATTGGCACGGGGAACGCTCTCGCAGGCATTAGACAGGACTGCCCCCACATGACGAAGGATCCTCTGGAAGCCTGCTTGCACATGCAGGGTTGCCGTTGGCATGGTCAAAGGTACGTCGCATGGCGCAGCGCTCACCCGTGACCTCAGGCAGCCGCTTCTGCACCTTGTGCAGCAGGGTGACGGCCTCCGCCTCGCCGAGCCCGGGCCGCCGGTACAGCTGCACCACTTCCTTGGGCTGCTTGAGTGCATCCTCCACAGTGGCTGCTCCCGCCAGGGCCGCGGACGCGACGGAGCCTCGGCCCGAAACACGGTTGACGCGGTGCGGGAATGGAGCAAGCGGCCGCTGCCCGGACGCGCCGGGGCGGATCTCTGCAGAGCCGCGCCCGCGGAGCCTGCAGAGCACAGTGGTGCTGGGCCTGCGCTTGGCCTCTCGCACAGTGCGCGCGGCACCTCCGGCACGCATCTGCTGTCGAATTTGGTCGATAAGAGAGACCGCGTTGCTGTGGAGGGGCCCGGTACTGCGCCGAGGGCAGGCCACTGGCCACGTAAAGTGCACAACTGTTGGTCGAACCGCTCCACGACGTCCAGCACAGCAGGTTCGCTCAATTGGATGCCGGCGGCGACATGCGCGTCTAGAAGTGGGTTCGGTAAATATGCGGTTGGGCGCAGGAAAGCCATGATAGGGGAGAGACAGCCCCCCTGGCGGCTCTGAGGATGCAACTTCCCCGGCAACTTGCGAAAACGCCCGCAGCGGAGCACCGTTCATCGACTATCAGCCTTTCTCCAGCTAGCACATGAAGCCGTGGCGTCGGGTAGCCGTTGCCGTGGCCTACCTGTCGATCCCGCGCGCAGTTCGCCCGGCCTTGGGCCGCGCAGGCAGCCGCCCGCCGACCCACACAGGCGCCCGCTGAAGCATCATGCTGCAGGCGCACCCCGATCACAGGCGTGCCATGTGTCGCGCCGCGGGGAGGGGCGCGCGCAATGTCCACCCCGCGAGGCTTCATTCCGCCCTGGGGGCCCCTGGGGGGAATGCTCCTGCAACCGTCCTGACACGTCGTCAGTACAGAGGTGTGCAGGCGTTGCCGCCGCACACGCCGCAGTCACGGCAGGCGCCCCCACAGCTGCGCGCGCCGAGCGCACGCACCGCGGCGGGCCATCGGGACCTGCAAGTGGCACGACAAGTGAGTGGCACGACAGTGGTGAAGAAACGAATCACATTGTGGCAGCGCGGCGACGGGAATCGCCGCGCTTCTTGAAGCAATGCATAGCAGGTGTCTTCGCGAGCATTCGTGCCCCCCGCACAACGCCCCCAACCCCCGCGTGCCACGGTGCCGCAAAAACGAACCTTGAATTGACCCGCTGCACGGTTGCTTCCCTGACGGCGCTGGCCAGCGCCGCTGGGGCCGCGGCGGGCATTCGAAGCGACTGCGGCGAGCATCGGGCGCGCGACAAGCTCTGGCTGGGCTGCTCAGGACGTGGGGAGGTGGAAGGTGGGATCCGGAGGAGCCCCTGAGCTGCTCGTGTGCACTTGCAGCGCGGTGGGGGTGGGGGTGTGGGGCCGAAGGCGGCGTCGGGGCGGGCGGGGGCAATTGAGGGGCAGACACGTTTCAGGTGTTGCCGCGAGGGGCACACATCTCCGCAGTGCTCCGGTGCATTACGGCGCGGGGGGCGCAGCTGGCGGACCCGCCGGGTCGGTCGGTCCATGTTGACAGTCGTGCGGGCCGTCCTGTGCGGGCCGCTGCGAAGCTCCGTTTGCAGCACAGTTGAAAGCTGCAAGAGCCATCCCTGCGCGTGCGAAGGCGCCCGTGGTCGCATCTGCCGAACCAGCCCACGCGGGCCCCTCCACAGCCGGCAGCTGCGCAGCGTGGCTGTGGCACGCGGCGTCTTGGCATGGCCCTGCGAGTCGGTCGGACGTTGCGCAGAGACCGTCGAGTGCTGCTCTCCCGCCGGTTCGCGCATGCCACGGGCGGAGCTCAAGTAGCACGAAAACGAACCTGCTGCTGGCCCACACGGCGCGATTTGCCGAACTTCGAGCGGCGTGGCGGCCGGGGCGTCTCTTTGCCCGCACTGCGTCGAGTCGTGGTTGTGCAGGTGCGAGCATGCCTTCGCTGGACCGCCGGTGCTGTCAGGACACGTATGCGCCTGCATTGCAGCGTGTCACTCGAGAAGTCAGGGGCGTCGCGGCAGGACCTGCTCCCGCAAGGGCCTGTGACAGGTGTGGGCGCGAGGGGGTGCGCGGGTGCGTCGTCGATGTGGGCTCACCAGCCCGTGACAGGTGGTTGGGACGAACGCATGGGTTCCGCCGTGCTGAGGCGTCGGAACGTGGTGACGATGCCCGCAGCATTCGCCGGGACCGACGACGGTGAAGTTGTATGGAACCTGCGTCCATTTGGCGGACGGTGTTTTGTTTTGTTTCAGTGGCGCGACCGTGCACCACGTCACCATACGACTAGAGGTCAGCGCCGCGCGATCGAGGCACGGAGCGGTCGCCTCAGCTGCGTTCGCTGCTAACCGCACCTGCAATGAAGACTGCACAAAATGTTGGATGGAGGTGCTAGCACCGCCTGCAGTGAGCATTTGCAGCTGCTCCTTTAGCCGCTCGTTCTCTTCACGCAGAGCACTCACTTCCTCCTCGAGTCCTGCAACGCCGGGAAGGGGGTTGAGATCTACAGGGGGGGTGTTGGTGGTGCGCCTTCCCCGCTCCACCGGCGCGCGACGGCGCAGGCTGCTCACCTGACACGTACGCTTTCCTCCGCGCGCGGTAGTTCCTCACGGCGACACGGTTCCGCGTCCGCTCGTCCGGCTCATCTCCATCATCTGCTTCCCCCTTGCTGACTTCCGCAGCACTGCGCTTGCGACCCTGCGGTGTGTGTGTGGGCGGGTGCAGCCGCCTCACATGACGCCCCCCCGTTCCGTCCGGCGGCGTGCCTTCGCTCGAAGGGCTTGTCAAGCAACAATCGTGCTGTGTAGTGCGAGCATGGGGGGTCACCTTGCTCGGAGTCGCCGCCGCACCACGCGTCGCCTTCTTGCGTGTCGCGGGAACGTGGATGCGCACGTGCTCGTGGCGACACGCGGCATGTTCGTGCTGTCCTTGCGTGCCGTTGACTTGACCTTGTGCGCCAGGCTGCTGGTGCTGGTGCATGCAAAGCTCGACGACGTGGCACTGGTCGCTATCACGCGCCACTAGCCAGTCAGTCAGAGCGTCCTGCGGGCCAAGCGCGGCGGTTCTCTCCGGTTCACCCCTTCGCTCAGCAGCAGAGCACGTCGGCACTGCGTCGCACGATCCGGGTGGAGCAGCGCCTCACCATCGACTGTTCGTCGAGGATATCTGCTCGAAAGCAAGGGTCGCACTCCATATGCGACACGGCCTTGGAGAACGTCTGCTCCAGGTCCGTGGGGCCGCCCCCTGCCGCTTGGTCCCGCAGTCCCTCCCCATCACCTGCGCAGAGGGGCGGTCGCTGAGCAAGTCAGCGGGCGCCGCGGCGATGATGACCTCACAGCAGTACCGTGCTGAGTATGAAGGCACGTACCACCGTCCCCATCGGGCATGGCGCTGCAGCCTGGACACCTTCAGTGCGCCAGAGAGAGGGCGTCACGATCGCTTCGTGCACACCGCCCCCCTCGGATGACTGAAGTGTCCACCGAGCATGATACCGCACACGTTTCAAGCCACCGGCGCTCGCAGCGAGTGACGCAGTAGGCTGAGAGGAGGTATGTCGACAGGTATAAACCTGCTGTCGCGGCCGTACAGGCCGCTCCGAGGCCACCATCGAGCTCTTTGTCGACAGTCGCGACGGTCATTCGGCGTCATTGCGGGCGCCAAATCCGTGCAGTGGCCGTGCATGTTGCAAACACCTGTCAAGGGGACCGTGCCAGTCCGAGGGCAACAGGGCCAGCCAAGGGGCCGCCGACAGCAACGACAGTGCTGGAGTACCCGCACGGCGCGGCGACGGGCTTGCGGTGCAGGTGGCGATGCTCCAACATCTGCGGGACAGAAGCATCAGCGCGACCCGCAAAACAGAGGCCCTGACCTCGCAGAGCAAGGCGTGCGCAACGCGATCGTCGATTGCGACGCACGAACAGGGCGGCAACGGCGGAACGGAGGTCGGCAGCGATTCAAGTCTCACAGTGACCAGCCGTCAGCGGCGCTGTCGTTGGCCTCACGCGTCCGTTCCAGACTTAGGCGTCCCACTGCCGCTCCGCTGGCGGAGTGCACATCTGCATGGCGACGGAGTGCGCGAAGAAGGCGTGATGTTTGCAGCAGCCAAGGCTTCTTTGATGACGCGACGCTTGGCATCTGCGTGACAGCGACGGCCGTGTCGCCGGCCGTCACCATGCAGCACCCACCTTCAGTATTGGGAAGGGCACGATGTATCGCTTCGGGTGCTTCTCCTCGTACACGTCCTTGCCCACAACCCACCCCGGCGTGCCCTCCATCACCTTCGCCTCCATGCTCAGCCACTCCTTCTCCGCCGCATGCAACCTTCATCGCGATCAAGGAGCACAGAGAGCTCGTTCGTTCCCCATGCGCCCGCCACGCGCAGCAAACTACAGCGCAGGCTGGGCCGTCCACGCAAGGAGCGCACGGACGGAGGCGTCCAGCGCTCGGAAATCAGTCGCGGCGCCACCGGCCGCGGATCTCCCACGCGCGCGCACCTGCGGTCGTCCTCTGCCTCCAGAACCGGCAAAACAGCCCTCCTCACTGCCAACAGCTCGTCCTTCTGCCTCCTGCGGACGCAGCGAACGGCACCTGGGTCATCGCGCCGCGAACTTCTTCGGCTCGAGGACACACGCAAGCGTGAGCGGTACGTGTCCAGGCTCGCCTGCGGCGCTCGTGGCTCTTCTTCACGTTGTTCCATCCGTAGGCCATGACGGCCAAGCCACCGATGAAGAAGGCAGTGCCGCGGATCCCGCCGCTCGGAATACGCCGTCCGAATCGGATGCTGAAGAACCCTCCAGGCGGCGGCCCATCCTGCTTGACTGGCAGGTCCTTGACGCTCTGCACATACAGCGCACCACAAACGACCCGTTGCGCCCTGCAGCGTCGAGCCGGACGCCACTTCGGCGCGGTTCCCACATGTCAAGCACCGTGTCGGAGACATCAGGGTGTGACGCAGCAGTTTCGCGCGCCATGCGCAGCACGGGGACCAGGTGCTCTGGCAGGGCCGGAAGGTCGCCGGGAGGGAGAGTGAGCGCAACACGGCGGTGAGATGCGCCTGATAAAAGTGTGAGATTTCACGTCGGCGGCCGGTTCACGCCCGTCGGCGCGTGAGCGGCGCCGGCCGAGCCCAGCGGAGGTGCAAGTGGTGGTTTCCTGCTGCGCTCGCCCTCCCCGGGAGGCCAGGCGGGCCCCGACCACGAAACATCGCCTCAGATGGCGGGGCTCACCGTCAGCGTCGGCGATCCCCGTCGTGAAAACTCCGACATGGCGGGCAATCAGCCAACTTCAGGCTGCTCCAGCTGCTGTCCCGACGTGCTCAAGGCGTTCGCGCTCGCTCCTCGCTCGCAACCAGGGGCCACCGACAAGCGGTCGGCTTGGCGCTAGTGCACCCGTGCGCGTCCAAGCGCCGCCCTGGAAGCCAGACGAGGCAGTCGGGCTCAGCCCGGCTGCGCTCCCGAGCGGACCCGAGAGGCGTTTGCGCGACTCCCCTGCAGCTGCTGGGGGCTCCTGAGGCCCGTGACCGGCGCCGTGCGTGTACGTGCGCGCCACTGTCCGGCTGGTGCGTGTGCTTGCGCCAAGCGAGTGCATCCCGCCACCGACATTTGAGGCTCCAGGCACTGCATTTGAAGTCCGGGGCGCAGCCTCCTCGGCGCTTCCGCGCAGCCGTGCCGGAGGAGCGCGACGTTTCGTTGTTCGCAGTGAGAGCGACGGGCCGGACGGCGTGTCCGCACGACGGTGCAGATGGACGCGGCGGGTTCGCTCTCGCTCGTTGGCGCCGGTATTGAGAGCCTGCGTGCCCTGAGCGCCCTGGACGGCGTGCTGAAGCTCAACCTACACGGCAACGCCGTGCGGACGCTTGAAGATGGTGATCACCTGGCGGCCGTGGAGAGCCTGAACTTGTCCGCGAACGCCGTATCGGACCTGCAGGGTCTCAGCGCGCTCGCGGGGCTTCGACACCTCGACCTCTCCGCGAACAGGCTGCGGTCGCTCGAGAATGCGGCCTTCGAGCACCTCACGCAGCTCACAAGGCTGTCGCTGGCGCACAACAAACTCACTTCGATAGACGGCGTCGAGCGTCTCGGCGCTCTGCAGGCAGGCACCCCAGCACCCCTCGTGCACACACGCCATGCCTCGCAGCGGGACGCGGGTGGGACTGCAGTGATCACCCGACGCCCGCATGCCGCGTGCAGGAGCTGGACGTGCGCTGCAACCTGCTGGCCGACTTGCACGTCCTCGGCGTGGTGGGGCAGATGCGCTCCTTGCGCAAGCTGTGGGTGCTCGGCGGGTCGCGCCCGAACCCGGTCGCCGGACTGCCAGGGTTCGCGCGCGGGGTGTGGGCGGCCCTGCCGGCGCTGACGCATCTGGACGACCGGCCGAACCCGCTGCGTGAGGACCATCCGCGGAGGCAAGAGGCTGTGGGCGCGGCGCCCGTGCAGCAACCGCGCGGCGAAGTTGTCGCTCCGCAGGCCGTGCGGTCCATGTCCCCGGAGCCTGAGGCACGAACGTCAGACCGGCCGGCGCCATCCGCCGCCCCGGCACGGCCCGCGGTCCCTGCGTCTGACCGCGAGCCTGCGGCGCCGCAGCGAGACGCGGGGGACGCAGGCAAGGTTGCCGTTGAGCCTAGCGCGACCGACCTACGTGCCAGCGGAGCGCCGGCGGCGAGCGTGCGGGACGCCGCGTCCCAGACGAGCGTGCTCCCTGCGCAGGTCAAGGTGTCGCACGAAGCCACGGCGCAGACCGTGCTGCGCGGACACGCCCTCAAGGACGTCGAGGGTGAGCGGGATGAGCTCATTCTGCAGGTGCGGCCGCCGCTGTGGGTTTGTTTGTTCGACTCCGACTCTGTGTGTACGCGACAGTGGGGACACCGTTGGCCACAAACCACGCCCGCGGCCGTTGCAGGTTCGCGCTCTCGAGGAGGAGCTCGCGCGGCGCACGGAGGCGCTGGGCGCCCTTGGGTCGGATGCGGATGCAGCTGTGCACGATGCGTTCGAGGAGGCCCGCAAACGAGTGGTGCAGGCGGAGAAGCACGCGGCGAAGAAGATCGATGAGGAGCGCGCGAAGACCAGCGCGGCGGAGCAGAAGATGCAGGAGGCTGTTCAGGCCACCGCAGAGGCGAAGGTGCGACGCACTGTGGCTCGTGCGCGCCAAACACCAGCACGCACAAGCACGCACAAGCACGCCGGTCGACTGTCTGTCCCTGCGCGGTGCTCTTGCAGATACGCCTGGCGGGTGTCGAGGCCCGCCTGTCCGCGGCTGGTGAGCTCAAGCAGACGCTGGAGCAGCAGGTCCAGATCCTGCAGCGGCGTCTCGAAGACGTGGATGGCGCCCACCGCACAGATGTCGCCAGGGTGCAGCAGGTGCGGCGATCCTGCGCCGGCATCGCGTTGTGCGCTGTGCATGACTTCTCCTGCGCTTATCATCGCAACTCACGTTTGAAAGCGCATCTCTGCAGGACCTGAGGGAAGCGCTGGACGGGCTGCAAGGATCGCAACGCCGTGCTGAGCAGGCGGAGGGCAGGGTCCAGGAGATGGAGGTCAGGATTGCGCAGTTGTGTGCAGAACGGGACACTGCAAACGCGAGCTGCCGTTCGACGCAGGAATCCATCCTGAAGGCGAACGCCGCAGCCGAGCAGGTCAGTCCTCCGAGACGCACGATCCGTTGACGTGGTTCTCGAGAAGCGAGTGCAAGCCGACGAACAACAGGCATGCAACGGGCCCTTCCCCGCTTGCAGGCTCGCGAGACGTACGACAAAGAGCGCCGCCGACTCGAGGAGCTGCTGCAAGCGGCGCAGGCCACGTCTCAGAAGGAGGCGGAGAGGGCGTCGCTGTTGGACTCGAAGTTGAAGGACCTGCAGGACCAGTACAGCCAGCTGTGCCGGTCCCTGCAGACGATACAGACGGAGCACCAGCAGCACTGCACAACGACCCAGCGCGCGCACGACAAGGAGCTGCAGGATGCAGGTGCGGCCTCGCTCCGCCGTGACAGCTGCACGCATGTGGCTGCCCGTTCATCAGGATGTGTGCCAACCAGACGTTTCGGATCGTGATGCAGTGCGTCGTGCGACCGAAGCGGAGCAAGCAAATGCATCACTGCAGCAGCGTCTGCGGTCGACGGAGGGCGAGCTCCAGCAGGCGCTAGTGGAGCGGCAGCGCGACATCGAGACACTCAGGTGGGGGGTCACTGTTCGCTACCCGGCCGCCGGAAGCTTTTTGTAGCCGTGACTTGGCCGCGCGAGGCGTCGTGATCGTCTCCGCTGGTGCCTCGTGTCGCCGCAGGGAGGGTCTCAAGGCCAGCAGCGCGGCACGCGAGGAGCTCGTGGACGCTCTGAAGAAGGCGTCGGGCAAACAGAACAAGTCCGACGAGCTCGTGCGGGAACTCACGCGCGTCGTCGACCAGCAGCGCACCCACGTGTCGGCCCTCAAGCGCGACTTGCAGAAGGCCCAGGTGCGTCAAGAACATACACGACTGCTGGCGCTCACGCGACGCCGCCGTTCCGCTCGCGAGAGGTTGGAGGTGTCTCGGACAGTCTCCAGCGTCCACGTCCACCCCCAGCGCCGCGTTGTTCGCAGGAAGATCTCAAGCGCTGTTCCCCCGAGAGAGTGGAGAAACTGCAAGCGGAGGTGGACAGGTGGCGGGATGCCGGACAAGCCCTCGACGGCATCCAAGCGGATGTGCTGAAACTGCAGGTGCGGCGGTGGGCCGATCTGATCCCCGTCTGCGCACGAGGAGTCCTTTCTGTGCGTTACGTACCACGGCTTGCCCTGAACCGAACACAGGATGCCAAAACGGAGGCCGAGAAGCAGCTCGAGGCCGCCAAACAGAGCTGGATCGAGCGGGAGCGAGCGCTGCTCCGTCAGGTACCGTCAGATGCCCGCTGCGTCGCATTTCCGCAGCGACGTGGTTGCCGTGCGTTCCTGCGTCGCAGAGCTCGTCTCGCACCAATAGAGGGAGCCCATGCACGCCCTGCAGCTTGCGGACGAGAAGGAGGCTCGGTTGCGGACGACCCAGGAGATCGAGACGCTGCGCGTCGACCGCCAGAAGCATGAGGAGCACTTGAAGGTCAAGGAGGCGATGCTGGACAGCGCCAACGGCACCATCTCGCAGCTCAAGGCCTCCCTCGCACGGGAGCGGGACGAGCGGTCGAAGGAGGCGCGGGAGCTCGACGCGCGGGAGTCGGAGTGGCGCGTGCAGCAGGACGAGGACCAGGACCGCATCCAGGCGCTGCAGGTGGGGCGCGGCGCGGCCGCGCGTTGCGACGCGGCGCTATCGCATGCGCGGACGGGCGGCCGCTGGATGCGTCAGACTCACGCTCGTCTGCGTCCGGTGTCGTCGTTTGCCACGCAGGCAGAGGTGGAGGCGCAGGAGAGCATGATGGAGCAGCTCGAAGCGCAGCGAGAGTCGGCCGACGAGGCATCGCGGAAAGCCACAGGTGCGGCGCTGCTCCGTTCCCGCGTGTCCTCCCGGCCGCCCCTGCGCCAGTCTCGATGAGCGGCAACTCCTTGACACATGTGTCTGTCGAGCCCCGGGAACCGGAGCCGCCCGCGCGCCACGTCGGCGCGCGCCACGTCGACGTTGCATGCGAGCCCCGCTTGGTCGCAGAGGAGCTCGAACGGGTCAAGGCGGAGCTCCGCGACCGCGACGGGATGGTGTTGTACATCGAGCAGGAGGTGGAGCGCGTGAAGCGGCTGTTCGCGGAGAAGGAAAGCCGCATCCAGGCCGCACGCGACGAGGCGGAGAAGCAGGCGCTGGAGAGCGACAAAGCCTTCCGGGTGAGCGGGGCAGCTCACGTTGCGTTGTCGCCGGCGGGATGCTGCCCCGCTGTGTGCGACGCGTCCAGGGCCGACGCGCGAGGGCGCCGCTGAGCGCGACGTGCACTCTGATGCGTCGCAGGAGGTCGACACCAAGTGCAAGGACGCGGTCCGGCAGGTGGAGGTCTTGCAGGAGCGCTTGCGACATGCGGAGCGCGAGAGGGAGAAGTTCGAGGAGACTGCGGCGCGAGCGGACCGCGAGGCCGAGAAGCAGAAGAGGTGGGGCGCGCACGGCCTCGCGGCTGCGCCCCTGCGCGGGTGGTTCGCGTCGCCCTTGCCAACAAGGGCCTTGTGTGTTGCCTGTGCAGGAGAGTTGAGGAGGTGGAGCGCGAGCTGCGGGAGGCCCTGCACGAGGCCGCGAAGAGCAAAACGCAGGCGGACCGGAAGTTGCGCACGCTCGGCACGATTCTCAGCGAGCTTCAGCAAGGCTTGCTCGTTCCACAGGAAGGTCCTCGTTCAGCGGAGCCGTCTTTCTCGCACCAGTGAAGCCGTTGTCACGCGCGCCTGAAACGTCACGCGGGGCCGTGGTCAGCGTTGCCGCACCTGTGGCGCAACACGGAGACGCCCGTTGTTGAGTTTATGTACATGTGTGACGTGTGCATCCGTCGAACTCTGCGGAAACAGGTCGCGCGCTGGTAGATGTGCGTGGCGCGCCGTGGCGCCCCGAACACCCCCCTCGTGCGGACTGAAGCCCTGAGAGCACAACACAGCCGTTCAAGGCTGTCATACCTGGAGCCGGTTCGCCGCTCATGTTCGGCGCGCCTCGACGACCGGCCGTACTCGCTCGATCGCTTGCAGTCATGTCGCTCCGCCGAGTCGCCACCCAGCTCGCCGGCCGCTTCGGCGGCTTCTCGCAGGCGGAGAGCTCCGTGAGCATCCGCGCCGCGCTGGAGCGCGCGTTCGCCACGGGTGAGTCCGAGTTCAGCCCCCGCGTCACATTTGTGCTCGCAGCATTGGGGCCCTCCGGTTGTCGTGTAATGGCGCCTGGCATGACGCACGATTCGAGGTTGGCTGGTAGTAGCACGTCGAGTTCGCGGGCTCGGCTCGAGGAGGCGAGCGAGCGCCGCGGCACAATACTGGAGCGCCTAACAGATATCCCTCAACCGTACCCTTGCCGCGCGCAGTCAAGCCTGACTGCAAGTACGCTCCGTCGCACGAGTGGGCCAAGGCTGAGGGCGACGTGGTGACGGTGGGCATCAGCGACTTTGCTCAGGTGCGCCTATTCGCGGCGCCCCGCAGAGACGACGCGCGGTCGGCTCGCGAGCAGCCAAACCGTCCATCGCCCGCAGCGGGGACGAACGGGCGGCTTGAGGGATGCCTGCTCATCTTGAGCGCTTCAAACGGCCGGTTCGGCGGCTGTTTCCGCTCCGCTTCGACGTTCACGCGCACGATGTCGCTGAGCCGGCATAGTCTTTCCAGACCGCGGAGCGTGGACGGGTCTTGCGCGCGGTCCCGGCAGGTTTTCCCCTGCACAGCCAAGGCAGCACAGCAACCCAGGCTGCAGCGTTTGCGCGAAGGGCCTCGAGGTCCCTCACGGACGCACCGCCCACGCATCGTAGTGCGCGACGTGTCTGTGCACGCCGATGCTCCCATCTCTGCGCGGGCGTCGAATGCGCGGCGGCTATCTCTAGGGTACCCAGGGCACCTGAACCGTGCCCGCGGCCCTGCCAGCGCCAGGGCTTGAGCGCGATGTCCCCGATCGCCCGCGACACCAGGCCACGTGCCGCGGCGCCTCCGGCAGGCGACGCCCGCACCGCCCCGCCGCGGCCCGCTGGTCGTGATCACGCTGCAACCGACTCGCTCCTCGGGGGGCGCCCCTCCGCCGCGCACCTCGCCGCCGCGCGTGACGCCCGGCGGCGCGCCCGTCCCCGTGGTCCGCAGAGCGAGCTCGGCGACGTCGTGTACGTGGAGCTGCCGGAGGTGGGCGACAGCCTGGAGGCGTCGGCGCCGTTTGGCGTCGTGGAGTCCGTGAAGGCGGCCTCGGACGTGTACGCGCCGGTGTCCGGCGAGGTGGTCGAGGTCAACTCGGCGCTGTCCGACGACCCGAGCAAGGTGAACTCGGACGCGTTCGGGGAGGGCTGGATGATCAAGGTGAAGGCCTCGGACGCCGACGGGGACCTGGGCAAGCTCATGGACAGCGGCGCGTACGAGAAGCACTGCGACCACTGAGCGGCGGGACGCAGCCTCGGCGCCGGACATGCTCGTGTAACGGGCTGTCAAGCTGGTCACGGAGGCGCTGTCGGGCGGCCGCTCCGCTCACACGGTCTCCTCCTTGACGGAGATGATCTCTTCGCGCGTCACGGTCTCCACGGTGTGCTCGCCCTCGACCAGCCAGTGCGGGAACTGCGCGCGCACAAACTCCTTGACCTTGTCCAGCAGGGGCTGCTTCGTGGCGTGCCACTCCAGGAACTCGTCCTCCTGCGCCTTGCGGCGGCGCATGACCTCGTCCGAGGCCTGCATCAGCAGCGCCTGGTCCTCCAGCTCGAACTTCTTGGTGTACTTGCGCAGGTCCTTCTGCACCTGCTTCTCCTCCTCCGCGCTCAGCAGCGTCGGGGGGCGCGGGCGCCACTGGAACTGCAGCAGCGCCTCGCGCGGCTCGCGGTACAGCTCGCGCCCGGAGAAGGACCAGATGGTCAGGCCGCTCTCCATCTGGTTCATCTTGCAGTCCACCAGCGAGCACAGGTACCGCCCCGTGGGGTCCCACAGCAGGTCCGTGCACATAAAGTGCTCCGCCAGGTTCATCGTCTGCATCTCCTCCACGTTGAAGAACTCCAGCTGCCCGTTGCCCATCGTGCCCAGACCGGCCAACAGGATGTTCTTGCCCTGCAACGACGCAAGGCCGCGAAGGAGGGGGGGAGGGGTTGTCAGGGTCGTGATGAGGACGTGCGGGGCGAAGAACGCCTCACGGCTCGCATCCATGAGCGCGCGGCACACTTCGGGGCTGAAGACAGCCACGGCCAGCTGCCTCCCCGAGCGCGCGCGCGGCAACAGGCGGGGCGCGGGGCAGCGACCGCACCTGCGGGCTCCAGACGGGGTGGGACACGGTCTTGTTCTTGAGCGTGCCCACGTGCACCACTTGCGAGACGCCAGCCTTCCCGCCGGCCATGTTGTAGAACGACACGTCCGGGCGCGGGCCGTTGCCGTGCACGATGCAGAACCGCGACCCCTTGGGCTCCCACGCGAACGCGGTGCACGAGTGCGTCTTCACGGGCAGGTCCATGACCTCGGACGGGATGCCCTTCTCGTTCAACCTGCTCGGGGGCGGCGGGGGCGCGCGGAGGTGAGAACGCGACCCGGGCCCGAGAGCCGGGCGGGCGTGTGCGGGAGGGGGGATGGTGGGCAGGCGAAGGCGGCGCATCTGCCCAGGGGTTTGCCCTCCCGCGCTCCATCTAGCATCATATTTGACATCGCCGCGGGTGGACTCCCGCGGAAATGCTTCGAAAGATGCGACGGCGGCCGTGGCCTGGCGAGCGGCGGGCGCGGCGGCGCGTTCCGGGGGGGGGGCGCGTGCCTGAAGAACTCGAAGTTGGAGGTCGTCGACTTGCCCGTCTTGGACTTCTTGCGGACCAGGGCCGCGAGGTAGTGGCCCTGGGGGTGCCAGAACATGTCGACGGTGTCCACGCTGAAGAGGTTCTTCTGCCGGATCTCCTGCTTCTCCGGGATGCCGATCAACACCACCCTCGCTGGGCGGTTCGGGCCCTCCTCCTGCAACGCGCCGCGGCCGACGTGAGCCGGATCAGGGCGAGTGGCGGGCGGTCGGGGCGCGACGCTCGCTGCGGAGGGGCGCGCAGGGCGTCCGCGCATGGGTGGGGTGGCGGCTGGCGCACCTGGTAGCACGCAATGATGGGCTCCGACGGGCACACGGAGAAGGAGTGCAGGCCCTCGAGCCTGATGGACTGCTTCCCGAGGAGCTGCATCGTGGGCGCCTCGTACACGGACACGACGCCGTTGCCCATCTTGACCATGTACTTGTCCTCAGCGCCGCCCAGCCACTTGAACGGGTTGTGCGGGATCACCAGCGGGCCGCCGCGCTCGGGGAGCGGCAGACCCATGTCCGCGTACGAGCCCTCGAACTCCCGGAGGAGCTTCCCGGACAGCGTGTGGAACACCCGCACCACGATGGCCGGCCGGTCGCTGCACACGGGGGGGCGGGGCGGCGAGGGTGAGCGCCGGGGGCGCGGCGCGAGCACGCACCGCGGCGCGAGCGCTGCGCGGGGGTCGCGGGGCGCACCGGTGGACCCGCGCGGAGAGCGACACGAGGTACTCTTCGTTGGGGGAGAACTCGATGCACTTGACGTAGTGGTGCTCGAACCGCTGCAGACGCTGGAAGTCCTCGCCGCCCCACACCGCGATACCCTTCTCGTGCAGCGTCGCGACCATGTTGCCGTGCGGGGAGAAGCACATCGCGCAGTCCACGCCGTCCGTCCAGCCCGGGCGCGAGAACACCACCTCGCGCGACCCGCGCTTGGCGTCGTTCCAGGACACCTGCACGGCGGAGCACCGCGGACCGCGCCACGTGAGGGGGCGCCGGGCGGAGCGCGGTTCGGGCGTCGTTCGGCCTGCGCGGAGCGCGGGTCGGGCGGGGGCCGCACCTCGGCAATGTTGGCGTCGAAGCGCATCAGGTACTGGTCGCGGCCGCGGGCGTCCAGCAGCCAGCTGTGCATCGTGTCCACCGCCTTGTACTCCTGCCCCCTCGGCACCTGGTACTCGTCGGGCACCCTCTTGTACCTGCGAGGCACGCGCGAGTGCATCCGCGAGTCCACAACGGGCCCACGGGGACGGCGCAGTCGTCGCAGCGCCCAGCCGGCCGCGGCGCCGCGCACCTGTCGAGGTCGTTGAAGAAGTTGACTGCGAACGTGTGCTTCTTGTCGAGGCTGTAGCCGTTCAGCTGGCGCTGCGCCATCGTGGCCATCTCCGGGTTCTCGTACTCCACGAAGCAGTACCCGTGCGACATGCCGTTGGCGCCCATCGGCATCACCAGGCCGTTCTCGAGCAGCTTCCCCGCCGCCGAGAAGATCTTCGTCAGCACCGCCTTGAGCTTGCCGGACTTCTCCTCGTTCACGACGGGGATGTTGTCCACCACTGCGCGTCGCAAGGTCGCCGGGGGGGGGTCGGAGGATGTCCAGCGCGATGGCATGGTCCCCGCACGCTGCGCGGTCGCTGCCGCCCCGGGACGCACAGCGGTGTGCCCGGTGACCATGCAACACAGATCACTTGCGCCCGCATCGTGCTGGAAACGGCCCCGTGACCACACAAAAGGATAATTCAACAGTATTGCGTGCGACAGAAATGCGATCCAACAGCACGGTGCCCCGTCCCAGGCCCTGGGCCGCGGCGAGAGCCTGCGATGAGCACAACAGGCTTCCCGGAGCCTAGAGAGTTGCCAGGGCGCACGCCGTGCCCCCCTGGCTGCCCAAGACATGTAGGAGGTCACGTTCGCGGGCGGTCCAGGCATGGTTTGCGAGCAACAGCAGGGCAGAGCTGCAGAAGACACTTGGCCGCCTCTGGCCCGGGCTCCGTGGGCTCGAGGCCACGCGAATGCAGTGGCGATTTCGAATACCCGAAGAAACATGTGCGCGATATGGGCGTTGCACGGATTGTTTCATTCCGCCACCGTGCTCGAAGGAGCGAGCCGACTGCAGGACCTCTGGCCTGGACGCACCGAGAACGTTTCCGAACCCCGTATCCATCTCGAGATCATCTTCGATTTGATCCTCATCGGAGATGATGCCGAAATCCTCGCCCGGAGGCAGTTCGAGGTCGCGCGGGTCAAAGTTGGGCGACAGAAGCGCCTCGGTCGGTGGGAGGCCCATGGCGGCGATGTCACGTCGCTGTCCGACGTTCTGCCTGCGCCCGACGCACTGCGCAGTCGCGTCCCCGCAGCGCAGCATAGGCGGCGGCCTGTGCTGCGCGCTGACGCATCGTGTGCTGTTGCGTCCCCGGAGGGAGTTGTTCGACGGTCCGGCGAGCTGCGCGGGCACAGGATCGACTCAGGGGGTTCGCTGCACGAGGACAAAGTCAGAGGGATCGGTTGGCGTCCGCGAAGAGCTGCCACAGCGACTGCTCCAAGCGCAAGCCGGTTCAGAAGTCCAGCAGCTCACCGATGCCGCCCTGCGAACGACAAGATGTCAGTCAAGCCAAGTGATGACGCGAGCGGCCGCAAGTCATTCACGACCCTCGACGAGGTGGTGGAGTGGGTGCGCAGCCCGTGCCCTCGGGATCGAACAGCGCTGTGCGCGTGAATCTTAGGGCACAGGCGTCTGCCCCGGTCCCCCCACGGGGCCGCGCGCGACGGGATCCGGCTCGCACTTTCGTCTCGTAGCAGAGACGCTGTTTGCGCAAGTCGCCGGGCGCGTCCGTGGCCTGCTCGCCGTGCTGCCGAGCACACTCGCACCTGACGAATTTGGACAGCGGCGCGCGGCAGTCCCCGCAGCGCTCGGCCCGCCGCGCCGCCCCGCTGCGTTCTACATCAACAATGTATCCCCTTGGTCAAATACGACTGCGCTCTCGTGCCGTCGTGTTGGCGCACTCGAGCTGGAGGTGCATGTGTCGCTGTTCGTTGCGAGTGCAGGCTGAGACGGAGGTCCGCCGCGCCAGGGAGTCTGCCGACCGCGACGTCATCGCTGAGAGAGAGCGTGCGACTGCTTACGTCAAACGCATCGAGGACGGTCTGGCTGCAAGGATCGAGAAGGCTGAGAGTGAAGCTCGCCAGAGAGGCTACGAGAACGGTACGCGAGGCGTCCGCGTCGCCCCCGTCTCTGCGATTCTCGTGCAGTGTGGCGGTTCGGGCACGCGAGCGACCTCCCCGGCCGTCAGGAGTGCCCGAGCGTGCAGCAGAAGCCCTTGCAATGCATGTCAATTGCTGCAGGCCTAGGAGCTGCCCAGGAGGCGGCAGAATGCGCGCGGCGCGAAGCCGCGAACGCGGAGGCGAATGTGGAGGATCTCCAACGAGAGGTCGATCGATTACGGGTCGAGCTTGACACCCGTCCCTCAGGCAAGTTGTGTGTTCGCGCCGCTCGCCGAGCCGCCCCGCACCCAGAAACGGGCGGGACTCCCGCGTGCGCCGTGCGCGATGGCCCCGACGTGCGTCGTTTGCGTGCGCAGGTGGCGGGCCCTCTAACGGCGTTGCCACGAAGAAGCTGCAAGAGGAGCTGAAAGCGATGCACCGGGAGCTGGACGCACAGGTGCGCGAGATGTGCCGGCGCTCCTGGGCCACACACATTGTTCACCGCGGCGGCCCGCAGCGACGAGGCGCGGGCCTGTCCCGGGCTGATTGCGAGGGATGCGACATGACGTTTTGCCAGCGCGCGGTGCAGTGGGCGGCGCGGTCGGAGGCAGAAGAAAAAGCGGAGTCCCTTTCGGCTGCGATCACAAAGAGCGCTGCTCACGCTGCCTCCGTGGAGGCGGAGCTCAAGCGCACCAAGAAGGAGCTGTCCAAGTTGCAGAAGCACGCGGACAAACTGCAGGCGCGGACCCGCCCGCGCGCCGCCGCCCCGCGCTCGTTTTGCCTGCCCGTGCTTGCTGGTCGCCAGAGCAGCGCATTGGCGGAACGCAGCCCGCTCTGGTGCCCTGGCTGCAGGCGGACGTCGACACATTCGAGCGGAAAGAGAAGGAGCTGCAGGACAGCCTGAAGACAGCGCTGGCAGCGGAGAAGTCGCTGAGGTGGGTACACCCCGCAGCAAGTGCCCGCACCGCCGTCGCTGCGGTGCTGCACACAGGTTCCGCAGCGAGCTGTTCTGTTCGATCGACGATATCCATCGCGTGCGCTGTGCAGCAAGGAGCTCGAGGTCGTGAGGAAGGCGCACGACGAGGACCTTAAGCTGCTGGACATCGCGGAGAGGTCGCGGCAGGCGGTGGACGCCACCATCAAGTACCTCAAGGGCGAGAACAGCCGCATGAAGGCCCAGGTGAGCCGCCGCGCCGCGCCGCTCGTCGCCACGCCGCGCGAGGCGAGACCATCGCGCCACGCCGACCACCGGCCCCGCGACCCCCCGCGCACCGCAGCTGGCTGAGCTCCAGGCAAAGGAGGAAGCAGTGCGCAAGGAGGCGGCGCAGGCCAAGGAGGCGCTCGAGAACGCGCAGCTGCAGGCACATCCGGACTCCAAGAGCGCGCTCACCGCGCAAGCATCATACCTCGCGCTGATAAAGAAGCAGGCAAAGGGCAGCGCAAACGGCACAAATGGTGGTGGGAGGGCCGGGGAGGGGCGGAACAGCCCGCTGTACGCGTCGAATTCGCGCACGCAGCTCATCTCGTCCTCCACGTCGAAGGCGGCGGACGCTGCGTCGAAGGGCGCCCTCCGCGCTGGTGACAGCAAGGAGGCAGTGCTGAGGTCTCCCTACAAGCCGCCGTCTCCCCCGAACAAGCCGGCTCGAACCACCTCCGCGCAAGGAGCAGAGATTGCGGGTGCCCGGGCAGATATCGAGGATTCTGCGCGGAGGAGAGCAGGTGCGTTTTGCCCCCCTGCCACCCACTAGCGCACAGCTGCAGAAGTGCCACGTCGCAGGCCATGGTGTTCGTCGACGAGGCAGTGCTCGCTGCCCACCGCGGCGCCGTTCGCGTGTTCGCAGATGTGGTGCATCGGCTGGAGCACCAGCGGCACCAGCTGAAACAGCCCGCGCCAATAGCCAGGTTCTCCGTGCGCGGGGAGACAGACCGCCCGGCATCTGGCCGGAGTAGTCTCGTGGGCATGTCCACGCTCGGAATAGGGAGCAAGGCTGTGAGCTGACGCGGGGCCAGTAGCGGGGTCACACGCTGTCGCACGTCGGGTGCGAGAGCGGTGCTAATGCGCCACGGCCAACGCTTCGCCGGGAGCACAACGCGCCGAAGGCACGCGGCAGCGCCGCGGTTCCCTCACGGCCATCTCGTGCGCCCTGGGGAACGGCGGAGTGCGGCGTCAATCCACCCTCGGCAAGCTCGTTAGCTTTGCAGAGAGTTGTTCACTCCACGGGCGCCGTCTCCGCCTTGCTCTCCAGCTCGTTCCGCCAGGGACGCATCTCGAGAGGTCTGCAGCTAGCACCGACACATGCACGGTGCTGTCATGTGATCAGCGACGTGTGGACGGAGCACGTGCCGCGACTACACAGCACGCCAGTCGAGGGTTCCAGGGCACACCTGGGCCTGAAGCGCCCGAACTCGTCGGCGCCCTTGGGGTCTCCGAGCTGGCACCTGCGCGCAGGCGACAGCAGAGGCGTTGTGCGGAGGTGAGGACGCGGCAGGGCAGCTGTGCACATATTCACTTGATAACTGGCGCATCACCATCACGGTGCGCGCCTACCTTGGCGCGAGGCCCGCCTCCAGCGCCTCCTCCACGAGCGGGAACTTCTTCAGCGAGGCCGAGAACGACGCGAGCCGGCCGTCCGCGCCCCGGTAGAACTGGAAGAAGGGCAGTGCCTTGACGCCCATCGCCTTGCAGATGACCTTGTTGTCCTCGAACTTGACCTGCGCAGCGCGCGGGGCAGACGCGCGTTGGCAACCACGACACGCGGCGGCGCGGGAGCACACCGCGCCCTCCCCGCAAGCGCCCGCGCACCTTGGCAAACACGATCTCCGGGTTCTCCTTGCACAGCTCGATGACGCGCGGGTACATCGCCTTGCACGCCGCGCACCACGTGGCGAAGAACTCCACCACCACCAGCCTGTCGCCCGCCTCCGCGAGCAGGTCCACGAAGTCCTGCAGCACACCGGGGCGGGAGCACCGGGGCTGGGCGCCGCGGGGGGGCGGCCGCGCGTCGCTCCGGTGGCGGCGCGTGCGTGCGTGCGTGCGTGCGTGCGTTCGTGCGGGCGCGCACCTGCACGCTGGAGATCTCCACCATGTTGGGCGTGGAGTCCTTCTTCCACCACTCATCCGATGGATCCACCGTCGCGCGCGCCGCAACCAGCCGCCGCGGACCCCGGGGACCGAGGCCTCGCCAACTGGCGGCCTCGGTCCGCCGCATCAGGTTCGGTGCCGCGGGCGCGTGGGGACGCACGGCGCGAAAGCAACTCGGGGAGTGGTTGGCAGCATCTCGGGACAGGGCAGAGCTGCGCCCTGCCGCCAGCGGAGCCGGGATTGACAAGCTCTGCGTTCACGCGGGCAATGCACAGTGTGTGAGCGCTGGGTCCTTCCTCGAGGCGTCAGCTCGGCCTGGGATGTGGGCCTGGCCGGTCTCGAGGGCAGGGCTGCCCCTCGGGATCGCAGCCGACGCAGACGAAGCCCCTCGTTGCGACGAAACGCGGCAATGTTGAAATGTCCGACACGGAAATCGCGAAATAAACCCAGGGGAGGTCGAGTCCGTGCGGCACACGCGAGGGCAGGCTGGCGCTCAGGCCCTAGAACATCGGCCACGCGCTGTGCTGCGGTCCGTGGGCGCACCATTGGCAATCGTGTTGTGAGCAAGGAGCGCAGCGAAGCGTGGCCGCGCCCCACGGCAGCTTCGGATTACTTGGAAGCGAGTCGGAAGGGCGGAAGAGCTGCACAAGCGCTAGCAAAGGGGCGTTGAACGCAAATACGCGGCTCCCCTGCTGCCTGCCGCAAGCCAGTTGCCTTCAACTGCATGCAACAGGCCTGCCACACGAGGCGGCCATGAGGTGCTGGCGGACCGACGCACCCTCGCCGCGACCCGCGTCAGCCGGTTTGCGGGGCAGTAACCGTCCTACCGCACCGCGAAGATGACCGGGGACGCCCCCTTGGTTGGGCCGCCAGGTGCCCGCTCCCTGCCCGAAGCGCGTCGAATCGATCTGCACCGATCGGAGTGCCGTCGTACCGCGGAGTGCGTCGTCCCAGGATCAATCACAGACGCAGCAGCGACGACGAGCTGCGCGTTCGTCCGCGAAGTTGATTGGCTCCGCCTCGGCGTCGTCGTCGGAGAGAGAGATTGTCTCCGCCTGTTCAGCGAGCACTGTTCGCAGGACAGTCTGCGCGGCCCTGAAGGCGGAACGCGCACTTGTGCCGCACACGACCCGCCGCCACGCGGGCGGGCGTGAAGACTCGGCGCCGTCGACACCGCTGGCCGCTGCATATCATCCAGCTCCGGGATAGACCGCTGAGCGGAGGGGACTGAAACGGCCTGAGGGGAACAACTTGCTGCCAAGCACTGCACTTTAGGGATCGCCAGACATGAGCGGGGGAGGGGTGGGCGACGAGCTGCGCGCGGCTGTGCACGATACGCGAGAACGATGCCTGCTGCAGGTGCGGTGGTCGTTTGGGCCCCTCGGGGAGTGCGGGAGCCCTTTGGCGCCCTTTCATGCTCAACTCCTGGCAACGCTCTCCCGCCCCCGGCCCGCGCCTCGGTCGCCGCACATAGTTGCAGACGGCGACAACCAATGATATATAGCGTGGCGGACTTGTGCGCAGTCGTCGAAGTGGGCCGCTGAGCAGCTCGTGGCACTGCCGCCGGCCCACGGGCACGGCAAGGCACGTGGCGCTGCGGACCTGGACCTGGACGACGCGGTGCTGCTCGGCAGATCGCTCGTGGAGTGTCGCGAGTACCTGCGCGCAGCAAACATTCTCAAGAGCGCGAGGTGCGTGGCACCCTGGCAGATGTACGCAGGTCAGGTCGTCTCGCATTGCGCCGGCTCCGACACGCCTGCCCGCGACACGGGGAGCGCCGCCTCACGCGTCAGTCGCAGGGGGCCCGTCGGCCGCTTTCTGTACCATTGGGCGCGGTACCTGGCGGGCGAGAAGCGGCGCAAAGAGGAGCAAGTCGAGCGCACTGGCCCGCTCGGTCGCGTGTCTACTTCCAACAGGCACCTGTCCGCGATAGAGGCGGATATCTGCAGGTGCGTGCCGCACGCGCCACGAGCGTCGATGCGCATCGATCACGTGGCGTCGTGAACGAACACGTGTTGTTTGTTTGGTGTGGTTGGAAAGCAAGCAAGCACGCGGCGGCGACGACTGACACCGGCCCTCATCTCGCTGTCGCGTCCGGTCGTGTTCTTGCAGCGAGCTTGGGCTCAGTCCGGGCCAGCTGGTGTCCCTCCCGAGCAGCAGCCAGCAGGGCCCCAGCACGGACCCGTTCCTGCTGTACATGTTCGGGCTCGTCCTCACCGACCTCGGCAAGCTGGACGACGCGCTCGTCGTGCTCCTGCGCTCGGTCTCGCTGTATCCCTGCCACTGGGGCGCGTGGCTGGCAATCAAGGTGCGTCACAAACGAGGATGACGGAGCGTCCGCGCTTGACTGCAGCGCTGCTCCCCGCACACTCGATCCGTTCCCGCCCCCGGCGTCGCAGGAGGTCGCGAAGCAACGCAGCATGTCGGTGGAACAGGTTCGGAACTTGCACGGGGTGCCGCAACACTGGATGTGCGACGCGTTCCTGGCGTCCATGGCCATCGACGCGCAGGAGAACGAGAAGGCGATCCTGCACGCGCGCAAGGTTCGCCAGATCGTTCCGGCTTCGCCCGCCGCGGAGCTGGTGATGGCGACCGCCCAGTACCAGCTGCGGCAATATGAGGAGGCACAGCAGGGGTTCGAGGAACTCATTAGCCGGGACCCGTACCGTGTCGAAGGCCTCGACTGCTTCAGCAACATCCTGTACACTCTCGAGCTGCTCCCCGAGCTGTCGTCCCTGGCGCAGCGGCTTGTCATGACGGACAAGTACAGACCAGAGACGCAGGTGGGCCGTGTCGCCGCTCAGTCGCAGGCAGCGGCGCCGACGCGCGGCCGTCGCCTGATCACGTCACCGTGGCTCCCGTGCGTGCAGTGCGTCATCGGCAACTACTACTCCCTGCGGAACGAGCACGGTCGCGCGGTGGAGTACTACCGGCGGGCAATTCGTCTGAACCCGCAATACATCAGCGCCTGGACTCTCATGGGCCACGAACTCCTCGAGCTCAAAAACGCACCAGCCGCGATCGAGGCGTACCGTCGCGCCGTGGACATCGACGCCAGGTAATGCCGCACCCGCGCAAGCGACGCATCTGGTTCGCCTGGGCCGCACGTGACTTCATCGTCGCGCCGAGCCGCCCACCGCAGAGACTTCCGAGCATGGTATGGCCTGGGCATGGTGTACGAGCTCATGTTCCAGCAGTACTACGCGCTGTACTACTTCAAGAAGGCAGTCGAACTCAGACCGCACGACCCGCGCATGTGGTGCGCCGTCGGGCAGTCGTACGAGTCCGACCAGATGAAGATGTACGACTCGGCCATCAGGTGACCGCACGAGCCCTCAGTCATCGCGGCGAGCTGTGTGCAGAGCTGCTGTCGTGCTCCACCGCCTTACTAAGGCGCCTGTCATCGTGCGACGAGCGCAGGTGCTACCGGCGTGCTGTGGACCTCGACGATCCAGACGGTGTTGCCTTACAGAAGCTCGCGAAGCTGCACGACCGGCTCGGCGACTCGCAACAGGCTGCCTATTTCTACGAAGCCAATCTCCGGCGTCTCGATGGCGAGGAAGTCACAACTGAGCACACGTCCGAGGCCTTGCTGTTCCTTGCAAGGTCAGCATCCCGCCGTCGCAAGAGAGATCGTGCAAGTGCCGTCGACTTGTTTGTTTGCCAACCCCGCTTTCCCGGGTTCACGCGCAGGCACAACCTGAACGAAGGGGACTGCGAGCGCGCACAGGAATACGCGTCTCGTCTTCTGGACACTGGTGGACGGGAGCGCGAGCTGGCGAAATCTCTGCTTCGCGAGGTGAGGTTCCCAAACGCCACATGCAGGGGATGTGCAGCGGGCGCGAAGCAGGGCGCATTGCGACAGTGTGCTCGGCTGCGACAGCGTGACCTTGTCGGACGCTCTGCGCAGATACGGTCTATCTTGGAAGCGAAAGGGAGGCAGCCCTCGATGCCTGTTGGTGCACTTGGTGGGGAAGCATCGGACATGGAGCACGACGACTCCGACAGCTCCGGTGGGTCCTTGGTGTGAGATGTGGAGCCACGGGAGCGCATTCGAGTGTGTCGCGCCGTGGTGGACGGTGGGCCGCAGCGTGCAGACGTCCACAGGTGAAGGGTGCCATGACGGGTCGTTGGCCGAGGTCTGGCGAGAGCACGCAGGGCGAGGCAGCGGGAGTGCAGGCAGGTGGGGGTCAGCCGCGGGGCGATCCGCCCCCGCGCAGTCGTCGAATGCCGCATGAGGTGCACGGCTCGCAATGGACACGGCAAACGATTCCTGTTCACAGTGGCAGTCAATCGCCGTGTCCCGTGCATCAGTGCCGCATACCACACCCACTGCGACGGCAGGACAAACGCGCTAATCACGCATCCCCCTTGGAGACGGCATCAGCGGCAGCACGGGAGGCCTTCAGTTGGGCCGAGACGTCGTCGATCGCGCTGTTCAGCTGTGCGATCTTGGTGCTGAGGCCCTCGCGGGTGACCTCCAGGTCCTGCGCGCGTCGCATGAGAGGACGTAGCCCAGTGAGTGTGTGCGTGCAGTGGTGGTTGGCAAGCAATGTGAGCGGGAACTGCGACATCGAGCGCGATGCGCACCTCCTCCTCTTGGAACGGCAGCTTCAGCTTGCCATCTTCGCCGAGCAGGGCACGGGAAATCTGGGGCGCAAAGAGGAATCCGAGGGTGCCGAAGATGATGCCACCAAGGATGAAGCCCGACGAGAAGCCCGACCCGCCTCCGTTTCGGCTCGCCCTGCAAGCAGACGGCATGTACAAGGACGTCCTGTTCGGCACTGGCCTGCTGCTGCCGTCTCGTCCGCGGGATCCCGACGGTGAGGCTGCTCCCCGCGGTGAAACCATCTCTATCGCGGCGGCCCGCCAGCCCTGACCGGCACTCCGCGACACGGCCCGCGCACTGTCGGGATCATGCACCGTGAGGCTCGTGGTGCGGAAACCGCCTGCCAGGGTGCACGTGCATGCGAGTTCAGGTAGCCTGGAAGGAAAGAGAGCGCGTTGCGTGCAGAGGTCCTGGGCGCAGCGCGGGGACAATCACCTCGCGACGTGTGACTGGTACCTAGGAGCATCCACCTTGCGCGCAAAACGCGTGGCTGGGGCTGGCGTGGTGCACCGGAGGCGACGATTGGCTGCGGAGGTGCAGCTGCCTCGCACAGCGGGCGACGTGGGGCACCTGACGGAGTACATGGCCTCGGAACGTTGCACAGACTCGCACACGTGCACGTGCGAGCCGTGCGGCGGCGCGTTTGTGCGCCTCGCGGGCGCTGGAGGGCCCGGTCAAGGTGTCACACGCCACCAGGGTTGGTTGAGCAAGGGCGGCCGCGCCGATGAGTTCAATGTTCGGGATTCGCGCGGCAGCGCCGCGTCGGGAGTCACTGCGCAAGAGCGGTGCGAGCGAAAACGCGACGCGGGACTCCCACATGCTGCCTGGCGCGACGGTGATGCAGCACATCATGGTGTGCGTGCAGCGGTCCAGCGCGAGACCGCGCCATCTGGGCGAGACAGGCTCTTGGGGCTGTACGCGCGCAAGCCCGCGCCCCAAAAGCACGCTGGAGGCGCAGCAGCCTGAGCGGCGCAGTGTTGCATGGCCGCGGAGGCACTGGGCAAGCGGGCGACGGCGAGCGCGATTCGACGCGGCGGGGTGCGAGTTTCTTCATCTAGTGAGTTACACAGCCCACGTGCGGGCCTGCGTGGTGTTGGCCGAGGTGCCCGTGCACCAGCAGTGCCCCTCCAGGTCAGTGAGCCCTGCCTTGGGGCCGCTTGCGAGATGACTACATGTCCTGGGCTCAACAGTCCGGGAATCGGAGGGCGCCCAGCGGGTGGCGCTCCTTACGCGCCCTGGTCGGCGGCGCCCTCGTCGGCCTGCATGTCGCTAGTCCACAGGGTGAGGTTGTCGCGCAGCAGCTGCATGATGAGCGTGCTGTCCTTGTAGCTCTCCTCGCCCAGGGTGTCCAGCTCCGCGATCGCCTCGTCGAAGGCCTGCGGGAACGAACCGTGGCGGCGCGGGCGTGAGCGGCGGTGCAAGTGAGGACGTTGGCGCCGCACCCTGGCTCTGCGCGAGTCGAGGGCGTACCTGCTTCGCGAGGTGGCAGGCCCGCTCCGGCGAGTTGACGATCTCGTAGAAGAAGACCGAGAAGTTGAGCGCCAGGCCCAGGCGGATGGGGTGCGTGGGCGCCAGGTCGCAGAGGGCCGTGTCCTGGGCAGCCTTGTACGCGAGCATGGTCTGCTCGGCGGCCTCCTCCCTGTCAGCGCCCGTCTTGAACTCGGCGAGGTACCTGCGTGCGTGGCGCCGCGGACAGGGGCGGGGGGGTGAGTGACGCGCGCGCGGGGCGGGGCGCTGGTGGGCGTGGCGGTTGACGAAAAACACCGCCAACGGCGGCCGCGCGGGCGGTTTCCGCCGCGCGACGCGGCGCGTGCGGCATGCGGACGGGGAGTCAAGTGGGGGACTGCGCCCGCCGCCGCACGGGAGGGCAGGGATCGGGCTGCGCACCGGTGGTAGTCGCCCTTCATCTTCAAGTAGAAGACCTTGGACTCGCCGGAGGTCGCCGAGGGGATCAGGAACTTGTCGAGCAGGTCCAGGATGGAGGAGCAGATTTCCTCGAGCTCCTTCTCGATGACCGACCTGCGCGGGCGTCGCGGTGGCGCCGCACGCGTGACGAGGCGCTCGGGTGGCGCTGGGGGAGCGTCCGTCGCGCGGTTCGCGCACGGGGCCCGACAATGTGGAAAAAGGTTGTGTGAGTGTCGCGGTATCCGCACCTGTACTTCTTGATTCGGGAGACGTTGTCGGTGTTGCCCTTGCTCTCCTCCTTGGCCTCGATGCTGCTCACGATCCTCCACGAGGCACGCCGGGCACCGATGACGTTCTTGTACGCGACCGACAGGAGGTTGCGCTCCTCGACCGTGAGCTCACTCTCGTTGGCCTTCTCGGCGACCTTCTTCATTTCCTCCACCATCTCATCGTAGCGCTCGGCCTGCGCAGCGCGGCGGCACGATATTCCGCGCGCGTGAGCATAGAAATACCGGAGGGAGTCGTGTGACGCCGCTCGGCGGGGGCCACACGGACGGAACCGGCCGGGCGGGGCGACTCCTGCCAACGAAACCCGCCACCAACCTCCGCATTCTCGCCCCGACCGGACCGTCACGGCGTGCGCGACGCGTTGCAAGGATGGTCCGGTCAGACGCCAGGGAAACACGGCCGCGCCCCAAACGGGGGGCCGCTCAAGGCGGGAGCGGTTGACCGGGACCGAACGCGGCCAACAGGGGCACGATCCAGGGGGGCGCACGGGGCCCGCCGGGCCGAGAACACACGCGCCGAGGAAGATCCGCGTTAAAGCGCGTGCTGTGACGCGAGGAATTGCGCCCGGATGCACGCGGCGGCCCTGCAGCGGGGCGCATGCTTGGCCCCAAGGACCCGCCGCCGGCGCGTCGCACGGCGGCGAGACCTCTGGCGCGCATGTGCTGGCGAACCGATATTAAAAAAGGAGCGCATACGGCCTGCCACGCGGGCGCAGCGACCCGCAGCCCGGCCAGGTTTGCAACCTCCATGGCCAGGCTCTCGCTTCCTCGTTCCGTACCTGCTCGGCGAGCTTGGCCGCGTACACGCACTCCTCCCGAGACATGGTGACGTGTCTCACTCCACTTCTGGCTGCTACTGAGAGTGCCGGGGCGACGCGGAGAGCCGGGCTCATGTGGAGACCTGTTTGGCCTGAGGTCGCTTGAACCCCTCCTAGATGGCCTAGCGCGCTCCTCCAGAGCCCGTTACAACTGCCGACCACGCGCTAGATGGCACTTCGGGACTGCTGCGATCCACGCCGTATGCGTCCAGCGGCATTGCGCGGGCCAGCGTGCGGCGGTGGACGCCCCAGGAGGCGCAGTGCGGGCGCTCACCGTGCGCTGTGTGGCGTCCCTCACGCCATGGCGTGCCCGAAACGGAGCGCGGTGCGCGCTTGCGCGCGGGACGCAGGGCGGGATGGCGCTCGACCACCACCGGCCGGGAGGAACGGGAGGCGATGGGCGGCGTGTGCGCGTCATGGCCCAGCACGCTGCGGCACGCTGGCCATGTACCGATGGCGGCTGGTCACACACCGCGCCCCGCGCAATCCAGCGGCAGTGCGTGCCTCGCTGACTCGTGCGGCCGCAGCAGGCACAGCCCTGCGCCACCTAGCTGCACACCCAACATTTCACTCTGATCCGCCGTCGAGTCGGCTGCGAGGACTGACACGGTTTCTATCCGCGCGCCGAGAACGTGATCGAGGGGGGAGCAGTGTGCCCTCCACTTACAAGCGCGCGGCGCACACCGTCAGCTGTCGTCCATGGACAGCGCTGCGAATTTGTTGGCCGTCTCCACCGTGTCCTGCACCTTCGCCGCGGGCGCCGTGCGCGCCGCCGGGCCCTGCTGGCGCGCCACCGCGGGCACGTCGGGTCCCGTGGGCCGCTTGTCGCCCCTGCCGCGACCCTTCGCGTCGCCTCTGCCCTGGCCGCCCTTCTGCTCCCGCGACCCTCTTGCGGAGCGGCCTCGCGGACGCGCCGAACGCCCGGGTGTCTCGGCTGCGGTGCGCTTCTCGTCCTCACTGCGCGGGACCTCGCGCTGCGGGCCTGCCACCGGAATGGTCACGACCGCACACGGCTCGCCTGCAGGACGGCGCAGAGGCACGGCCGATTCGCACGGCGCTGCGGGCGCGAGTTGTCCACAGCCGCTGGTGGTGGCGGGGTGGCAGGTTGGGAATGCAGCGGGCTTGCCTGACGCTTGCTGACCTTCGGTCTGATCCTGTGTGCGCGGGGGCTGTCCTCCCCGCCCGCTGGGCTTGCGGGGACGCGCTTGCTGGGACGGGCGTGGCGGCCGGCCCTCGCCCTCGGAAGGGCGAGCCGCTGTCTTGCCGTCGTCCTGTCCGCGCCTCTCGCCCCTGCGCCCTCCGCGGCTCTTGCGGTCCAGGGACTCGCTGCCCCGGCGCGACCCGGCACCGTCCCCGCTGCTGCCGCGCTGGACCCTGCGAGGTGCACACGAGAACACATCAGCGTGACGGCCGGTCCAGAAACGGCGACATGGTGCAGTAGGGGCAGCCACGAGAACTGGCCTGCCGCGCGCACCTGCCCTCTCTGCTGTTGCGCCGGCCCGCGCCTCGACCTGGGCGGTCCGGCGCGGACGCATCGGCGGACCCAGCAGAGTCCCTCGTGGCCCTCGGCGACACGGCCACCACAGTCGGCTGCGGTTTGCCGTCCTGAGGTTTGCCGTCCTGACCGACGACGGGCGCGGCTCGCAGCACGGAGTACTCCTGCACGTTGCGAGCGGAACGTGGATGGCAGGTTTGTACGCGGGGAAGGCACTGCTGCCCCGCGGTCCCACGCCACGTGCTGTGCGCGCTCCATGTGTCTCCGCACCTGCGCCTCGGAGTTCTGGTCTCCTGCGTCCACCGGAGCAGACGGCGGGGGCGGCCGCTGCACCAGGCGAATCTCGTCGGCAGGTGCCTGCCGCTCCTGTTCGACCTCCACCGGCACCGGCGGCGGCTTCTGCAACGCCCTGCGGCCCAGGCCGGGGGGGGATCCCGACCGCCGCGGGGGGGGCGGCACCGGCGGCGGTGGCGGCGGCGGCGGCGGCGGCGGCGGGGCTGGCGACGTCGCCGGCGGTCCGTCGAGCGAAGCCCTGGCGCTGGCCCTGTCCTCGATCTCAAGCAGCTTCGCAGTCGTGTCCACGGGGCGGGCCTCCCCGAAAATCGAAGACCGCGACGCCTCGCCTGCAGATACGGGGGGCACGGGTGCTGGTCTCTGCAACGCACTGGCGATCGCGCCCTCGGGCAGCAGCAGGGCGCGCCGTGGGGGTGCGCACCCTCGTCCTTCTTCTTCTCCACGGAGGCCGCCGTCGAACCTCTCGGCAACAGGTTCAACTTCGGCCGCGTCCTCTGACCGCCGTCCATGCCGTCGCTGAGCGCGTGGCCGTCGTCCAGTCCGCCGCTCCGGGTAGGCATCGGCTGATCGTAAGGGCGCTGGACTGGGGGGGGCGGGCCCCGCGGCCCTCCGCCATCGGCCCGGCCGAAGCGTCTGCACCGCGCGCGCGGAGACGGAAGTCAGAACAATCGCACGAGCGCGGCGACGCGGAAGTGCGAGTGCCGCCGTCCGGCGGGCGGCGTCTTACCCGCCATAGTCGTCGTCGCGCCCCCCCCAGCCGCGCAAGTCCCGCCCACTGCGCGTGTCCTGGATCCTCCCGCGCTCCCGCGGCCGGTGCTCGCTGTGGCTAAAGTCGTCCCCGTAGTTGCGCCTGCCTCCGAAGCTGCGCGCAAGACGAGGCGCCAACAACACGGCGTGAGGGGACGAAGGACTGCAGGCGTGCAGGTGCATGGCTTGGCGGCGAGCCGGCGCTGGGTCACTAGGATCCGTCGCCGCCGGTGCAATAGGGTAGCTGAGCGCCGGGTGTGAGCGCAAACGGCGGGTTTGAGCGTTCCACACGTCACGACGTGCTCAAACAGCCCGAGATGCCAGCCCCAGTTGACAAGCAACTCACCTTCCATGGTCTCCGTACGCGTCGCGTCCACGGTACGGTCCGCCCCCGTAGTCCCGTGGGGGGCCGCGGTCCGGGAACCTGCCGCCCCTGCACGTGTTGTTGCAACACAGCGACGGCGTGAGCGAGCCGAAACCGCGGCGTTCGCGTGTGCGGCATACGTGAAGGTTCCGCCACTGCACGAGGCACCGCATCGCCCGCTTACCTGCCTCTGTCCCCGTAGTCGGGCGCGTCGCGACCGTAGAACTGGCCGCCATCTCTGGATCCGCGGTCACGTCCCGAACCGGGCCCGTACCCCGAGTTGGACCATTGGTCGCCCGAAAAGTTCCTGTCTCTTCCCGAGTCGCGCCAGGGCGAAGACTGAAGTGGCGGGCCGTGCTCGGCCGGCTGGGCCTGCGTTGAGAAGGTGGTTGATCACCGCCGTCGCATGCGGCTGCAGCGGCGCGACGAGGTAACTCAGCTGCGGGCCGGTCCGATGGCCGCGCCAATGGGCCAAAGAGGCGATCCAGCGGATCGCTGCGGCGCGGCCGGACCGACAAATGAGCGCGCGAGCACACCTCCGGCACAACAGGCGCAGCCTGCGCGGCTGGCTGGTCGCCCTGCTCTTCTTCAACGAGCTCCGCCCACGCCCCCGACATGGAGGGTCCGCCCCAGTCCGTCATGGCGCGGTCTGAGGACGAGCGCTGCGAGGTGTGGGAGAGGAGGCAACAGCAGCCGGACCTCCTTGTTTCCGCGCCTCCGCGCGTTCCGCCCCGGGTGGATTCCTGCGACGGCGCGCACAGCTTCGGAGGAGGATCATATTGCCACGCATGTGCAGATGCAAGCTTGTTTGCGCCTTTTGCGCTGCAAAACAGCGCAGCCGAACTTGTGAAAAGTGGCCTCGCGAACGGCTTTCGCGCGGGCATCCGTGCCCCTGCTCTTCACTCAATACCAGCGTGACAGGCCACGTACGACGCGAGGCGTCATGCAAGAAACGCACCGTGCAGCGTGAGGATGGGTGAAATTCGTTCCAGGAACTCAAGGGTGGTCTATGCGCACCGAACCCTGATTGCGTCAAGCGTTCACCGCGCTCGAAGAAACACGTCCGCAACCTTTGTTGCTTTGCCCTGCCTCGATCTGGCCCGACCGCACTGAGGCCCCGCCGCCGCGGGTGGAAAGGAAACGTCAGTCTGTCTCTCTCGCCGCGGCGCAGGCGCCGTTCGCGCAGCTGCATAGCACCGCCACACGCCACAATCATCGCAAGGATCCCTGTCTGGTGGCCACGACTGCGAAAGTCTGCCGGACACGGTGGCTGGAGGCAGAGCAGCCCTTCTAAGTCACACGGGCAGTTGTTCCCTATTTCTGTGCCTCGACTATCTGCTCCTGTAGCTTCCTTGCTTCGCTCACTGTCGTCGTTTCGGGCACAATGTCCTGGAGAAAGGCTTGCAAATGGCTGTCGCCGGACACGGTCCTTGCTACGTCCCTGCACAGAGGCGGAGCGCAGGCCCCGTTGGGCTCGTATTTCGCGCGGTAGACCATCTGCATGAGCTCTGACGTGTGTACGTACGTGTAGGTCAGCGTTGAGCGATTGTCAGCCGCTGTCTTGTCCCTTGCACCGCTGGCGAGTTGTGCAAGGAAAAGCTCGATCGCCTTGCTCACAACAAACACTGCCTCCGGCCCGATCGCCTGCGCCAAACACCAGCACGTCGTATGAATGAGCTGGTCTGGGCGCGTTGCGCTGGATGCGATGCGGAGGCAGGGTGCTCGCCTTCACGGGAGTGTCGTCTTTGATGATCTTCTTGATCCGCGCCTGCGGGAAGGAAGCTAGCTCCGAACCTGCGTGGAGTCCACGGAAGTCCCGCGACCAGGTCGTGTGATGGGCCAGGCGTGTGCCGGGACGCGCGCGGCAGCGTTGGCAGGGCACACCACACCTCTTCTGCTCATCTCGACCCTTCGCGAACCCCGGAGTTCATTCGGGCCAGCCTCACTACCGAGATGTGCACACGCGAGGCGACTACAGCGTGCGCGCGTGCTCCGAAGCCATCGACGCGCAGGAGCGTTTCGAACTTCGGAAGGGGGGCATGTAGCGAACCAACCCCCCTGCGGGACTAGACTAGACTGCGCGCTTCACAGCTTCTTGCGACGCGCAAGGTACCTGCCAAGGCAGTTGCGTCAGACCACCACACTTGAATGTGTCTAGCAGACAAGCCCGTCGAGAGCCGCGTTTGACCGAGCTGCCATCGGCACTTACTGCACCAGTCGAGGTCCTGACGCCCTGGGAATCCCCTCGGAGTTCGTGCACAGTGCATTTCTGTGTGGTCTATCTGGATATCTCAACAGTGTCGTGTCGCAAATGAACAGAATCGTCTGAAAAGGGAGTGCTGCGCGTAGTGAATCATCTCAACTGCCAACGATCCAGCTCGTTCGCGCGGCCGAGTAGCGCCACATGGAGCAGACGATCCGGTGTTCCGCTCATCTCCCGAGGAGCAGCTTCTACCTGTTCGTAGCAAGGTGCGATTGCGTGCGCTTCGCTGGAGCTTTGACGAGAAGGGACACTTCGCGATGAGGAACGCGGCGTGCGTGCCAACATCAACCGCGTTGGCGCACGGTGTCCACTGCAGGAGCGGCCTCTTCAGCTCCGGTTCGGCACTCCGAGCTGTGCACCGGAAACTAGAGCGTCTGCAAGGGTGAGAACGTGCAGAGCACAAGCCCAGCTCAGGCGTCCCGCTTCGGACATGCCCAGATGCGCTTTCCCCCGGCCTGTGCTGGTCGGAGGTGCGTGATCGGAGCAATCCGGTGGATGCCATTGAAGTTGCAGGGACCCCGGTGAGAGCGAACCTGGCGAAGACGACGATCATGCAGACGCCAAGGCTTTCACCTTCCCCGGTGCGTTGGTGTGCGTCCGGCACAGCGTGTTGGAGGTCGCCGGATCGCTGTACAAGTGCTGTCCTTGCGTCGTGACATCGAGGTGCGTCCCCGAAGAGACATGCCGCCACCACGGGTGTGGTGGTGCCGGGTGACTTCAAAATGCACTTGAGCTCCGCCAGCTCCTGTACGAGTGGGACCGCGAATGAGCGCGGGTCAGGCGCCGGATTTGCGACCGCCTAGGACGTCGTTTGGATCTCGCCGCAGGGATGATGCGGGCGTGATTGTTTTCTACGGCTCTCTGTCGAATAGAGAGGAGCTAACGAAGCGCCCGGTGTCGCATCACGACGAGCACACCATGTTTGGGCGCTTCGCGGTTTGCGACGTCCGCGACTCAGCAGAAGCGATCCTTCAGCTCTACATGAGGCATCGTGACAATCCAGAGACAATATTGAACGACATCCAGGTGTGGTTGCGCCGCTCGCCGCTCCTGACATGCCACTGCAGTCATGCAAGTTCACGACCGCGTCCACACGACGATTCGGCGATCGGCAGGACCCAAGGGTGCACAAGCGCTTGCTGCCGTATTGTGACCATTTGCAGGGCACGTTCTCTTTTGTCATCTACGATGCGGGCAAACGACACGCGTTCGCGGCTAGGGACGCAAGCGGTGCGCAAGTGCTGTACGTCACGCACCACGATGATGGCGCAGTTGCCTTTTGCAGCACACGTGCAAATATACCCGAAGGAGAAAGCGCGGAGCGATGGGAAGTGAGTCTGCAACCCCTGCCATGTGCCGAAACATGGCACTTCTGAACCGGCAATGCGAGATCGGCCACAAGCGCAAAATCAAAACAAAAAATGCTTTCAGAGTGCCGTCGCGCGGAAGGGCGTGAAAACTGGCGAGTCGATAATCATGTTCCAGCATTCCGGGGAACCTGCTGGCGATCTGTCGCTCAAATACGCCTTGTACGCCGCGTTGCAGGAAATACCTGCAGGCCATTTCGTTGCCGGCAAGCATGCACGTGTAGAACAATTCGCGCTCTCGTTGCGAGAAGTCTACGAAAGGGAAGCAATTTCTTCGAAAGAGCCATCCGAGCTTGCCAACTGGGGAGGTAGGCGCGACCTCGCTCTTAGTGCAGGCATGCCGAAGACGTGAAGTGAACGCATGCTCAACGGCCTGGCTCTTACGCTCGTGCGGCGCAGGTCATGGACATGCGACGAACACCTCAACGAGGAAAAGCAAGAGTCTGAGGCGATGAGACCGCTTTCCCTCGAAGTGAGGTTTGCACGAGATCTGCTGCGCCAGTATCCGTCACAAACTCCCCCTCCCCACCCCTCCCGCGCCAACGCGCCCAGAGGCCCGGCCGCGGAGCACGAGGCAGTGGTTGAAGCAACGCAGGCCGACGCCAGGGCAGCAAACGGAGCCCTCACAGGACATCGCAACGACAACAACGACCGTCCCGCTCGCTGAGCTCTCAACCGACCGCCAGGGCGCCGGTTCGGGCGTCATGCATCGCAGACGACATCTCATCGTGTCGGCGGTTACGCGGGCATGCCCGCCCAACCGCAACAGGCACCCACGTTTGCCACGTTTGCAACAGGCAAACGTGGGTGCCTGTTACC